TCACGGTTATGCTTTCTCTTGGTAGGACCTGGGAATGCTCCCCGCAAGCTGAACTGGAGAAATAGAGATGTTGACAGATGAGACATCATCTTCTTCTTGCTGGAAGAAGAAGGAGGCGAAGAAGATCCACAGCATTCGTCTTGAACAAGATCTTCTTTGCTGCCATCTTCGTGCGGATCTTTTTTGCTCCCGTCCTGCTTGTTGTAGTTTTTTTTGCTTCCAGAAGGTTGCCGCTTCACCTTCTGCGATCTGTTCTTCAAGTAGCTACCATCTCTCGCGTGGCGTTTTTTCGGCTTTTCACGTGCCATCGTAGTAAAGCAAGCAGTTGCAATTGACGTGGTAGACGCAGTTGACGACGTAGTAGAAGCGGTTGACGTAGTAGACGAAATTCTTGTAGCTGTAGAAGCAGGAGTTTTAGGAGGCGTGACCTCCTCCTCATTGATTGTAGTTTTGCCAGCTCCAGTTTCAGTATGAGTCATCTCTGCGCTGTCGTCTGGAGCGAGGCAGGCGAACATATTCTTCATCTTGTGGGGATACAAGAACTCGCATGTAGTTGTTCTCGTACTTATTTTTCCGCCATCCCGGAGGATACTTCTACTAGTATGAGCAGGCCTGGCGCTGGTGTTGTTCCGAAAGAGATGGGACCGGCTCGGCAAGTAGGTTACATCCGATGAATTTTATGAAAGTACGTCGCGGGGGGACCGGGATACGAGGTGAAGACTCGTCAAACTTGATAACTAAACTAGAGAGAAAGACGAGGCAAGCACGCTAAGGTTTAATCTACTTCTCCATCACGACTCACAGACACAGATCATGCCAACATGGTGACGCGTCTATTAACAAGTAGAGAAGATAGATGGACAAGATACACGGAAACTGCTCAGGAGACAGAAAAGCCCTGCTCACTTCATACGAAACATCCGTGGTCAAGCAGCACCACAATCAATATAATAAAAGTGTGAATAATCATTTTTCTGATCTGTATCTCGATCTCCTAGAGCATGCAACAAATTATCCCGAGGGAATTCAAGTTATGTCATATTGTTGCTGTTCTATTTGGTGTCATCGGATATGATTATGATTTTTATTGCCAAAAGAAAAGCTCTCTGCTATTGGTATTCTTGTATAGACTATCGAAGCTCGTCTAGACTATCGAAGTTCTGACTCTGTCAACATGATCTTGATGAACGCGAATAGTATAAAAGTGAGTATCTTCTTCTTCGTCATAAAGTAGGCAAGGAGCGAGTGGCCTCCGGTTGTGGCCAGAAGTTTGCGAGTCGCTCATGCGGCGTAAAAGTGGCGCAAATTTTTTCCAGGATTTCTTCACTAGTGTCCGTGGCCTGTTCCTCCTGCTGCTTGAATTCAATATTCTGTACTTCTAGCTTGTTCTCAGCAGCAGCTGCGCAGAAAGCGTGAGCATCATGATCTGGTGCTGCATTCGTGTTGATCTGAAGGGCGGCAGCGGTGTAAGGACCACGACGCGCATCATCATGTCCTTGGTCTGCAGTATACCGCTCAGCACTGTTGTTGTCTTTTTCCTGTTCTTCAGAATTGTTTCCACCATCTTCACGAACTTCTTGCTCTTGTTCTTGTGTAGTTGTATCGTGAGGAGCTGGCGCTTCATGTGCAGTACTGCTGGGAAGATGATGATCGGCGACAGGACTTTCCCCATCGACATCCAGGAGGCCGTTGGCTTGCAGCTGCAGTAGTTTATCTTCCCTGAAGACGTAGATGTAGTACTAGAGATTCGCGCAAGTGCAACTGCTAGAACGTTGTAAGTGCAGTAGAAAGATGGCTCTGAACTACAAGAACGAGCAAGAAGTAGTATGACTACTTATGATGAATCAGAGAACCAACATAGCTGAAACAGTAACCTTTATGCGACATCTACTTAGTCACTAGGTGGGTCGTAAAAAGCTATAATACCGTTCGGAGACGGAGGACGAGCTGCTCTCGATCTCGGTCTGTTCGTCAAGTGATTTCTCTTCAGCTGGTTCTACTCGTGGCCCAGCAGCTTCGCGCGCTTTAGTCACCACATCCATGGCCATACCATCTTTCGGCGTTTTTTCTTGTGTAAGGATCGCAGTACTACACCGGGGTGCCAACACTAAATCCCTGTAAAGTAGATGAGATGATGTAGAGCTGATGTTGGGGAGGAGGTATTGTTATTTTTAGCTTAAAGTATGGAGATGAGTAGACTTTAACTGGTAATGCATACTAGTCGTAATGCAGCGACAAGAACTTCAATCAAGACTGTAAGAGTAGGACTTGCACTTGCTTTAGCCCACTACTCTACTATAGGTTTCACTGAGTGTGATACTATGTTGAAATCTTGAAGAGAAGCCTACATTTGCAGAAGTTGTACCTTGTTAACAAAGTTCTTGAATGGCTTACAATACAGTTCATTCTTGGATGTCTTTTTGTTCATAAAATTCTTGAAAGACTACTAAAAAAACACTTGTAGTTGTATACCTTGCTCCGTCAGCGATGGTAGGGGTTGTAGTATGGACTGCTTGTAGAGAAGATGGCGACGAGGAGAAACGATCCTGGTGCGGCGTCGACACTAACTGCAGGTCAGACATCGATGGCAAACAAGACGGCATCGAGAGCTTGCACTGCAGCAGCGATATTGGCGTCGGCGCTTGTTCTGCTCGAAAAGGACACACGGTGAAATCCTGCAAAGGCGAGGTGAAGAATGATGTTTGGAATCTTGACTGCGGAAGACCTGCGAAATCCTGCAAAGGCGAACTGAAGAATGATGTTTGGAATCTTTGCTGCGGAAGGCCTGCGAAATCCTGCGAAGGCGAAGTGAAGAATGATGTTTGGAATCTTGGCTGCGGAAGACCTGCGAAATCCTGCAAAGGCGAAGTGAAGAATGACGTTTGGAATCTTTGCTGCGGAAGGCCTGCGAAATCCTGCGAAGGCGAAGTGAAGAATGATGTTTGGAATCTTGGCTGCGGAAGGCCTGCGAAATCCTGCAAAGGCGAAGTGAAGAATGATGTTTGGAATCTTTGCTGCGGAAGATGTAGAGCATCACGATGACTGTGCTGCAAAAACATAAGCGCTGGTTCTGGCGTTGACCCTTGTACAACTAGATCATGCAGCGAAAGTGCTGGCATTGACCCTTGCAAAGGACTGGAGGCGTGCTGCTGGCGCTGCTGCAGCGGCGCCACAGGTGGGGGCGGGATTCAAGGTGGCTGCAGCTGTTCTGCACTATGCTGGAACTGGTGGTCATGGGCTGACGCCGGAAGCGACACTGGCGGCGACCCCTCTGTCCGAAGAAGAGGAGGAAGCGTAGGCGGAAGACTCGGCGCCAATGTTGTGGTCTGAACAGAAGATGACGAAGTGGTCCGCTGAAGAACTACAGAAGACGTTGAAGAGGCCGCGACGGCCGATGTTGTGGTCATTGTCGGCGCCAGATTCGGTAGAGAGTAAGGTGGAGCATGGAAATCTTGTTGCCATAAAGGGCAGCTGCCAGAGTGCGCATTCTCATCATTGTTGGCCGCCACGAGACCAACATTAGTGGCCGACGTTCGAGGCTCCTCATTGTTGTGCCACGTGCTGGGCGTAACATCCCCGCCGCGGCTGAAGATCATGTCTTGGTTATAGTAGGGGTAGGCCACCATCTTGCTGTCCTTGGACTACAAGAAGCACTCCTTGCAGCAATGTTCGTCCCTGCAGCAAAGTTCCTTGTCGTGGTTGTGCTTGTGGCGATGATGTTGCGCTTCCTCGAAGATAGGGAGCTTGTTGTAGCGATAGTAGTTATAAAAAAGATGTTGCAAAGTTGAAAATCGTGATTGAAATGCAGCGTTTTATGTTCATCTGATAATTACTTCCATGTTCCATGGTATATTACATATTAGTTTCTTTTTGAAAACAGAGGAAAGGAGATGAACGAACAACCGGAACCAGAGGTAGCAAAAATTCTTGATAAATAATCATAAACTCATTTGATGTAGTGCGTGTAATAAATTGTAACTCATGAAAGGGAAATGCTTGATGTCATACAGTCATACTCATAATAATATAATAATATTTGTACGTCATGAATATTAAGTGTTGTAGTAACTGTTCGTTGTACAGATCTATATGCAGATGATTTTGTTGCTCTGATTTCTACGATGTAATACTTGAATGTAGTCCTTGCTAGCAGATCCAGACGCATAGAATAGTTATAATGAAATAGTTAGATTAACATTAAGATCATTGCCGTCAAGTAGTTCTACTTGTAAAATGGAGGAAGAACAAGAGAAAACAAATTTATAATATAATCGGCAATCATGTTACAATGAATGCCTTGCCAAGAGATACTGAGTGAGTAAAACTCAATAAATATGATCTATAAATTTTGAAAACGGATAATTTATTTCGATGGATCTACAAAGGATATTGTCAACGATGAAATAGAAGACTCGAGTACTGTAACTCGTCACGTCGAAGTTCTTGCTACTAACTACTTCTTACAACAACTTCCTAATAATGATTTGGGACGGGAAGGATTCTGCAAATCCAAGTTGAGTTCCAGACTGAGCCTGCAAAAAATGTGAAGGATGAAGGTGAAGGTGGTCCTCGTGTCAGGATGTACTAAGTCATGTTGAAAGGTCCTCTATCACTATCTTGTTTGGAGGTATCAACAAAATCATGTAGAAAATGCGAGACAAGATATGAAAACGACGACACTAATGAATGTGAAGTGAAGAATGCGAGTAGGTGTAGTATACGAACGAGGTGATGAACCGACAAATTGAGTTGTCACATCAATGCTTCCTATGAAATTCTACGAGTTCTAGAATGAGTTCTCAGTTGTAAGTTCATCTCTCACTCTCCAGCCGATGTATTCTAAATAAGACAGAAAGAACCTCAATCTTCTGGACGAAGACTCTCAAAAAGTACTTAGTAGTGCTTGGTGCATAAGTACACAGAAATGTTCGTGCGAACCGATTGTGTTTTCTCAAGAAATGAACACATTCTTTTGTAATTGCATGTAACAACAACTATGTCTGAGAAACCACGAGCGGAACTTAGAAGGCCTTGCTTCCAAGATCATGATCAGAAGTGTCCTCTTGCGTATAACTGCTCAACATTGTCATCTTGTACTTGTTTTAGTTCACTTTTTCACCGTACATGATGACTGCACTCAAGCAAAACGACCAGCAAATTGTTGGCCAATGCTACCAGCAAATTGCTGATCTTGTTCTTCCTCATCGTCTCCAACTCGTTCAACCTACGACAACTCGTTCAACGTTACCTACGACAACTCGTTCAAGTCGATTTTCTACAACTACCAGCGACAACATTAACAACAACATCTTCACCCTTTGCTCTGCTGAGAAGTCCTCCACCAAGTACGATTTTTTCTGATTAATTGCCTCTGCGAGTTGATTCATCGCCATCAATGATCCCTAGTATTGATGGGCGGGCACAACGAACGAAGTGCTCTTAAAAAATACTAATTCCCTTCGTCCTGGTATTCATCCGCTCTTAAAAGATAGAACTACGTGTACGACTACGTCGCCTTTCCCTAAAAATGTGTCAAGTCGAAGTGCGACTTCTAGTTCAAGGTAAGGATATATAAAGATATTGACGAGGAAAATGCAAATGCTGCAGCGAGGAGCGCTGAAAATAACAGCTCCTACGCTTCATCGTGGTACATCAACGTGAGAGTAGGCATCAACAAAGGAGCAGCTTGTTCGGCCCAGAATGCACGATCGCTTGTAGCTTAGGTTAATAGGTCCTGGTCTGCTATTTTAATAAAGAGACTGAATGTACTATATTAAATTTGTGATCGACGTCATTCTTTCCCAACCTTGTAGAGCCAGTCGCTATTGCCTTTCTCAGCGTTGGCTGCTTTTTCTTTCTCCGTCCTCGTCCAGAAGGCGTCTTGTTGCTTGTTAAACATCTCATTCCAATTGTACAGACTTTCGTCTTTTTCCAAATGGCTTCGGATTTTTGCGTTATATTTCTCGATGAATTCCCATTCTGCTTCTGCTTTGGCACGCTCTAGCCTCCGACAAAACTCCCCTCCTCTCATTCGCATCTTTCATTAGAGTGAGAAGATCAATCCAATTTTTACCAGCAACACGACTACTAGTACTATTCTTCGTCTATTGCAGATCATCATGAAGAACATTTTTATTTTCTTGTTCTTTATCGACTGTCTAGTACAACGCTGTTGAATCCCAAAAAAATGGTTCTACTTGCCTTAGTTTAGCTGCTGTCGTTTTTCCGCCTCGGTTGGTCTGGTTCCCATCTTCTGCTCGATACCGAAAAGGGCGACGTTAGAAGATAAAAGAGAGAAGCAGAACATCAGAATCTTATCCAGGCCACACCTTCCGCTCATGATAATTTTCCCTCCCATCGTGGCTCAAGAGGTGGAGGGGACCAAAAGGGAACAGCATGATTAGTATGAGTAGTACTAGTTCTTGTAGTATTCTGTTGGCCAAATACAATAACCAAGTAGAAGAAACAGAAAGATACTATTTCTAAATCTAGTTATAGAAAAGGAGTTGTAGTACTTTTATTGTACATTTCTTGTTCTAGGAGATCATAATTTTGACCCCAAACTCGGTGATTTTTCCTCCCATCGTGGCTCGCCCTTTGACCTCGATCCAATACGTTTTTACCTTGATTAGAGCAGCTGGATGATTGAACTCAGTTGTTGTACTAGAGAGTTGCTGCTCAACAGACCGGCTATAACAGCGCGGCTCACCAGACAGATTACCCTGATGATGATCTTCATCTAACGTTGTGGACATAAACTAGTACGTAAGCATCTAGATGATCCACGCACCACCAGTTGCACGTAAGTATAAAGATCGCACTAGTACTTAAGTATCTAGATCAATACATCGGGACGAGCAGGTGGCTCACACGATCTACATCTACTCACAGGTTGACGCTTTGCATAACTTCGGTTGCATTTTTTTCAAACCCGCATGAAAATCTTCTGGATCAAAGCCGTCTTCGTCTTTGCCCCACTTCTTTTGTATAGCCTCTAATAGTGCGGGTTCCGTAAACCATAGAACATCTTCGAAATCTGGAGAATGTTGTTGAGGTACCATCACAAATCTGCAATAGCAATCTTCGTAGTAATATCACGAGTAGTACCATCATAATGATGCTGAAACTGTATCACAACTAGTAGTAGTACCATCATAATCCTGCAACTGTATCGCCTTATTTTGGATTTCGATTTCAGTGCCGTACATTTTAGCCGCATAGAGCACTCTCGCCACAAAGGTTGCGCCAGATATCAATTCTTCATTGGGCTGTTGATGTTGAAATAGAAGATTAAGATTTTTTGTTGTAGTTCAGAACTTTAAGTTGTCATTCACCTAGTCTTACCTCTCGTTTCCTAGTTAGTATCGAAAACACAAAAAGAAAACCAATATCTTCTTACCGTCACTACATCCTTGTATCTAAATTGAAGTTGTACCCTGAAAAATTGTGCCGTTCCCCATTGATTACAGCTATCGTAGGAGACACCAGCCTGTCTGTTGCTCATGACCGTAGGAAAACTATATTTTTCCCAAAGACAAGTGTTATCGCAGACCTGATGAGGTAGATGTTCTTGTTGCGGTCGTATTTCGAGCAGATGTTGAAGACACCGACTTCTACTTCATCAAGACTTGAGATCATAATCACAGTAGACAGATAGAGATACTCAACAGGTTTCTTACGAACCTACTTAAGAAGATACCACCCGCCAACAGCCATCCCTTGTGAGTTCGCCTTTTGTTTTTGATAGTGCCGTTGTTACTCTTTCGAGCATTAGAGTGCGTCGTGCTGGCCTAACGCTCTCCACCTACTCCTAGTAAGTTAGGCTAGACAACCAATCCTAATAATCTCCATAAGATTTAGAACAGCCATTATCCGAAAAATGATCCTCATAACAGCCGCTATCCTAATGAACCTCATAACAGCCGTTATCCTAATGATCCTCATAACAGCCATTCCGGATAGAAATGCTCGCTCAAGGTTTTCATCCGCTCAACCACCTCAGAAGGAGGTAGGGATCCTCCTTGAAGCGCTGCCGCTGCCCCCTCCTCATCGTCACTCTTTGACTGTTCTTCTGGCGTGGTCATGAAAAGGGTTCTCCTGGTGCGCGTGGGCGGGCGAAAGCCTTCACAAATGCTATTACTGCTGTACAACAAGCATAATACTGCTACAACAAGCCTCAAGTACAACTCCAGTACGGCGTCTAAAAAAATACAACTTTATCTAGTACAACGAAATCTCCAACAACCACTACACCTCATCCTCTTCAACATCATCTAGTACAAGCTCTAGTAGTGTAACGAGCCTTAAGTTTCGGTGGCTCGACTCCAGTATAGAGTGCTTCTAATCCGGTCCGTGTTAGCAAGCCTCGAGGACAAACGTTAAAGTCCCTCTGTGGGCCTACTTACTATGATTTCTTCCTCCTCCACTTTCTTTGAACTGCTGGTGGATGCGGATTCTTTGCCCTCACGTTAGAAGAAGACAGAAGAACGAGTCGCGGACCTGATAGAGACAGTAATGCCGGAGCTCGGACAACTATCTACTACTTCAGTCCTCATGTAGCGAAGTATAATGAGGAGAGGGAGATCCATTAAGAAATATTTACAGTCATAACTTCCTTTCCTACCCAGTATGCCAATCAAAGCACCAGGCGTACTTTTGGCTGCAAGCTCCTCATCCTCGTCACTGCTTTCGGCAAGTTTCACCATGGTTGTGTAGTTCGAGGAAAGACGCTTTTATGTTGATGGTGCTTGTTCTTGGTACTCTTTTGATGTGTTAGAGTTAGTAGAAAGACCTACTAGAAGATTTAGATTAGCATATTTTTACTCCATCATGAATGATTTCAAAAGGTGTAATTTCTCTAAAATTCCGATGGCTTTCTGATTCTTGCCGAGCAGAAAGAAAAAATCACCACTACGAGCGAGCAATTTATGCTATTCGTTTTCAAAAAATGTAGTAAATCCTAAAAAAAATTTCGTTCCAAGAATTCCAAAGTTGAAAAATCTTTGAACTATTCATTGTCATCACACCTATCTCTAGAAAATTATAGAATCTGATAAAATAACGAAGATTTTTCCTTATCAGAGCAGCTCACAATAGCCTAATCAAAATTAAATCTTCGAAGTCAATAACTTTCATCATGGCAAGTTATCTCATCGTCAGGAATTTAAATTTGAAAAAAGTAGATAAAATCAAATTTTTTTGGATATTGAAGATCTGAACTTCAAATTTCAATATCAGTTTTCTACCAATTTTTGCACTAGATACACCTAAGCAAGTAATATTTTCCTTTAAATCGTAGCGATAGAATACTCTCTGAAGAAAAATTGCTTTCATTTTTTAGTAATAATACAGGTGGACGAGAGTGTAATGCACGATAACGCAATCTGTTGCGAGTGTTACCTACGCTAACCACACGAAGCCTGAATATCGAAGATATGAAGATAGTCGACAGACCCAATATGGAAAGACTACATCCTACACACAACCGAGCCAATGGAGGGAGGACGGAACCGTAGTTCTCGGCCATAGAACCTCGCTTCGACCTGGTGGAGCATAGGGGGTGGATGGTGGGATTTAAAAAACAAGAAGTTCCCTAGAAGTTTCGGTTTATATTACATGCTTCACGCCACTAAAATGTGACCAATAGCAAACAAGCACATAGGCTCAAACTAACTACGGATCTTTAGGGTCTTTTCAATCCGGGCCCATTTACCTACTACTGTAAACTTCAATTAAATTAAATCTTAAACGAGAACTTATAATTATATTATTCCGCCAAAAATGAACAGCGTCTAAAGAGAGATTGGGTTGTCTTTAGACGTCTATTAATTTTCGAAGATGTGTCACAAAATACTATAATACTTCTCGAAATTGGTAGCAGTGGACACAACATGACAGGATGCTCAAAAGATAAGAGAAAAGTCAATGATGGGTGCACAAGAAACGAGTGGCATCATACACACTTGTTGTCGACGAGTCCCCTGTTGCCGCAATAACAACATCTTCAAGCTCAGCTTCCACCGCTTCGACTGCTACTCCCCCGTCTAGGTGAGGATTTACTTTATTCGCGCCAGAGGAGGTGGAATCTCCAGCCTTTGAGGTATCTGCGCCAGACGTTGAGAGCAGAAGAGGGTCTTAGAGCTACCGCGTCGCGTCTTCCTTACGAGACTATCTTTCTTGGGCACGTCTTTTTCCCCTTGAAAAAAAGGCCAAGGATGTTCATGCTGAGGATGCAGCTCTCTGTCCTTGCCTTAAGGGTCAGCTTTTCCTCCTATACCTCTTCCTCTCGATGCAGCAGGTGAGGATGGCATCTTCTTATGACTTGTTGTCCCGTCTGGGTTGAGGCGTTGCTTGTTGTTCCGTTTTCGTGTAGTTGCTTGTGGTTCTGATGTGTGGCCCGATATTTCCCCTTGATGATGATGATTGATGACCACCTGCCAAGGAACAACGAAAAGACGCTTATTTCTTTCTTCACAAGTTCTTGTCTCGTCTTGCTGTAAATCAAAAGGACAACTATGTCCTCTACTTCTCTGACTTGTTGTACTAAAACGGCTTCTAGCTGTCTCTATTCTACTTCTACGACTGGTTCAACATCTACCACTTTGGTGCCGCGTTTCTTCTACGACTGATGATCTCAAAATGTTCTTGATGTCCTTGTAGTACCTCCAGCAACATCTTCGTTCTTTCTCTACGGGCTGCAAAAACCCGTAGCATAACGTTGACGAGGTGGAGTCGTCCATCCCATAAAGCTCTTGAAAATAAAAAATAGTTGTAGTTCGTTGTTGTATTCTCAAAGAGGAACTCGCTCTCCACTACAACACGAGCTCATAATGTCTGACCGTGGCTCCACCACAACACGAGCTCATAATACCTGATCGTGGGACCGACTCGTCTATGATCATCAAGTCAAATCCCGAAGCAGCCCACCACAGTAAGCACTTGCGTTTGGGCTCGCCGCACGCTGCTGCTCTAAGAACAACAAGAACTAAGAAAGTTGCTATAGTTGTAACATTTTTTTGAGAACACACTTTCAACCCTGTCCATGCTATCTTCCAACGACGTGCTAGCTCGAAGGCCATCTAATCGATAAACAAGCAGCACAACCACGAGCAAGAACAAAACAATGATCTCTAATGTCAGAACGACCTGTGTTTACGGAAACTGTGTTGATCCTACCTGCAAGTCACTTGTCCGTCATCTTTCTCGATGCTGATGTAGTTCGAATAATCAGTAATACTATGATGTATTAGTTTCAGCTGTCCCTCACCGGTCATGGGACGAGAAAGCAGCACAGCTACTCGTCCACAAAATAAAACAAGCGTGTCGCTACTATTTCCTAGTTCTGGTCAATTCCATTTTTTCGAGCGAGTTCCTATACATCCTCACGAAGGAGTACTTCTTTATGAAATAGTTGATCAAGAGTCCATGCTGAATAGTCAATCAGTGCGAGTGTCTGCTCTGTTTCGCTTTCCGGTCTGCTACTTTGTTGAAAAATGGCAACCGATTTCGATTAAAACAACTACTACACGGAGATCTATTAATGATGATGAAGAATGTTGGACTAGACGCTGACTAACTCTAACAAGGTCGTGTAGGTGACTAGTCCTACAAGTTTCTCAAAACGGCGATCGTAGAGGACACTCCAATTATATGGCGTTTCACCTTGCAGTCATTGGTCTTACACATTTTCACTATAGTGCGCGCCTACTCATGTGCTCCTGTAGTACACAATGATGCTTACACATTTTGATTAATATATACCCAAATAAATGAGGCACTGCTTTACCAATGCTAGTTGGATGGAAATTGAAGGACTACAACACAAAGACCTACGACACAGGCAAGACAGCTGCCGGACTACTAATAGGCCAATAATCTTGAACCGGAAACGCCTACAGTGCTGTCCTGTTTGTTTTTGCACCGGAACGGATTGGAGCAGCAAAGTAGTGAAGTTCAATTCAATTCATTGGCGCGACTCTTTTTTTTTTTTTTGTAGTGCCGTGCTTATCCGAAAGGGAAGAGCTTGCATGTTTATCCGCGAAGCTGCCGGCGACGGACGGGGCTATTCCCCTATAGTATACGCTAAAATTTTTTGATCCGTCGATTTTAAGATGATCAACTTTAGGAGCTAAGGCAGACTACTGCCATGCGGAAAGCCGTCCGCCTCACTACATACGCGCCACAACAATCTGGGCTGCGGAAATCCGTCCGCCTAAAACACTTAAATATTTAATCCAAAATTTTGCCCTACTACGCGCGAAACTCGATGTTGGGTAAAAATAAAAGGATGTAGCGATAAGTAAAAACAAGCGTGTTATAATCGTATTGGTGGGAGAATACTAAATTGCTAATTCTTCTTAAGATTTTCATCATCCTCTTTTTTTTTTTTTGTATCGTGAGCGAGTTCCGATATATCCAAACCTCTGCGCAAGCAAGCTCAGATAAGTCAGTACCTGCCTACATATTTTCCGCGTAGCTACCGGCGTAGGGGGGAGTTCTTAATCTCCTTAACAAACTACGCTACTGCCCCTACGATTTACAATGATCAAGAACTAGGAGCAAAGGCAGGAGCAATTACATACCTAGTACCTGCCACCCGGGGCGTTGCCCGTCTCCCCATTACGCGCCTATGAAGAATGCTACGTGTGGGCGGCGGAGCGCTGTCCGCTTAATCAAATTAAATATTCTTGGCCCTAGGTGGATCTGCGCGGCAACTGATTGCTGACGAGAACTAGGCGGATGCGTTGTTCTAAGTAAAAACATGCATGCTAGTGAAATTGGTGAAGGAGCACTAAACTCTACTAGTTGCTTAAGGTTTTTCTTCATCTTCATTCATCATTTTCTTCTTGTGGCCGGCTCCTCCCGCTATGCAGCCGATGAGAGAAAAAAACAAAGAGCAAAAAAATTGGAGGGCTGACTCCGACCAAAGGGGCTACCTTACGCCTGATAGCCACACTCCTGGGCGTAGTCGACGAGAGCCACAAAAAACGGCACACCAGGCAGACGAATCTGCCATGTGGAACCGAGTTTGACACCAACAGCCCCCGATCTCTTATTCTTTCGAGAAAGGTCCGACTTGAGGCATCACCGGAGCGTGTGGGCATTCGTGCTGGCACGCAGGCTTTTACGTCCAAAACACCGGTCCACGAGCCAAAGCACGAGTGGCAGTGACAAAAGGAGCTGGGGCGCTGCTATTTATATACTCTATCTACCACCAAGTTGCTTGCAACATTCAACTAGCAAGGTCTTGGGCACCCATCTTTCCTTTCCGACACTAGTTATACTTCTGTCTATTTATGCTAATCTTCTTAAGTCACCGTCGCCCGTGCTTTCGGCGCCACCAATGTCCTAGACGGCCCAATGCTGCGGCACTTGCTGATTTTTGGTTTTGTTTTTAAGGGGTTTAGCCTGAGTGTATATCTTATTTTTACTTTCCCTGGGGTTCGCCATCCCCCCTTTTTCTTTTTTTTTTTTTTTTGATTTTGTCCTTTCTTTTTTCTCTCTGGACCGATTTCTGCTCCCTACTTCGTTTTTGCATACTGCTTACCCTCGAGCATGCATATGCACTTCGTCCTTTTGCGAGTGCGTCATGCACACTTGCAAGGACTTGTTACTCCATTCATGCGTCTGCAGCTATCTCTGCTGTTGCTCCCTTGTTGCTTTGCTTTTCGTTCCATACCCCTTTCCGCTGTCACGAGATCCGTCATGTATTTTTTCTTTTTCTACCTACCTATCTGCCTTACCTATTTGTAGTTCAGTTCGTTTCTTCACTCATCTAGTTCCGCCCTATTCTGCGTCTTATCCTCTACTTCACCACTCCTGATCTCTTTGTTTCAATACTTCTTAATCGATCCGATTTTACTTCATGTTCGTTTGAGCCTCTGCGCCTTCAGTCTGATTAGCGACTCAGATCTGCCTGCTCGAGTCATTTCTGCGTCCGTAGAAGCTTCTCTCCTACTGATTTTTGCGATACTATTTTCGATTCGATGATCTATTACTGGCTCCTCTCTTTATCTTCCTGAGGGCTACTTCCATTCGATTGTTCATCCAAGAATCATCATTCTAGATCGTGCTTTCCAAGGCAATTTAAAATCGAATGTGACAGGGCTGACCTTATAAGACAACCGCACGTTGATACCCCCTCTCTTCATGTCGAACTGTCTTCCACACACGCTTCTTTATTCGTTCTTCTTTTCCTTACTCATGACCTACATTCGCAGAGATCCATGTGCTTACTTTTTTCCACTTTCACCTTCTTTGGAATTTTTACCAGTCACTTCTGCTTTCAATGCCCCTATTTGTTTCTGAATGATGTGGTTGTCTATTTCTATGTTTCGGAACATTCCTGGTGTATACTTGACTCCGTTGGGGTCCCACGTCTCTGGTCTTCCTCTATGGGCCGTTTTCACCATCTCTCTGCCAAATGCTGGCCCTGGCTCCATCTTCTTTTGCTTTGACAGTTCTATGACTTGCCGTACCACTTCGTCCCTAGCTTCTTTTTTCCACTCGTCGACATCCGGATGCTTTTTCCTAATGAAGTCCATGGCATACTTGTCAGAGCCATATCCTTGTTTCCCTTTTGGCTCAGCTACATCTTCAGGCACTACCTCGACTTTTCCATCCTTCGATCCAGCCGCTGTCGCCGGTGCTAGGACTTTGTCCGTGCTTAGCTGCACGGGGTCACTTGCATCATCTCGGATTTCTGTTCTCGCACGAGAAGCTACCGCTTTCGGCCTGGCTCTCCTGCCTGCATGAGGTTCGTGCTCGTCTTTTTCTAGCACACCTCTCCTCCGCAGGTTTACCTTCCGTAGTCGCTCCTTCCAATCCATCACGATTGCGTTTGAGCTTGCCAGGGGTCCATTTTATTGAATCAACCGTGCTTTATTCAGTTCAACCACGATGGAAAATCCTTCTTAATACTGCTTTTTGTTCCTTTATGTCTTTCAGGTTTTCATTGAAACTGTTTAAATATCCTAATTTTTGCGTGGAATAGTGACTCACACTGGATCCCTGTTGCCATTGATTTGTTCAAATGCGTGGTGGTGTGGAATACGTCACATAGAATTGATCTTTGATGATATGTTCTAGGCCGTCTTCATTTAACTACGGGACAAATGCAGCTACTGTGATCAAGGTATAGCTTTGCTAGTCTGTCTTTGTTGTCTTTCCTCCGCCACAGTATGCATCCCGTTTCGGGGTCCCTTCGTTATAGTGCAAAATCGTGACACGCACACCCCGATCATGGTCACACGAACAGCATTGCAATGCAAGTTGACACCTTTTAGTTCCATTCAACTCATTGGCTTTTTCTAGGGCTCAGAGAGAATATCAATTTCTTTTCATCGCTTACTCGTGTGCTCCTTCCTCATGCTTGATTTACCTTGGTAGGATCACTTTCATATGGTGTTCTCTCCTTTTGTTTTACTAAGGGTTTGTCAACCTTATACATCTACCAAGCCCCCTTGTGATGTTGCGCTCTCTGTTGTCCCTGCTTACTTCGAGTCGATTCGCCATTCTATTGTGCGTTCTGAACCTGCCTTCCATCAGAGTGTCATGCATGATATTCATGTCTGTCCCGGCTTGTCCATGCGCAGGCTCTCGCGTCCTTTCCCTAGGTGCTCTCCTCGCGATCAAGGAGCGATAGTCGCTCCTAGTCGCTCGAAGTATGCTCTGCTGTACCTGCCATGTGATAAAGGTGGTCCGAGGGGAAAATGTTGTGCTGGTCGTATCGTCCACGTACATGTCAACCCCTCGGCGGCGTTCCCTTGCACGTAATGTCACGAAGTGTTGACTTGCTCCACTCATCATTTTCTGCCAAAAATCCCGTGTCGTTATGCGGGCCTCTATCTCGCAGAATAAGTTGAAGAGTAAAATCCAAATTGCGCTACTGAGGTCATATACTCGACATTTTATGAAATTATCGACTGCCATTCCTTGAAACTCATGCCATACTGCCAGTACACCTTTTCGCGCCACCTTTACCCAGACGCGCGTCCACTCGTAAAGCGGTATTATACTTGTGCTGTGTCTTGCCCGCTTCGACTCATACAGATATTGGCTGCCACATTTCCACACGTACATCGCGCCAGTGAGCCGCTGTATAGCAGAGCGCTGCGATTGCATGTCTCTATTCCTACTCATCTGGGACACATTTTCCGTGTAATGCATTTTCATTCCAGTTGAATCCAGTTGATGTGCTGATTCGATTTGCTCCATTTTAATTTGTTTTTTTCTTTAGTGGTGCGAGCGCGACTTCATCTGATTTGCACTTTCACCAATTAACGTTAGGTTTGGCCTTTCTTCAAGAAGAAAGAGAATAGGCAATATCCTAGAAGAAATGGAAAATATCTTTTGGTTCTCTCTCACTCCTTTTTCCGATGTGCTCATTAACTTCTTCCTCACCTTTCATGCGCCTTACACCTTAGCCGTACTGCTACTTTTTCGCGCAGTCCTCAATGTGTCCGCTCCTGCCTCATAACTCCCCACGTTCTGCCCGTATGACTGTATTGCTACGCGCACTTGTTTCATGGTTAATTCGCTTCATTCGCGCTATGTTCTCAGCTTTTCTTATTTTTGTTGTCGACCTCATTTTTTCCGTGTTACTGAGATGTGCGAAGTTCTGAAATGCTTGTTTCATACGAGCGGGTATGCGGTGATGGCAAGTGGACAACCTGCGCAGACCAATAATTCAACTTATCTTGTTTTATTTTGCATCGACGTACTTTTCTTTCGTAATAATGTTCATGCTCTTATTCGTCAGCCTATGAGTTTTTTAATTTCTTGGAATGATACAAAGTGTCGCCCCTTGTGCCATCATGCTTCTCCTTGTGAGCTCATCCTCATCGATGTTTGCGCTTCTTCCGGTCCTTTTCGAGCTTTCTGAGCAGCTTTTTTGTCTTCTTGATTTGTTCTCTCTCGTCGCTACTGTTCGACCCTACTGAGCTGCTTGATTCGCTTTCCGATGTGTCTAACTTCGTGCTACGTTGCTTCTTGCCCTTTTTGCGCTTCCTTCCTTCGAAGTCGCTCTGGCTGGCTGAGCGATGTTGTTGCGTCAATGTCATGATGTTGCTCCGATGCGCCAGACTATTCATCTCAGAATATCCCGATAGGGCCATTGGGTGCGAGAATACGCTAGTTGACTGAGATGCCGCACCGTTCCATCCCAGGATGCTGGGAAAGTGCGATGATGTTGCAGGTGTCCTGAAGGTGTTGTAAAATTGTTGCTGTCCTGCTGATCCTGTGTTGAGGCTGAGTGCAGAAGAAGCGGACGTGGGACCTACGTTCCGCATATTGGCCGCGCTTGGCTGAAGATCCCAAAAGGGGGTGCTCATTGGAGGAAATGGTGCTACTTGATTGCGCAAGCTTCCATTCTCCAAGGCCAGCAGTTGTCGCGCATCTTCTATAGGCAGTTGCGGCGGTCGATCCTCATGCCTATCGTCCTCCATCTCTATGATCACTGGTCTGCCTGCATCCCTTTCTTCTAGCGCAGCAAGCTCGTACCTCAGCAGCCTCTTGGGGTCGTATTCCGGTGGTGGATGAAATAGATTGCTCAGTCCATAAGCTTCCTTCTCGAAGCACTGTGCGACTCGTCCATCCTTCCCCTTCCACTCTTTTCCTAGTAGTAGTCTGGGTGTGTTCACGCATACGTCGCTGAACGATGCCGGGCGCGCCTTGATCTGCGCCGTGGTGAATAGTCGTGCATCGTGTTCTACTTTTTTGATCACCTCTGTGATCATCGCCCCTACCAGTCCTTCCGCGTCGTTTTCCACGCGAAAGGTGTGCGGATTGAAGTGTTGCAGATGAATGGTATGAGTGGTCCTGCCGGGTCCTAATCTTACTCTGCATATTACTTTGATGTGATTGCCGACATTGAAATATGGAATTAATGCTTTCAGAGAGTTCCCGTGCGACAAGGTGTGGATCACTAACCAGAAGAAGTCGATAGGAAAGAAGTTCCATTTTCTCACGCTGAGCGGAGTGTCGAGGGCCTTATCTCCTCCAAAGAGCGCTGGTCTTGGCCTCACCCCGATAGCGGCTTCAGGGCCTCTTCTTGATGCTCTTCCAGGGATGGCATGCATACTACTCCCAACTGGTTGGACCATCATCGGCACGTCGATGAGCGAGAAATCCTCTTGAGCTCCTTGCTGCTCCATGCTCTGCTGCCCCTTGCCAGATAACGTTGAATTGAGCTCCGTACCTGCTGTCTGCTGAATACCCTCCATCTCTGGATTGATGCTAATGTTGGGAAACTGTACTACTTGCTCATTCTGCTCATCTTTTCGTGCATCGTCATCGTGTCCCAGAAGTCCTGGCGCCTCTATTTCTTGTTGCGCTGTCTCCATCTCACGTGTTTGCCTAGGTGCAACTGTACGAAAACGCGTCGTGCTACTACTACTCTTGTTGGGTTGAAATTCTTGCAGCTGCATGTCTGTACTATTCCTTGCTGGCTTCACATCGCAACTCGTTGTTTCTTTTGCTTGAAGGGCCCATACGCTCATAAAAAGGATACAAGATATTACTTAATCTACTAGTACATAATTAAATAGAAGCCACGCATCCACAACTACAAATACTGTACAGTTTTCCCAATAATTCTAAAATATATCAACCAGTAACATTGCGTCTTCTAATAGTTCACCTGTATTCTTTCTAAAAAAAATCCTGACTCTATTTCTCTAAATCACACCTACAAATTTTTCACTTTTATATACTTTCTTACCCGCCGCCACCTCCTCTTCTTTCCAAGTAAGTATAGAAAAGAAGCTACTTGTTCATCTACTAATCCTATTGCATCTTCGCTCAAGAAGATGCCTCTTCGCCCAAAGTCGAAGATGCCTCTACTCCGCCTATACTGTCGCCCTTACTCGAATCTTGGCCACTCCTTTGTCTTGTTAAAAATATTTAGAAGATGAGGCGCACAAGAACTGGTAGTTTCATCATCCAAAAGCAGAGAATAGAGAAGAGCTGAGTGCGGTAGTTGATGTTTTTGTACTTATATCTCAGGATCCCTGGTGTCCACTCATACATCGAGAAGCTCGACTAGGATCATGCTCATCATCATGTTCATGATATTGAAGAAGATGATGATCTTCAGTAGAACTACTAGAAGAATCTTCATGCTCATCTTCATATTCCTTGAGATGAAGATGTATCTATATGTTGAAACAAGTAGTACTCTCGCCTGGGTTGTCTTTGATCATGATTGACATATATCTTCATGATCACTGGAAGAAATTGATAACTAGAAGTCTAGTACGACGCACCTTAACGAGCAGTAGCGCGAAAGTGGCCGCGAAGATTACTGCGCTTTTGGGATCCCGACGTCGTTGTAGCCACGTCGTCCTGGTCGCGCATTAGAGCTAATCAAATGCACTGACAGTGACTTGCTTAAATGTATGAAGTAGATATGATAATCTTTATTTTTCCCAGGGCTACAATTCACTAGCGTCAACTTTTGTGTAGTTGAGGAGGTTCTCGTCAACTTCTTAGTGGCGTAAAAAATAGAAGACTAGAGGAAAACAGCTTATTTCTTTGAGGTTCTCCTCATCAACTTGTTGAACACAGTAGACTACTATATTTTCTGTTCCAAGTGAGCCCTCTGTGAGAAAGTCATATCATCCAGCTCGTGGCCGTGGAGGAGTGACTTTTATTACATACGGTCGACAAGATGAAGGCGAAGCCAATGGTCGTAGTCAACATTTCCAACCAATGAAGATGCACCAAGTCATGATATGCTTAAATGGATCTGATGGACGACAACTAGACTGAAGGGATATAAACATAATTCGAGGAACGAAGGTTGTCTGGCACTTTCTTGGCTGTCGAGACCTGGAGCTGTCTCGGGAGTTGGCCTAGTAAGCGGGGAAGCTGCGGGCGCAAGATGATTCGCGGCTTCGCTGTTCTCGAGGGTTGATTGTCCTCGTGGAGCGTCAACAAAAGACAACTGCTCCACGAAGCTACTCTTCGTCGCCATCCCCCAATCGTCGCTCAACTTCTTCAGCGCGTTTATCAACTTACCCAAATTTCTCACAGATTAGACCTCCGACTCTCGTCTTCGAATAATAAGCTGTGTCTGTGGGTGCGTAATTAATCAGGCACGGGTACCTCACCTACACATCTGAAGTGTTCTTTTGACAAGAACGGAAGACGATGCCCATCGAAGCGGGCCCATACAGGTGGTCTGCTTGCTCACGGCCCCCACGCCTAGGCTCTTTTTCCATATGTGGCCCAAGGCCCAAGGCTCAGGGCTACGGTACCCCTAGGGGGTACTTACCGTGCAGCCCCGGGCCCCTCCTGCAGGCTTCTGCCGGGGGTGGAAGGCCTCAAAAGGGCGCCAAGGGGCCGCCACCGCTCTCTTCCAGCTGCCTGGCTGCCCCCTACAGACCTCCGATGTAGGTGGGAGACTTCAAAAGGGGCCCAGGGGGCCGCCTCCGCTCCCTTCCAGGTGCCTGCCTGTGCCCTAAATGCGCCCGATCTGCTTCGCCGCGAGGGGCTGGCCTGGGCCCCCTGAGCTGTGCGGCCTGTACTCTCCAGGCCCTTGGTCATCGGCTTGCTAGCTCTTGAGACCGTGGCCGCCTTCGGCGGCCACTTACCACGGAGGCCTCCAGCCATCGAGGGCCAGCAGAGACCAGGAGGTCCCTGAAGAACCTGAAGAGAGGCGCAAGGGGACGCCCACGCCCAGTTTTGACGCCTTCCACCACTAGAATCCGCGAAAATCAGCGCGGAAAAGAGCGCGCGAGCGCCACCGCAGACCACACCACAGGGGGGGCCGTGCAGCCCTAAAACATATGTAGTCACTTTTTATACTTATGCGCATATTTATACTAACTAATACATTCCACGGCACTCCCCTGGCGGGGTAAGTCAGTGGGGCCGCATAAAGGGGCGGCCCCGAGGAACCTCATGGCAGCCGCATCCATATGAGGAGCGTGACGCGGGGGCGGGCATTAGCGTGGCAGGTGATCATGGCGTAACGCGCTGAGGAGCGTGACGCGCGAAGGTAAGAGCAGGAGCCTGATTCCTGAAGGGGGAAGCCCGTTGTACTTATCATATTAGCCACATGCCCATGCGGCCGCTGGGTGGCAAATGGTCGCTATCCGAAACTACCCGCCTAGGAGCTGCCTTAGCTCTTCTATCAGCAAACGATGGCCCACTCATGTTGGTCTAGGCGTCCTCAGCCTGAAACCGTAGCCCCTGTTGCGCTCGTTAAACAGGCTGCGCGCTCTAGTCGATTTGCAGCATTGTTCGGGACCTGGATCTACGTGAGAATCTGTCTCGATAATTGCAACGACCATGACGCCGCGCGAGTGGATCGCCCCTTACCTTAGTGGCTGGAGCTGTCGAAACACGGCGCCCCTTTGCACGTTTGGCGCCGTATCCCACTCACCAAGGCCATAACCAGTCACAGACCTCACGGCGCGCCTCGCGCTCCTTTCGGGTGTATCCAACACCACGCAACAGAGCAGCAGACGAAGAAAAACAAACACAAAGGAAAAAGGGCGCGGCTCCTAGTAGCCCTTCTAGTAGGAAAATTGGGAGAAATGAAATCGCTTGTACTAGTACAATTGGAGAAGCAATCCATCGTAATGACCATGATTGCAAGTCAGCGCGTGAGGCAACAGTCCATCTTTGAGGAAGGTCGCGATCGCCTTGGTCCTTTCCTCGTCTTCTCCGTTCGCTTTCGCTTCCGGAAGAACTACAGCATCAGATTAGTATTAGAGGTAGCCGGCGCAGGCAGCGCTTCTTCATGATTTTCACATGGGGGACAAAAATAAAATTGCACCAAGATGAACGAGTTCCACCACTTCCGGCAGCCCTCAGGGTCAAGGCGACGATCTGCATTTTCTAAGAGATATTATTGTACTGATTAGGAACCATAAAGGGCACGACTCAAGACCTGCTCTATCAGCTGTTTAGCAGGATCCGCATTTTTCCTACATGCGCTAAGCTCACTTGACCACTTTTCCAAATCGCCAGTTTCAAAATTCGAGGGCAGCGCGCCCGTTAGCGCTTCGTAGACGGCTCCGACGACAGCACTTGGACCTGGAGCTCGAGGACGTTAGAACTTTCATTGCTGTAGTAGACTTCACGTAACAAAAAAGAATAATCATAAAAAGTGCACTACCTAGTAAAAAACTCTAATCTTCCGTCTAACCCTAAGTCTACCTCTAAAAATCAAAAAATAAATAAATAAAGCACGGATTATTGAGTTTACAACAGACGAGCAACTTGATGTAAAGATCAAACATTCATAAGAGCCGTTCCCGTCATTCTTGAAAAAATTATTCAGCATTTCAAGAATCACGACGCCGACGGACCATATGTCGGACTGCTTGTACATCACCTTTTTTTCGGAACGCAACCAGGAGCCACCACGAGGGAACAGCGCGACTGCCGCTGGATCAATATACTCTAACTCTGACGCGCTGCGAGCGTTTCCCCGGACGACGTAGTCGGTCAAGTACGTCTCCTGGACCTTGTAGTAGCTTGCATCGGAGTCCTTGTAGACCTTCGGGTTGCAGTTGCCGTTCTTTTGTCTCGTTAGTGCAAAAAATCTGCCCCCAGGACACTTGGTGCCGACAAAGCCCTGCACTGAAACCCCATAGCGCTTGCGGCGTGCTCCTTCCGCAGCGTCATCCATTAGGGAGCCGAGTACGACCTCAGTCTTAACGCTGCCGTCGACCGCGTCCTCGTGGTGGACAAGAAAAGTCTTTGGATGGATCTTTCTATGTACGTAGCCCATAACCTCGTGATAGTAGTGCACTGATTCTGCGGCACGTTTCAGCGCGTCGAAAACGTTTACTGCTTTGCTCTGTGATTTTATCCAATCTTTAAGATTCGTCTCATATTTACTTTTTAGAGGTAGCAAAGGTCATACTTTCTAGGAAGATATGGAGAGTCAAAGAGAGCGAGACGCGGAACAGCACGAGGAAACTACGCACCTGCACTCTGATTCTGCGACAGTGCCCTGCTGAACTGTGACGAGGGTGTCTGACTGACCTACTGCTTCGCTATATTTGACTCGCCATCAGCTAAGAAAAGGGTGGGGATCATTCTACTTCTAGACACACTTGCCACCTACGCAAGGGCCTTGTGAATGGTGCTGGAGCGACCGGAGTACAGTGACAAAGGCTACAGTCCTTAATTTTTGCACGACGACAAGACGCAACCAAGGCTTACTAAAAGTAAAAGTATGAAGGTGGTCTGTTGCTTCTTTGCTTTCCAAGTATCCACGCAGCCAGACTGCTGGCTTCGTCGAATACATTGTCTCCTTCGCCTTCTCGTTTCCTACAGCTGCCGCCTCGGCTAGCTTGGCGAAGCTCTGAGCTTCCCAAAGACGCACCTTTAGGTCGGCACTTTGCGCCACTGTGAGTGTGACATGGTGGTACAGGTTGCGGAGGTCGTTGTAAAGTCCCTCCATCAGATCTCCCAAAAGCCTAATGTCTTTATCGCAGTCGGAATCAAATCCTTTGTCAGACCACCGACAGATTTCGTCCTTAAAAAGAGACCCGTGTATTGGACATTTAAGCTTTAGCTTATCCAGCAGCTCAATCCGAGGAAAGAAAGGCAGGGCCCACTGACGAGCAACCCATTTCACCTCCCCTCCATCTCGTCTCAACACGTCCGGCTCCCACCGCTGCACATCACCCATGCTATACGTGGTCATCTCCAGCGTGCGCCTGGGCGTGTTTTCATTTGAGAAAAATGAAGAATATAATGGCAAGGCCGGTTGTAAAAAATGATATTCAACATGTTGACATTTCGCCACCCACTCCCATGGGCTTGCCCACTTGCATATGATAGCTTTCCCCACTGGCTGCGCCGTTGCTCTGTCGGTTGCTTTGCAAGTGGGCCTCTCCCCTCGTTTGCCGAAAATTACAACGGCTGAAGAATATACAGACAACAGAACAGAAATAACAAAAAAGCACAACGAAACACAAAGCAACTACTAAGCAAGGCAAAAACCCAGCCTCCGATAATGCGATGGGGACAGCTCAAGAAGTGAAGGACAGCACACCCGCAGGCACCCGCCGCAGCACAACAACACCAGCCACGACACACGAGACTGAGCCAGACCACCAACACCACCAAAGCACGAGCCAGAGAAGAACCCAAGAAGCCGACCAACTTACCACAGCACTCGACCAGAACACCACGGCGCCAGAACATGCCGAGCGAACCAGCCCACCAGAGCAACAACGCACTAGCCCACCAGAGCACCCACTCACCAGAGCGCCGGTCTACCAGAGTGAGCACCCGACCACCAGTTCACCAAGGCACACCGACCGGCCCAGTTACCAGCGCGCCAACCCACCACAGCACCAGCCCACGAGACCACCCGCTCACCAGCTAGCCACCCAGAGCGCCAGTCCTGTTCACAAGAGCACCATCCCACGAGAGCATCAGCGCGCCAAACCTCAAGCGCCAGCTCATCAGAGCACCCGCCCACCAGAGGAGCGCCCGCTAGGTAGCCTGTGCACCAGCTCGCCCGCTCACCTGCGTCTCCCTCTCCTTTGAAAATCTCAATTGCGGCCGTCCTTCTTGGTTTCCCTCATAAATTGAGGGGCGCGCGCCCGCCCATCAGAGCACCAGACCCGCCCACCACCGCACCCGACAAGCCCACCAGAGAGAGTGCCAGCGCATGAGAGCACCAACTCCTCACAACCGCACCAGCTCACCAGCGCACCCGCCCCCCAGAGCACCAAGTCGCCAGAGATTGCGCCCCGCTCAGTCTTCAATATAGGAAATTACCAAGGAACAGGAGGCTGCAAGAGAAAGCTTATATATGAAGGAGACGCAACATGCGCGAATAAAGCATCCTGGTATCTGCCTGGCCTCCTCCCGACCCACTCAATCCGTGCCCCCGTCATTTAGCGGCGGTTTTGAAAGTGTCAGGGCGATCTGAATACGCGACCAAGATCCACGAAACTTATCCAAATCAACCATGCGGCCAAGCTTCACAAGCTGAGGAGACCCGGGTGTCCCTTCCAACACGGTGACGCCCCCACGGTGTAGAATGCCAGGCGGCTGGGGTCTGCACGCCTATCATCATCCGATAATGGCCATACTTCGCATGGGTTCCTTATCCGTTCGAAGTGATCGAGTGCTAGCTAGCTCGCAGCCGCAACATATGAAGCAAGCAGACAAGGCGACAGAAACAGTTGCACAGGGTGAAGGTCCCACGAATCAAAGACAGCTCCACGCCGATTAGGGTTTTACCCTTGCGACGATGGTGCCCCATAAAGCATTCACATGCCTACATTCCCGCAAACTCCACAGCGTGACGCTGGCAGCTTATGGCGAACGCCTTGAGCATACCAAACCCGAAGAGGGCCAGCTTTAATCGCCAGACGCCTACTCCAGGTCCGTGGTGTGTGTGCCCCATCATACAGGGAGCCTTTCCAGGGATTTTGTGAAGGAGACTGAAGGAGGAGATCTGTGCACGAAAGCATCAACAAACTCGCTTCGCCCTGGCGCTCTCAATCCGCGCCCCCCAATATAATAAATATGGAGGAGCTTTTTCGAGAGATTTCCAAAGGACACTTTGAAAAGAGGTTTTCAAAGGCAAAGCACTTACACAAATAAGTAGTGGGAATGTTGTAAGTGAAAGAAGTAAACCAGCGGTCGAGGTGGGGTGGGTTCGTCGTGGCCACTTTTTAGGTAAGAAGTGCTGACTGCTAACTTGTCACTACTTCGCATGTGGATATCACCTGAACAGCGGGAGCGGTTATTCGAATAAGCCCTATTTTAGATAAGTAAGTACAAACTGTAAATGACGCGCACGCAGATGCTGAGCGACCACTTTGAGTAAAATCTATTCAGGCTCTCTCAGTAGAATCATAGAAAACAAATGAGTACGCATCATTGTCCGCTCCTACCAAAGCCAACTCTTTCTCGTCACTTATGCTGAGGGAATTGGAACCGGCTTCCTCGTCCTTAGCGGCCTGTAGAGGCCCAGAAAGTCGCTCTTCTCGACGCCGGTCCGGAGCTCCTACTAAAGCCAACTCTTTCTCGTCACTTATGCTGAGGGAATTGGAACCGGCTTCCTCGTCCTTAGCGGCCTGTAGCAGCCCAGAAAGTCGCTCTTCTACTAGACGGTGAGGTATAATAGAAGCTTCTGTGTTAAGCTTCACCCAGATATCTTGCCAATCGAAAAATTTAAGCGTGACATCTTCAACGCCTCGACGCTCAACGACGAAAGTATGTCCAAGGATAGAGTATGGCTCTTCAACAGAGGCGTCTACCCATATCCATCCTGTTTTCCACGTGTCCACGCCGGTCGCGCAGTCCTTCGGCAGGGGCAGGGGATGCGCTTTCGCTTTATCCTCAAGAATCTCCTTGTTTCTCAGGCCTGTCAGCTCTTGTAGCGCTACCTCCTCCCTTACGACGGTTTTAGGTGTTTGTTCTCCTTCTCTTGCGCCGATGCCCACGTTCGTCGCTATCCCGTAAGATACGAGAAGACCAAGCATCAACAAAGCCATGCCCACGACATCCGTGAATGAACGCGAATTAGAGCTCAGGGCCACTTCGTCTATACTTGATTGAACATACAGCTACATATACATTCATATACATAGTATTGTTGTTCGTATTCTAAGCTCATCTTCTCCCTCTCTCATAATTCACAAAAGGAATGGAGCAGACTGGCTGTGTTGAACAAGGAAAATTTAGTATAGGTATAGTATGTGTGAGCCTTAGAGCTGGAACGTGGCTGCATTGGAGAAGCGCTGAACTTTGTCACATTTTTTCCTCGTTTTCCGCACGACTTGCGCCAAAAGTTATTAGAAGAAGCGCCATGAAGACAATACAATGGAAGAGAAAGAGTCGAGGCGATGACGTCAAAAATCTTTATCAACAAGCTACTTATATGACGATAATCAACGTTAAATTAGAACTTATTATCAACAGTTTATCCTGGAAGTGTTGACCCTGCTTTAGATATACAACAAGAGCTATCGTTTGATCTGTCATTTTCATGAAGATGAATAGCCATCATGAGGATCATAACCTTCACCTTGGGAGTGGCCACTCTCTGCAACGAAGCGGACGACGCAACTGAGCTCGTGAACATGGTCTCGATCTTCGACCTTACTTTCTGCATCTGCATCTGCACGACTTCCACGTAGTTTCTTTTAATACTTCTAGAGCTAGTTCTTGCACTACAAAGAATACTACTATAAGGCTGCCAGCACCACCGCAGTCGGCGCTCCGTCGGTAGTTTCATCGCAAGTAGATGAAAAATGTTTCTCGTCGAGATGAACAAGACCTGTTGTACTAGAGGTAGACGGCGTTCCTCTGCCGCGCCAACACCTTCTACTAGCAGTTCTTGCTGTTGTTCACCTTCACGGTTATGCTTTCTCTTGGTAGGACCTGGAAATGCTCCCCGCAAGCTGGCCTGGAGAAATAGAGATGACAGATGAGACATCATCTTCTTCTTGCTGGAAGAAGATGGAGGCGAAGAAGATCCACAGCATTCGTCTTGAACAAGATCTTTTTTCCTGCCATCTTCTTGCGGATCTTTTTTGTTCCCGTCCTGCTTGTTCTTGTAGTTATTTTTGCTTCCAGAAGGTTGCCGCTTCACCTTCTGCGATCTGTTCTTCAAGTCGCTACCATCTCTCGCGTGGCGTTTTTTCGGCTTTTCACGTGCCATCGTAGTAAAGCAAGCAGTTGCAATTGACGTGGTAGACGCAGTAGACGACGTAGTAGAAGCGGTTGACGTAGTAGAAGTAATTCTTGTAGCTGTAGAAGCAGGAGTTGTAGGAGGCGTGACCTCCTCCTCATTGATTGTAGTTTTGCCAGCTCCAGTTTCAGTATGAATCATCTCTGCGCTGTCGTCTGAAGCGAGGCAGGCGAACATATTCTTCATCTTGTGGGGATACAAGAACTCGTATGTAGTTGTTCTCGTACTTATTTTTCCGCCATCCCGGAGGATACTTCTACTAGTATGAGCAGGCCTGGCGCTGGTGTTGTTCCGAAAGAGATGGGACCGGCTCGGCAAATAGGTTACATCCGATGAATTTTATGAAAGTACGTCGCGGGACCGGGCTACGAGGTGAAGACTCATCAAACTTGATAACTAAACTAGAGAGAAAGACGAGGCAAGCACGCTAAGGTTTAATCTACTTCTCCATCACGACTCACAGACACAGATCATGCCAACATGGTGACGCGTCTATTAACAAGTAGAGAAGATAGATGGACAAGATACACGGAAACTGCTCAGGAGACAGAAAAGCCCTGCTCACTTCATACGAAACATCCGTGGTCAAGCAGCACCACAATCAATATAATAAAAGTGTGAATAATCATTTTTCTGATCTGTATCTCGATCTCCTAGAGCATGCAACAAATTATCCCGAGGGAATTCAAGTTATGTCATATTGTTGCTGTTCTATTTGGTGTCATCGGATATGATTATGATTTTTATTGCCAAAAGAAAAGCTCTCTGCTATTGGTATTCTTGTATAGACTATCGAAGCTCGTCTAGACTATCGAAGTTCTGACTCTGTCAACATGATCTTGATGAACGCGAATAGTATAAAAGTGAGTATCTTCTTCTTCGTCATAAAGTAGGCAAGGAGCGAGTGGCCTCCGGTTGTGGCCAGAAGTTTGCGAGTCGCTCATGCGGCGTAAAAGTGGCGCAAATTTTTTCCAGGATTTCTTCACTAGTGTCCGTGGCCTGTTCCTCCTGCTGCTTGAATTCAATATTCTGTACTTCTAGCTTGTTCTCAGCAGCAGCTGCGCAGAAAGCGTGAGCATCATGATCTGGTGCTGCATTCGTGTTGATCTGAAGGGCGGCAGCGGTGTAAGGACCACGACGCGCATCATCATGTCCTTGGTCTGCAGTATACCGCTCAGCACTGTTGTTGTCTTTTTCCTGTTCTTCAGAATTGTTTCCACCATCTTCACGAACTTCTTGCTCTTGTTCTTGTGTAGTTGTATCGTGAGGAGCTGGCGCTTCATGTGCAGTACTGCTGGGAAGATGATGATCGGCGACAGGACTTTCCCCATCGACATCCAGGAGGCCGTTGGCTTGCAGCTGCAGTAGTTTATCTTCCCTGAAGACGTAGATGTAGTACTAGAGATTCGCGCAAGTGCAACTGCTAGAACGTTGTAAGTGCAGTAGAAAGATGGCTCTGAACTACAAGAACGAGCAAGAAGTAGTATGACTACTTATGATGAATCAGAGAACCAACATAGCTGAAACAGTAACCTTTATGCGACATCTACTTACTTAGTCACTAGGTGGGTCGTGGAAAGCAATAGTACCGTTCGGAGACGGAGGACGAGCTGCTCTCGATCTCGGTCTGTTCGTCAAGTGATTTCTCTTCAGCTGGTTCTACTCGTGTCCCAGCAGCGTCGCTCGCTTTAGTCACCACATCCATGGCCATACCATCTTTCGGCGTTTTTTCTTGTGTAAGGATCGCAGTACTACAACGGGGCGCCAGCAGTAAATCCCTGTAAAGTTGTAGATGAGATGATGTAGAGCTGATGTTGGGGAGGAGGTATTGATATTTTTAGCTTAAAGTATGGAGATGAGTAGACTTTAACTGGTAATGCATAGTCGTACTGCAGCGACAAGAACTTCAAGACTGTAAGAGTAGGACTTGCTTGTTTAGACCACTACTCTACTATAGGAAATCGTAGTGAACAAGAAGAGCGACAAGAACTGATTGGAGTCCAAAAACAGTCAGTAATAGAGTAGATTGTAGTTTTGTTTCACTGAGTGTGATACTATGTTGAAATCTTGAAGAAAAGCCTACATTTGCAGAAGTTGTACCTTGTTAACAAAGTGTTCTTGAATGGCTTACAATACAGTTCATTCTTGGATGTCTTTTTGTTCATAAAATTCTTGAAAGACTACTAAAAAAACACTTGTAGTTGCATACCTTGCTCCGTCAGCGATGCAGCTCCGCAACAGTGTCCGACCACTATCGAAGAGCGTCGAGTCGCGGTGGCTGGTGATAGTAGGGGTTGTAGTATGGACTGCTTGTAGACAAGATGGCGACGGGGAGAAACGATCCTGGTGTGGCGTCGACACTAACTGCAGGTCAGACATCGATGGCAAACAATACGGCATCGAGAGCTTGCGCTGCAGCAGCGACATTGGCGTCGGCGCTTGTTCTGCTTGAGAGAGACACACGGTGAAATCCTGCAAAGGCGAAGTGAAGAATGATGTTTGGAATCTTGGCTGCGGAAGACCTGCGAAATCCTGCAAAGGCGAAGTGAAGAATGATGTTTGGAATCTTTGCTGCGGAAGATGTAGAGCATCACGATGACTGTGCTGCAAAAACATAAGCGCTGGTTCTGGCGTTGACCCTTGTACAACTAGATCAGGCAGCGAAAGTGCTGGCATTGACCCTTGCAAAGGACTGGAGGCGTGCTGCTGGCGCTGCTGCAGCGGCGCCACAGGTGGGGGCGGGATACAAGGTGGCTGCAGCTGTTCTGCACTATGCTGGAACTGGTGGTCATGGGCTGACGCCGGAAGCGACACTGGCAGCAACCCCTCTGTCCGAAGAAGAGGAGGAAGCGTAGGCGGAAGACTCGGCGCCAATGTTGTGGTCTGAACAGAAGATGACGAAGTGGTCCGCTGAAGAACTACAGAAGACGTTGAAGAGGCCGCGACGGCCGATGTTGTGGTCATTGTCGGCGCCAGATTCGGTAGAGAGTAAGGTGGAGCATGGAAATCTTGTTGCCAGAAAGGGCAGCTGCCAGAGTGCGCATTCTCATCATTGTTGGCCGCCACGAGACCAACATTAGTGGCCGACGTTCGAGGCTCCTCATTGTTGTGCCACGTGCTGGGCGTAACATCCCCGCCGCGGCTGAAGATCATGTCTTGGTTATAGTAGGGGTAGGCCACCATCTTGCTGTCCTTGGACTACAAGAAGCACTCCTTGCAGCAATGTTCGTCCCGGCAGCAAAGTTCCTTGTCGTGGTTGTGCTTGTGGCGATGATGTTGCGCTTCCTCGAAGATAGGGACGAGCTTGTTGTAGCGATAGTAGTTATAAAAAAGATGTTGCAAAGTTGAAAATCGTGATTGAAATGCAGCGTTTTATGTTCACCAGAACCAGAGGTAGAAGAAAAAAATCTTGATAAATAATTCAATCATGTAGTGCGTGTAATAAATTGTAACTCATGAAAGGAAAATGCTTGATGTCACACAGCCATAATAATATAATAATATTTGTACGTCATGAATATTAAGTGTTGTAGTAACTGTTCGTTGTACAGATCTAAGTATATGCAGATGATTTTGTTGCTCTGATTTTTACTATGTAATACTTGAATGTAGTCCTTGCTAGCAGATCCAGACGCATAGAATAGTTATAATGAAATAGTTAGATTCACATTAAGATCATTGCAGTCATGGAGGAAGAAGAGAAAACAAATTTATAATATAATCGGCAATCATGTTACAATGAATGCCTTGCCAAGAGATACTGAGTGAGTAAAACTCAATAAATATGATCTATAAATTTTGAAAACGGATAATTTATTTCGATGGATCTACAAAGGATATTGTCAACGATGAAAAAGAAGACTCGAGTACTGTAACTCGTCACGTCGAAGTTCTTGCTACTAACTACTTCTTACAACAACTTCCTAATAATGATTTGGGACGGGAAGGATTCTGCAAATCCAAGTTGAGTTCCAGACTGAGCCTGCAAAAAATGTGAAGGATGAAGGTGAAGGTGGTCCTCGTGTCAGGATGTACTAAGTCATGTTGAAAGGTCCTCTATCACTATCTTGTTTGGAGGTATCAACAAAATCATGTAGAAAATGCGAGACAAGATATGAAAACGACGACACTAATGAATGTGAAGTGAAGAATGCGAGTAGGTGTAGTATACGAACGAGGTGATGAACCGACAAATTGAGTTGTCACATCAATGCTTCCTATGAAATTCTACGAGTTCTAGAATGAGTTCTCAGTTGTAAGTTCATCTCTCACTCTCCAGCCGATGTATTCTAAATAAGACAGAAACCTCAATCTTCTGGACGAAGACTCTCAAAAAGTACTTAGTAGTGCTTGGTGCATAAGTACACAGAAATGTTCGTGCGAACCGATTGTGTTTTCTCAAGAAATGAACACATTCTTTTGTAATTGCATGTAACAACAACTATGTCTGAGAAACCACGAGCGGAACTTAGAAGGCCTTGCTTCCAAGATCATGATCAGAAGTGTCCTCTTGCGTATAACTGCTCAACATTGTCATCTTGTACTTGTTTTAGTTCACCTTTTCACCGTACATGATGACTGCACTCAAGCAAAACGACCAGCAAATTGTTGGCCAATGCTACCAGCAAATTGCTGATCTTGTTCTTCCTCATCGTCTCCAACTCGTTCAACCTACGACAACTCGTTCAACGTTACCTACGACAACTCGTTCAAGTCGATTTTCTACAACTACCAGCGACAACATTAACAACAACATCTTCACCCTTTGCTCTGCTGAGAAGTCCTCCACCAAGTACGATTTTTTCTGATTAATTGCCTCTGCGAGTTGATTCATCGCCATCAATGATCCCTAGTATTGATGGGCGGGCACAACGAACGAAGTGCTCTTAAAAAATACTAATTCCCTTCGTCCTGGTATTCATCCGCTCTTAAAAGATAGAACTACGTGTACGACTACGTCGCCTCTCCCTAAAAATGTGTCAAGTCGAAGTGCGACTTCTAGTTCAAGGTAAGGATATATAAAGATATTGACGAGGAAAATGCAAATGCTGCAGCGAGGAGCGCCGAAAATAACAGCTCCTACGCTTCATCGTGGTACATCAACGTGAGAGTAGGCATCAACAAAGGAGCAGCTTGTTCGGCCCAGAATGCACGATCGCTTGTAGCTTAGGTTAGTAGGCTCTGGTCTGCTATTAATAAAGAGACTGAATGTACTATATATAAATTTGTGATCGACGTCATTCTTTCCCAACCTTGTAGAGCCAGTCGCTATTGCCTTTCTCAGCGTTGGCTGCTTTTTCTTTCTCCGTCCTCGTCCAGAAGGCGTCTTGTTGCTTGTTAAACATCTCATTCCAATTGTACAGACTTTCGTCTTTTTCCAAATGGCTTCGGATTTTTGCGTTATATTTCTCGATGAATTCCCATTCTGCTTCTGCTTTGGCACGCTCTAGCCTCCGACAAAACTCCCCTCCTCTCATTCGCATCTTTCATTAGAGTGAGAAGATCAATCCAATTTTTACCAGCAACACGACTACTAGTACTATTCTTCGTCTATTGCAGATCATCATGAAGAACATTTTTATTTTCTTGTTCTTTATCGACGGTCTAGTACAACGCTGTTGAATCCCAAAAAAATGGTTCTACTTGCCTTAGTTTAGCTGCTGTCGTTTTTCCGCCTCGGTTGGTCTGGTTCCCATCTTCTGCTCGATACCGAAAAGGGCGACGTTAGAAGAAAAAAGAGAGAAGCAGAACATCACACTCTTATCCAGGCCATACCTTCCGCTCATGATAATCTTGCCTCCCATCGTGGCTCAAGAGGTGGAGGGGACCAAAAGGGAACAGCATGATTAGTATGAGTAGTACTAGTTCTTGTAGTATTCTGTTGGCCAAATACAATAACCAAGTAGAAGAAACAGAAAGATACTATTTCTAAATCTAGTTATAGAAAAGGAGTTGTAGTACTTTTATTGTACATTTCTTGTTCTAGGAGAGCATAATTTTGACCCCAAACTCGGTGATTTTGCCTCCCATCGTGGCTCGCCCTTTGACCTCGATCCAATACGTTTTTACCTTGATTAGAGCAGCTGGAGGATTGAACTCAGTTGTTGTACTAGAGAGTTGCTGCTCAACAGACCGGCTATAACAGCGCGGCTCACCAGACAGATTACCCTGATGATGATCTTCATCTAACGTTGTGGACATAAACTAGTACGTAAGCATCTAGATGATCCACGCACCACCAGTTGCACGTAAGTATAAAGATCGCACTAGTACTTAAGTATCTAGATCATTACATCGGGACGAGCAGGTGGCTCACATGATCTACATCTACTCACAGGTTGACGCTTTGCATAACTTCGGTTGCATTTTTTTCAAACCCGCATGAAAATCTTCTGGATCAAAGCCGTCTTCGTCTTTGCCCCACTTCTTTTGTATAGCGTCTAATAGTGCGGGTTCCGTAAACCATAAAACGTCTTCGAAATCTGGACATTGTTGTTGAGATACCATCACAATTCTGCAATAGCAATCTTCGTAGTAATATCACCACTAGTAAGTGCCATCATAATGTTGCATAAACTGTATCACAACTAGTAGTAGTACCATCATAATCCTGCAACTGTATCGCCTTATTTTGGATTTCGATTTCAGTGCCGTACATTTTAGCCGCATAGAGCACTCTCGCCACAAAGGTAGCGCCAGATATCAATTCTTCATTGGGCTGTTGATGTTGAAATAGAAGATTAAGATTTTTTGTTGTAGTTCAGAACTTAAAGTTGTCATTCACCTAGTCTTACCTCTCGTTTCCTAGTTAGTATCGAAAACACAAAAAGAAAACCAATATCTTCTTACCGTCACTACATCCTTGTATCTAAATAGAAGTTGTACCCTGAAAAATTGTGCCGTTCCCCATTGATTACAGCTATCGTAGGAGACACCAGCCTGTCTGTTGCTCATGACCGTAGGAAAACTATATTTTTCCCAAAGACAAGTGTTATCGCAGACCTGATGAGGTAGATGTTCTTGTTGCGGTCGTATTTCGAGCAGATGTTGAAGACACCGACTTCTACTTCATCAAGACTTGAGATCATAATCACAGTAGACAGATAGAGATACTCAACAGGTTTCTTACGAACCTACTTAAGAAGATACCACCCGCCAACAGCCATCCCTTGTGAGTTCGCCTTTTGTTTTTGATAGTGCCGTTGTTACTCTTTCGAGCATTAGAGTGCGTCGTGCTGGCCTAACGCTCTCCACCTACTCCTAGTAAGTTAGGCTAGACAACCAATCCTAATAATCTCCATAAGATTTAGAACAGCCTTTATCCGAAAAATGATCCTCATAACAGCCGTTATCCTAATGATCCTCATAACAGCCATTCCGGATAGAAATGCTCGCTCAAGGTTTTCATCCGCTCAACCACCTCAGAAGGAGGTAGGGATCCTCCTTGAAGCGCTGCCGCTGCCTCCTCCTCATCGTCACTCTTTGACTGTTCTTCTGGCGTGCTCATGAAAAGGGTTCTCCTGGTGCGCGTGGGCGGGCGAAGGCCTTTACAAATACTGTTACTGCTGTACAACAAGCATAATACAACTGCTACAACAAGCCTCAAGTACAACTCCAGTACGGCGTCTAAAAAAATACAACTTTAATATCTAGTACAACGAAATCTCCAACAACCACTACACCTCATCCTCTTCAACATCATCTAGTACAAGCTCTAGTAGTGTAACGAGCCCTAAGTTTCGGTGGCTCGACTCCAGTATAGAGTGCTTCTAATCCGGTCCGTGTTAGTAAGCCTCGAGGACAAACGTTAAAGTCCTTCTGTGGGCCTACTATGATTTCTTCCTCCTCCACTTTCTTTGAACTGCTGCTGGATGCGGATTCTTTGCCCTCACGTTAGAAGAAGACAGGAGGACGAGTCGTGGACCTTACAGAGACAGGTGGACCTTATAGAGACAGTAATGCCGGAGCTCGGACAACTATCTACTATTTCAGTTCTTATGTAGCCAGGTATAATGAGGATAGGATAGGATAGGATAGGATAGGAGGTGGTTCGCCGTCCACAGTGTGACCTGCATCATCGGGCGAACATTTGCAGCCACAGAAAGACCACCAACTTTCATGAGGACGAGGAGAGGGAGATCCATTAAGAAATATTTACTTTCATAACTTCCTTTCCCAGCCAGTATGCCAATTAAAGCACCAGGTGTACTTTTGGCTCCAAGCTCATCCTCCTCGTCACTGCTTTCGGCAAGTTTCACCATGGTTGTGTAGTTCGAGGAAAGACGCTTTTATGTTGATGGTGCTTGTTCTTGGTACTTTTTTGATGTGTTAGAGTTAGTAGAAAGACTAAGACCTACTTGTGAAGATTTAGATTAGCATACCTGTACTCCATTATGAATGATTTCAAAAAGTCTAATTTCTCTAAAATTCCGATGGCTTTCTGATTCTTGCTGAGCAGAAAGAAAAAATCACCACTACGAGCGAGCAATTTATGCTATTGATGCGTTTTCAAAAAATAATAACTAAATCCTAAAAAAATTTTCGTTTCAAGAATTCCAAACTTGAAAACTCTTTGAACTATTCATTATCATCACACCTATCTCTAGGAAATTATAGAATCTGATGAAAAACGAAGATTTTTCCTTATGAGAGTAGCGCACAATAGCCTAATCAAAATTAAATCTTCGAAGTCAACAACTTTCATCATGGCAAATTATCTCATCGTCAGGAATTTAAATTTGAAAAAAGTAGATAAAATCAAATTTTTTTGGATATTGAAGATCTGAACTTCAAATTTCAATTTCAGTTTTCTACCAATTTTTGCACTAGATACACTTAAGTAAGCAATATTTTATTTTACATCGTAGCGATAGAATACTCTCTATAGAGAAATTGCTTTAATTTTCGAAGATGTGTCACAAAATACTTTAATACTTCTCGAAATTGATAGCAGTGGATACAACAACATGACAGGACACTCCAAAGATAAGAGAAAAGTCAATGATGGGTGGACAAGAAATGATGGGTGGTCCGGGAGTGGTCGGGTAGCTCTCATATTTTGGGCTCTCTCGAAATCTGAAAACCGTCGGCTCCTCTCTCACTGGGTCGTGTAGGTGTGTGGCTCACCCTCAAGATCCACTCAGCATCCGATCAGGAGGACCTGGACATAGAGAAGTAGTAGATAATGATTCCTCACATCTTGTTACTGCTCGCATGTAGAGATTCAGATTGTAGACCTGCGTCTTACCCTGACTCTATTGTCCTTCCAAGGACCGGAGGAGGAGGCGGACATTGTTATGATTTTCATCGCACTATGGCCCAATAAAGCATGCTGACGTACAGGTGGACATGGGGCTTTTTTAATTGATGTACTCGCGGTCTCTTCAATGAGGGTGTGAGTGAATCATTTTTGTGGTCCTAAAACAATCAAGTCTGTTGCTCTTTTGCTGTCTCCGATGGCCATGGTTCTTTCAACAGCACACTTATGTCGTTCGAGCTTTTATTCTTCATATTTGAGGCGATATTTGATGTATCTATTTTGCTCGGCAAGTAGAATACAGAAGACTCTGCTGTTGGAACCTCAATTCTAGCGTCATGGGCACCATCCAAGGGCTGCAGCAACTGTGTACACAGACGTCGAGGTTGTAGCACGATATTGGTCACATTCGGCGCTGCCCGACCATTCCCAAAGATCTGCGAGTCAGTTGCCGCTCCGCTTCCAGCTCTGAGGAAGGTCCAGCTCGCAGAGTACATCTCCTCTGGTGTCTCGTCCACCTTGACTACGAATTCTGCTATCTTATTCTTCAGCAAGCCAGGATAAAGACCAAGGACGAGGAAGTTAGAGGTGGAGAGGGAACTCTTGTGGAAGTTGTAAAGGAGGATCGATAAGGAGTTAATATTAGATGATCATGGAAGGAATACGTCCGTATACCCAGGAAGATGAAAACGAAAAAACTGATAAAAATTCTAATGGCATTTATGATGTTAGAATCATCAACGTCAACTAGAGGAGGTCGTGATGTACTAGGACTGTAGCCATAACACGTAACCGAGATGCACTTGTTTTTTGATCTTCTTCTGCTTGTTGCTCTTTATGCTCCGGATGCACACCGCTATGCCCTGTATGTGCAGCTCGATCACTCGTCCTGAGTAAAGCTATCCAGACTCTTTGCAGACCTTTTTCATCTAATTTGAACTTATCCTGCATCCAAAAGAATGGCTGTCCATCAGACGCGGTTGTGGCAATGTTTTCCACCACGCCCTTCTTCATTTTGAGACGCCAATGTGAAGAGGAATCGCGGATAAAACGAAGACCGATATCAGGGGACCAGGTATGATGGAGTTTGAACTCCAAGCCCTCCTTCGCACCAGCATGAGCAAAGAACTCGTTTGGCGTGAACGCAAAAGATAGAACTCCTCCTGAGGAGGGAACTTTCACCAGTTTCTTGCTATTCTTGCCTCCTCCAGTTATTTGGTCCGGAAACTCGCCTTCCGCTGATAATTTCACGGCAGGCCATTGCACAGACGCCCAATTGTCCTTCCAGGAAGCCCCTAGCACACTTCCAGTTCCTTCTCGGTTTGGAGCACCACGTGAAAATTGTCGACTTGTAGTTCCGTTCTTGGATGTGGAGGACCCTCCTTGTTCTAGTACGGAATAGCGAGAATAGTCATAACAAAGCTTCTTGCTTGATGTAGCTTTGATGCCACTGCTGTTCTGATGTTGATACTGCTGTTCTATTTTTCTTCGTTTCAGACCAATAAACTCTTCCGAAGACGAGGATGATGAAGATTCCTCCTCATCGTGGTCGTCGTCTGAGCGTTCCCGCTCTCCAGCAGGACAACCTCCTGTGGTCTTCTTGTTCGTAGTTCTTGGAAACTCATATCCTCCCAACAGCTTACTAATACGTACTTCCGAAAAAACGTCTTCGACCTGCTTACTACTGAGACTGTCAGTGTTCGGAATAACTTCAGACGTCGCAGAAGCTCTGGAGCTCTCCTTCCCCCCACTCCTTACCAAAGCATCTACCACAGAATATCGTGGAAGATGTTGTTCAGCAATTTTGTTCTTGTTCGCCGCGACGTCTGTACAAGATGAACCTCCTAATATTAGAGCTCCTGTCCGTAAAAGTTCATCTTTCAAGTGCATCCTTGAAGAGTATGGGGGAGTCCTTTTCCCTTTTTAGGTGGATACTCCTCGTCCATACATTTCATCAAGGATGCAGCGTCCAAAGATGTATTAGGTACTATGAAAGAAAAAAGTGCGCTCACACTCAAAAAAAGTGGCTACTTTCCTACTTAAATCCTAGCCAATTTCTTGAGTGTGAGTGGACTTTTTCGTTTCATAGGTACAGCCTTAATAATATAGTAGCTGAATGATGATCTACAGAACCTCCTAATAATATAGTAGCTGAATGATGATCTACAGGAGAACCTCCTAAGCCCAAAGATCATGTATTAGGTACAGCCTTAATAATATAGTAGCTGAATGATCTACAACGCCGGTTGTTGACGATGTCTTCATCCCTACCCTCAGTCCCTTCTTCTCCGTCACTTTTCCAAACGCCAAGGACCTTCCTGGACCAGCTTTCGAGAGAGTCAAATTCCGAAACCGTTCTTTCACTGTGAAGGTGATAAGACTCTTAAAGTGCTCATCGAAAGGGGGAAATTCCAACACGACAGTATTCATCTTGGGTCGAGTTATTTGTTGAGAAGACTCCGTTCTTGGCGGTCGAAAATCTTCTTGAAAGTCTTCTCGTTGTTCACGACTTGCTAGCAGCCAGGATACAACTTCGAGCTCGACCTGCGCAAGAAACTCGAGGTTCTCCTGCCAGTTCAAAGAGGAAATGAAGTCGTCCATTTTGTGTTTGATATTGCTGTGTACGAGTAGGTGTAGGTGGAATCTGCAACATCAATGCATTGATTGATACTCTTTATCGACAAATGAAAACTTTTTTGCGAGGAGGATAAAAACTCAAAAAATAGGGTCCTGGAGCAACCAAATCAAAGTAACCGACTACGATTTCCGACCACAATCAAAAAGCTGTAACGTAAACGCGGCAGCAAAGAAGGGCTAGTGATGTGAGGCAAACTTCTAAAAACAGCACCAGCAGGAGGCAGGGGAAATGACAAGATCTTCAAAGACACCATGATGAGAGGGAGAGCCGATGATCATAACAGGAAGAGCGTAGACACCAATCAAGGGAAATATTTGTGTCTTGTTGAGGTTGCCGCCCTCCAGCCGAACATGATGTCAGAAGGTTTCTACAGGATCATAGAAAGCCTGCAGGACGATTATAAAGCGCTGCTTTTCAGCATCACAATTGAGAAAATTATCGTTTTTTTATTTGCTGCCCAACTCCATGTGGATCAAAAGAATTCCGCGATGGTCACACCGAAAGACCACAGGCCCGCACCAATGCCAAACAACATGAAAAGTAGGAGGAAGACATGCTACGACTACGTAACGTCGTTATTCTGCTCATACTCAACAACGTACTTTTACTTCTTAAGAAAGAGCTGCTACGCATTTCTAGACAAGTCTGTGTAGCAAGCACGATCTTGGTCTTCTTGTGTAGCAAATCATGTTGTACTTGAGTAGTGCCTTCTAGTGCTAGTTGTAGAAGGACAGTCTTGTCGTTGAGTATGAGAAGTCTAAGCAAAGCTGCAGCTGAAATGATCATGATGTCAGGTTAGGTTAGGTGTGGGTCCACTAGGTAAACCATCATGATCATGATGTACTAATCAATAAATCTAATGGAAATGGTTTGCTTTTCACTGATGTAATCAAATCTCATGATCATACTAATTAAGACACAAGGATTACTATTAATTAAGATTTAAAAGGTCAGAGAAAATAACAAGGAGCCTAATTCATGATGTACTAATCAATAAATCTAATCAATGGCAACCAATGGTTTGCTTTTCACCCCTTCATAAACAAAGCGTAGAAGACATCTTCTTTCGGAGTGGCGAGAGGGGAGTGCGTCCCACGGCGCTCCATCGGATCCAGCACGGTCATGTAGTAGTGGAAATAGGCCGGCAAAGTGGTATGAAAGAGGAAGAAGAAACAACGGGAAAGTTAGTGGAAGAAGAACCAAGCTGATGGGGAACTCAATGAGTGGAACCAATGTAGGTTGGAGGGGGATAGTGGAAGAAGAAACAAGGGGATGGGGAACTCGTCAATGTAGAAAGTTAGTGGAACCAACGCCAGGGATGATAGGGAACTCAATGTAGTTGTTGGTTGCAACAAAGAGGCCATATGCATATACTCTCTCCTTTATGCCAATAGTAAGTAGCTCCTGGATATCGCAGGACGGGATTTTGCGAGCAGAAGTTGCCATGATACTACCTATCTAAGAGTACAACAAGAACAAAAAACTATCACATTCCATAAATGAACGCCAACAGGTTGCACGTGATGGCTCCAAGAAGCGAAAGAAATAACCCGAAATGGGGAATGGTGAGGGCTGTCAGCGCGGATATGAATGTGATCACAACTCGTAGTAGGCATTTCTCGTATATGTTTAGCGATGGTAAGTGTCGTCTGGAGTCGTTGGTTCTTGTACTGGCGCGGGAAAGATTAGAAGCAGCTGCGATTGATGTAAGAAGATTAATATGATGAGATGAATGAACACACTCACACTGACACTTTCAAGAATACAAATTTCCAGGAGGAGGGTAGGTCGTGGTTCTAATCTTTAAAAACGGAAGGTAAGCTACATGATCAACTCAGAGACAGAAAGTAAGATACATGATCAAGTCAAACAGAAAGTAAGATACATGATCAACTCAGAGACAGTCAGAACCAGAAGGATATTCATCCTGGCCTTAAGGAGAGGAGCGTCAACAGGAGATGGGGTTACAACTTCATCTTCTACAACATCATGGAGAGCGTTGGCCGGTGAGGGTTGTCCACCAGAAGATGCAAGGGCGCTCTTTGGTGATAATCGTCCTGTCAATATCTTGTTGACAGGAGGACTTCTCCTGCTGTTCATGTAGTTATCTCCTCTTGTACTAGAGGAAGAAGAAGGCCCCTCGTCCTTGTCTATCTGCTGCTCATCATCATCATCATCATCATCGTCGTCGTCGTCTTCTAAGGTGATAGCGAATGTGCTAGATGGTGCTGCTTCTCTCTCGTTCGTCCTATGATCGACATTTGTGGAAGATGATCGACTCATTCGCGTTGCTCGGTTGGCGTTAGAGGTACTAGCAAAAAGTACTAGAGGAGGCACCTGCTAAGCCGCGCAGATAGTATTTACTACGCAGGTGGGGAATAGCAAAAAGCAACATGCACTATGGCCATCCTTCATAGGCCAGAAATCTTCTCACAAAAGAAATTACAATTGTAAATGAACATTTAAGGCATTTAATGTAGCCCCTGCATGAAAAAAATCCATATGACCCCTAGCTCTTTCATCATCTTCTACGCTTCCTGCTCCTCCTCCATCTTCCTCGTCTGTTGCTTCATCTAGATCGTCTACCTGCTCGGTATAGTAGCTCCATCGCCGGAATTTGTCTTCTCCTCCGAATACAGAATCCGCTATCTTCTTGCCAATTCTGCTGATCACTCGCCGATTCGGCAAGCACAATTGCGATCGGATGAAGATTAGAAACATGCAGCGAGGACGTGAATCCCGAAGGCAGCAACTTCGCGGAAACTTTCCAGAAACTCTGCCACTTTTGTGACTTATAGGAAGATTTTGGCAAGATTCAGGGAAGTTTCTTTCTTCTCTTCAGTATCTATTCACGTGGATCATCCAGGTACATAAGAAGACTGAGTTTTCCAGGAGAGTGAAAACCGGAAACATGATCACCGGATAAGAGAAGAACATGCTTAGACTTTCCGGGAATCTCGTCCCATTTTGAAAGTCAAATCTTGGACCCGTTTGCTCCTTACATCACGGGAGGTCCAAGAAAATCATCTTGGACCCGTTTGCCACTTACATCACGGGAGGTCCCCCTTACACGGGAGGTCCAAGTAGATGCTTTTCAAAATGGGAGATTTCCGGAAGTCTTAATATGCCCAAAACGTAGAACAAGATGACGAAGGACGTGACTGTGCTTTCTGGATAGTTGAAGGTCACCATGGGTTGCACGCCAATCACTGTCTCTACATCTGTATTCTCGTTTTCTATCAACACTTGTCGAGTAGAGACTGTAGAAGTCGAGTCGTCTGTAGCTTGTTCGGAAGAAGGGAATGACGACGAGGTGCTACTTGTGTCACTGGTTGTTGTTGGCGATGATGTTGTCCCAGTGAGGAGTATCCTGTGCAAGAAGCTACTAGAAGGGAGCACAGACTCTACGAGGAAAGATAAGGGAGATCCAGTTGAGGCTGCTGCGTGTGATGTCATTCTGTAGTTTTCATCGTGATGATTTGAAATACTACGCGGCTTGTCCCAAGAAAAACCCACATCCATTGACTTTCTCCGCAGTTGTCTACTGATGTGCTCTCCATGTTCTGTTGACGGCGGACCGCCCCAGCGCAAGTAGCAACTGAGACCGAAAGAGACGAAGAGCACCGTCAAAAAAATCATGCAGTTCGTTACGACATTCGTCATCCTTTCGGGTTGCTGCATAGCGCGTTGGCATGGCAACAGTAGCCCAATGCCTTCAAAAGCAAACACCGCAATGCCGAAAAAGATCGGGTATTGGGCAAAGTTGAATGCCACCAAAGTCGCAGGAAGGACGTCCTCGAGCTGCTCCTTTTCCTTTTTCGTGATCGTATTCTTGTTCTTCTTCATGATAGACGAAGTGTCGATCTTGGCCGGATGATTCGTTGTCGCTGGAGAAGGATGCTTAGAGCTAGCTAGAGCTAGTAAGTTGTGGCGTAAGTATAATTGATGCAACGAGAAGTCATCTACTCCTCCAATCATTCTTGAGGCATCATACCGGAGGTACTAGATGAAATATTACTAGAGTCGTTCTTGTACGGTAGACCCCTTTTTGCAAAGGTGGATGGATTTAACTGAGTACAGCAAGTAGAGTCATAAGTGTGGTGCTGCCGCCTTGAACAAGCAGGGTAGTAGAATTCGTTGAACTACTAGTACTCGCGACCACAGGCACAGCATCACTAGTACCGCTGGAGCTACCACTTGCAGTACCAGAAGTAGAAGGCGAGGACGAAGACACAGATTGTTGCTGAGCTGCAGCAGGTGTTGCTTGATCTTCACCGGACGTTGAAGATGAGAAGGAGGCAGAGGGCGCCGTGGTCGCTGGTGTGGCTGTTGCCTGTTGCTGAAAAAAGCTACTGCTGGAAGAGGACGCTGAAGAGCTGCCACTTGCTGAGACACCTTCTAGAGACGAAGTGGGTTTGCTGCCGCTGCTGCTGCTGCTTGTTCTGCTAGAATCTGAAATCGTCGACGGCGGTGAAACTGCTAAAGTGTCCTTTTGCTGAACCGGTACTGGTATGTTTTCCCGTTCCTCAACAGGAGGTGTAAAATCTGGAAAACTCAAGTAGCGCCGCGCAGTGTCTTTCCACGACGAGGTAGGAGCTTCTTTTTCTTCTTCTTCTTCTTCTTCTGTTGAAGATAAAGTTGAATGCAGGTTCATCTTCATGTCGTTCTCGTTGTCGTAATTCCTAAGAAAAATTATCTTTCCGTCACCTCCGTCACCGTCTGTAGAAGGAGATGGACGATCAAAAGAACTTCCTAGACTTCCTTCTAGCAGGAGTCTTCTCCGATCTTCAGCTCTTGCGGAATCCCCAATCTCGTCTGCGCCCGATCGAGCTTCTAAAGTCCAACCGAAAGCATTCATGTAGCCCCAACCTATACCGATAAGCAGAGAAACGTTGGCAAGGAGTGTTGGGATGAGATATTAGATATTGTTATTGATGTGGTTGAGTCACGACAAGATGAAGAAGATTTTGTGAAGATAATCCTCATGAAGAAGATGTTGAGATGACTGTTGTTCTGTTGAGAACGTGAACGGGTAAAGAATGACAGTCTCGGTTTCTGTTGAGATGACTGTTTCTGTTGCGATGACTGTTGACGTTGAGATGACTGTTTCTGTTGAGATGACTCTTGAGAGTAAAGAATGACAGTCGAGATGACTGTTTCTGTTGAGAACGAGATGACCACTGCTTCCGTTTGAACTAAGAACGTCTTGAAGACTTCATGATCGATGTGGTAAAAAGAAACCATAATTGCCTTAAACTAATGTGGTAAAAAAAACTACTCCCTTAAACTAGTGTCTTCATGTTCTGCAGGAAGACGAAGGGCAGCAAGAACAGAACGCAGAATAGCGAGATGGAGATCGTACTCGGACAAATGTTCCGCTTCGTTTCGTAACACAACACTTTTTGCGTATTTTCGGGTATGAAGATCATATACGCTATCCCAAACCCTGCCTGCGTGATGATAATCGACACGTTTATCAAGGATTTTCCGCTCTTTCCCATGATAAATTTGCCTACATCGCCAAAAGTCTTGGCTTCTGGCGTCAACTGGCTGCGTCGACGGATGGCAGCTGCCGCATGCTTCTTCATCATCGAATGCACCCGTTTTGCTGGAGAACGTCGAGACGATTTTCGACTGTTTCTCTGTTGAGATGGATGATTAGAGCGTTGAGATGGATGATTAGAGCGTTGAGATGGATGATTAGAGCGTTGTTGAGATGGATGATTAGAGCACTTCGTGCTCGTGTGAGTCAGTCAGCTTCATCAATCTTGAAAACAAAATCATCAATCTCAATGCACTAAGCCGTAAAAGGAGAAGGACTTCTTCGACTCGAGGGGTCTTCTGCTCCTTCTTCAACAGAGTTCCTGTTGTTATCCCTAAAAGGCTCTTCCCCACCAGATGACTCCACTGCGTCACTACTGTTTCCAGAGGAGGATGAAGAAGAGTGTATTCTAAACTGCTGGACATTGCTCGGTGGAGATTCACCTCCAGCTCCTTCAGCTGATGATCTTCCCACGTTTCCTATTACTACTGGCTCTTGAAGATCATCATTTTCGTTTTTCCCTCTAGAACTACCTTCTAGTGCAGCTGCTTCTCGTTCTCCAGTTGCGTAGAAGTTATCTTCGCGCACATCACCATGATCAGCATGGTCTTCGCTCCTTTCACTATTCCTTCTACTTCTTCCCGTTCCCGTATCTACTTGGTCTGCATTCATAATTTGCTCGTTTTCCTCCTTGATCTGTTTGTTGATCAGCGTCGACGACTCCAGCAGCTTCATCATGCATCTGTAGGCCATAAAGGCTAAGCCAATGAGACCCGCGGGTCCGCCGAGGTAGCCACCACAACTCATGGCATGCTTAGAGCTCCTCACCTAAAGCTAAAACCATTTTGAGATTCAAATCTTTGTATAATGGGATAAGTAGTTCTACTAATTATACAGTACAAGATGGATTAGGGTAACGAAGCCTTAACATACGGCAAAGAGAGGATCCCTATCCCCACAAAGCCTTTGACAAAGGTCAAAAACGTTCCTAGCTCCCCCTGTAGGTGGTCTCCTACGGCGTCGTGTTTCATAGCAGCGATCTTCTGCTGGAACTCCAGGAAGTCCTGCTGTGGTGACGTGCTGGAACCGAGACGGGAAATGAAAGTCGTGGAAGCATGCTGCTGTATATTCAACGAGTACTAAGTCGTACTAGTACTAGAAAGAAGGGTATGGCGGTGAAATAACGCACGGTGGAATGGGATGATGATAAAAAAAATTGATGAAGAATACAGCAATGAAGATAACTGAAGATTGAGTATTCATATTATTATTAAAACAAGAAGTACTTCTTACGACGTAGAGGATCAGGAACAGGAGGAAGAACCAATCATAACATCATTCCAGGCTCTCCCGCTCGTCGTTATCGGGAAAAAAGTGTGCAAAAAAGCTGGCAAGGGCACGCTGCTTCTTTGCTGAGCAGTTCGACTCCTCCTTCCTCCAGGAGCTCCGCTAGGCCTAGCATTGTCTCGTCCAGCTCTCGAACAAGAGGACGAGGATGCGCTGTCTGCTTGGTCCAGTTCCCTAGGGTCAAAGCCTATGAAATCCGACAAGCCAGTCTGTTCAAGCTGGTAGTTCTTGATAAGTTGTTCGAGGTCTCCCTTATGGTCACTCCGAAAACCCGTGTTCCCACTGCTCCGACGTGGAATGGGGGAACGGAACGCGCTGTTTGGGTGAGACATTTTCCAGTAGGTGTGGATTGACTCCTATGCGCTTGTCGTTGTCTGTCTCATGTTCAACTGGTGGCTATTCGACGTTTATTTCACAAGTCGGTCACCGAACTGCTCTTTTCTGATTCAATTTTTTCTCCTCACGACTCCTTGTTGTACCTGTTTATCAGAAACAGAATGCAGCTTGTTCAACTCGTCTCTCATCCTCTCTCACTTTCGTCTCTCGGTTTTGCTTCTCTCCTCAGATTTAGCACTCATCGTTCCACTCTAAATCCTCAAACTCAAGATGAGTACAAGTACTATGTTCGTTACCTCATGCTCCTTTCCTCGTCACTCTAGTTCTTCGTAGTGCTCTCCTGTTAGTTGTAGTTACTCTCAAGCTTTTGTTGTGACAGCCACGACCACCTCCAGATTGATTACGCAGTACCCGCAGGGACAAAATGACCAGCCTTTCCGTGGGTGTTTGATCATATTTCGGCTGGCTAGATGTATGTTGCAAACGACTTCTTCTTCTATGTACTAGGACAAAGAAATATACTTGAAAAAATCATCGTTGTTACTGGGACGGGAGGAAGTTCAGCGAGTGAGCAATCTTAAGCATGAGGGTTTTGAGAGTTCCAACTCCAGCTTTAACCGTCTAGAAGATGGTGGACTCAATTTAAACAAATCCTTGTTGACGTTGATCATATTGATGCTCATTATTCAAGCCCCACCAAGTTTTGATGATACATCTTCAACATTTGCAGTACTAGTTTTCGCGTCGTTCGCCTTCCTTTTAGCACGTATCTTTTCCCTTCTTGGAGGAGCAGCTCCGTCTCCACCAGCAGCTGCTAGCTCTCTTTTGCGCTGATATCGTGGAATCAAGATCTGATTTCGAAAGGCTCTATCTGCTTCGTTATAGACTAAACCAGTATTTAAGAGCGAGGACGCAGAGGTTTGTAGTTGTTCCTGAGACTGTTTACGTTTAGTGAACATCTCACTATTATTCCTTTCGACAAAAATGAATTTATCTTGAAAGTAGTGAGGTGCCACTTTATGTGTCTCGAAGGTGGCTGCTGATGCTCCTGCGTTGTCTTTGTTATCCGATGCATCTCCTGGTGAGACTAGCCTCGGATCGAGACATTGAAAGACATTCTGACACCAGACGCCGAAACGCTTGCGGCCACGACCAGACAGGGTATGACCTCCAGCCCGTTGTCCTGCTTCTGGTTTGCTCGTAGTTGATGTACTAGGTTTTCCATTAGGATTTGTCGGGTCCTCGCTACTTGAAGAAGATGTAGATGTAGATGTAGATGGTGTTGCTGCAGTACTAGTTGATGCGCCTTGTTCCTCTACTTCTCCTACTGACGAAGCAGGCTTGTTGTTCTGTTTTGCCTTATTAATATTCGAAGCTCCTCCATCTAGTCCACCGTCACCATCCCAATTTACCATCCCACCATTTTCTTCCTCGTCTGAATCTGTGAGATCATTGTCATCGAGAAGTACACCAGCAACAGGTTCAACTTCGGCAGCTCCGTCGGGTTTCCCACCCTTTTCTCCTACTTCCTCACAAACCAACTGCTCCATTTTCTTCGCTTCCTCGGGAAAGTAGATGTCCCTAGCTGTGAATTCATGATTTCCCACTCTGTACAGCATTTCATGGTGGAGATGCATTTTTCCCGGCAAACAACAAGGTTTCAAAGCTGCGAATCTTACCGTTTCTGGGTTTTTGTTGACTAGTTCCACAAAACGGAGGGATAAAGAGCCGCAAAGATGTACGCCTAGGAGGATAATTTGATTTTTAGGTCTTGGAGGTTGAGCTTGTTGAGCTTGTTGCGCACGTCTAGTGAAGATGTTCTCTTTCTTCACCTTGATGACCTCTGCACTGCCGCGAGTACCAGCATCGCTTTTTCCTCCGTTTAGTACCGCTTCTACTCCATCCACCTCGACATGATCAACATTCCCAATCCTATTCCCACTACCTCTGTCTTCCTTACGCCCATTCTCGAAGATGTAGTGAACTAAATCTGCCAAGTCTCTGCCCTTTTTGATGTCCATCTTCAGAGTCCTCAACGGAATCGGCCAGTCCACTAGATCGATGTGATCACGGGTCATGTGCAGACCATCGCTGTTCGTGGAAGCAACACGAGTCTGAGGCCACATTTTGTCCACTAGGTAGAACTCTTTGACCGTCGCTGCGCTTTCTTGACTGGTCGTGGATGTTGTTGTAGAAGAGGCAGCGTTCAATAATTCCGACAAAAACATGCTCAGTATGCCCAAACCACATCCTAGATCGACTATGGTGTAATAGGGTGTAGTTGACTTTGTACTTGGAGTTGTTCCTTGTTCTGCTTCTTGTCCTGCTGCAACTTGTTCTGCTTCTTGTCCTGCTGCAACTTTGTATTTCTCCAAGAATTCCAATACCCTCTGAATCACCGGCGCCGCTTCATTCAGTTCCTTGACGACACGAGGATGTGGACCCTGTGTTTTCTTCATCAACTTCGACCACGCGGATCGAGGAAGGGCGGTTCGCCATTTCTCCAAGATGGGCACTGACTTGTCGATCAACTCTGGATACAACTTACCGATGGGTAAAGAGTTGAGTAAGTCCCTGAAATAAGTGGCGTCATTGTTGTAGTGCTCGATTTGTCGTTGTTGGTGTTGTTGTTGGTGTTGGTGTTCTTGTTGTTGTTGTTGTTGTGCTCGCTCGGGCTCTACGTGGTCAGCAGGAGCTGGAGGACTGCTTTGTTCGCCTCCTTCAGTAGAAGGAGTAGTTGTACTCGTGGACGAAGACATTCTTTTTTGCAGAAGTGCTAGTAATAGTATTTAAAAAAATGCTACTAGAATGAGGCGCAAGCGCATAATTAACAGGTTGAAGAGCTGCAACAAGTTCGGAAGCTGTAGTAAGCTGTCATCGGAAATTTGTTCTCATCTTCGGAGGCAGAATTTGCGTTGAATCAGAAAGGATCTATCAGAAGACATCTGGTGAGGGATCGAAAGACCACACTGTTGGTGGTACTACTAGTCTGCATCAAGGACTGCTATTTCTGTTGATGAACACTAGAAGTTGAACATGATACACGGATTTGATACTTTACTTTGATTTTAATTTTCTCGAGAGAGCAGCGATCCAATTTTTGAAGGAAAGTAAGTACTACACGAAAATAATGATCTAGGATGAGCCTTCGTCGCGAACAGACCATAGAGCTTTTCGTGCGTCGTGTTTACAACTGACGATCGCAGTGCTGTGGGACCTCCTTGAGTCTTGTACAATAAACTTGATTTTTATTGAAGCTGGTTGTTCGTCGTAGGTCCTGGTCCATACAACAATTATACAACTACATCCTCATTAGACTTGTTATCATCTGGACGAGTCCATTGTCATTCCACCTTGGGAAACCCACCCCGACCACGTCGTCTTAGTCGTGGATTTTTCTTTGAGCCTGAGCATATATTGCAAAGCAACGCCTCGCTAAGTCCCGACATCTTTCCCTCACTCCTTCTCTACAATGTTCAAGATGTTTTTCTGAAATTTTACATGCTCCCCACCTAGCGCCGGCTATGGCTCCCACCAGCACGGGACAGTAGTTGTCCGGGCCCGCGAAAGTGATCGATTCTTGAAGAGCGTGGTCGAAAGTCGAGCCGAGAGCTACGAAGTGCAACGCCGATCGGAGAGCATCCACGCAGAGTCCACCGCGATTGAGCTTTTTAGTGATATGCGCGGCACCGTCTTTCTGAATATTTCCACTCATTGAGAAGGTCGATAGGGGAAGGTCGTTCCCCTCCTGTGACCCCTTCTTATATATTCAGGTGGAACGACATTGTTCCCATATCTTCGTTGCTCTCAATGAGTGGCATCATACACTTTGGAGGCCCTGGCATCCATGATTATGCAACCTGTGACGTCAAGCTCGAAAGCGTTGACAACTTGGTCGCGCTCGCAGGGTAAAACGTCAGACTCAGAGTGTAGTTTTTGTGCAAATTCTTCAATTGTGTGCAGGAAAGCGTCATCTGCTGAAGATGTTCTTGCAATTGTAGTGTTTGTACTAGTGTTCTTTTGAGTAGTATCTACTTCAGCTGAGCAGGCCTTCGGCTTTACGTGATGATCGCCAGTATGAATATGATGTCCGCTATCAACATGTTCAGTCATGCTTTCGCTTTGACCTCCGCAGCCTTTCCCTTTTTTAGCTGCTCTTTTCCTTTCAGGCTCTTTATCTTCGGGAGCTGCATCTTCTAGGACACCTCCAGCAGCATGAGCACTTTCGATGGTCCCGATGCCACCATCCAACAGAAGCTTTCTCAATAGCACTACATAAGCACCACAGCAATGCTGGGAAATGGGATGGCAATGTGTCAGTCGTGATTCTTTTCGCCCCAGTGAGGCAAGCTCTTCGTCAGATAAGTGAGAAAACACAGCGGCCAAAAATCCACAACGGTGTAAAGCGCCAACTGTGGCAGTGAACATTTCAGCATTTACTGCGGAGGCGATATTCTCGAGTCTACATGAAGTAGATCCAGATGGGGAAGAGGCCTGTGATGTGTGCGATGACGAGGAAGAGGCCGCATGTGGAGTTGTGTGCTGTACTGATGGCGCAGTTTCATGTCGTGATCCGGCGTTTGACTCTTCGAGTTAGAGGCCATCTACTATCATTGTGCTAGTGGTCCCAAATCCATCCAAAACCTGTTGAGCATCATGACTTCTGGCTGCTACTTCTGAACATCATTACTAGATCAACAGTGCGCTTCCCGCATGTGCATACTGAACACGAATTATACCCATATGAACTGAAGAATCCTATAAACAAAATAACGCTTCTGTACCGTGATCATACATGACGATAAATTAATGGTTTTAAATTAAAAATCCTTATCAAAAATCATGGCAAAACAAGCCAGAGCCTTAATCAACCCGCTGAAAGATCGTCGCCGCAATACGACCTGTGTCCCATGAGTCCGGCCCTTGGTGCCACCACCGAAGGTAACCTTGCATTATACGTTCTGAATTGTGTTCCGGATGCCCAGCGCCAGTATTCTTAGAGGTGGGGTTTTGGTGTATCATTTCCCCGTTTGTGTTTTGCATTTATCCCTCGGGAGAGGCAGAGGACGCTGGAGCGTGGTTTCTTCTGCATTTGTTCGCCTTCTCAGAGGCAAAACACACGCCGGTAATAGAAACATTTCCTTCAAGCCACCCTTAATATCCCCAACATGTTGTTCATTGAGTTTGAGACATGCTTCTGCTAGCTCCAAAGCCATTTGTACAGGACCACCATTCCGGTCTCCAGCTGCTAAGCCTAGAAAAAGACCGAGGAAGCGATCTTCGACGTCTGATGATGGACGGGAGGAGGAGGACATTTTCTTCTGCTCTATCTTCTTCGTGCTTATCATAATCAATATTCAGAGTCATACATATGTATAAAAAAAGATCCACTTGTGTAGTTAGTGTTTCTTTTTGTTTTACTCGGCTAAAGAACTACTTGAATTCAATCACGATCAAAAGAAAAAGATTAACTTGTTAATCATGAACTGACGAATCTAGGACTTATAACTACAAGTAGCCTCTCATTTTTTGCCGAAAAAGGGGGGGGGGTTGGCCGGCGGGGTCCTTCATTTTTTTCTATTCGATAAACTGAAATAGTATGCAAGTAACTGATCAGAATAACCAAGATACTGAACAAGGAAGAGTAGCCCTGTCAAAGCTACCCCTACCTCCCTTATTTCAGTCAGCAACTCGGTTATTTCAACATCAAGATTTCGAATACTTCTTGGAGTTGAAGTTTATGCGGAACTGCTTGCTCTTGATCAATCTCGAGTATTCAGCACAGGTTTTCTTTGCGTACCAAAATATGTATGATGACACTCTTTTCCTCTGTCTTTGTCCTGGTCCTGCATCATGATAAGAATATGGAGTAACAACAAGCGCCTGAGCATTACCAATAACAAGGGCTCCGCCTCCTGACTTTCATCGCCTCAAAGAAACTATTACGATATTGGAGCGAAACTCTAGAAAGTCTCACCTTCTCTGTCAATCCCAGGGCGAACATCCAACAATTTGGCCTCCAGTTACTACCTGAGATCGATAATATTGGAGCCAAACTCTAGAAAGTCTCACCTTCTCTGTCAATCTTAGGTCTAACATCCAACACCTAAGAACGATATTGGTGCTAAAGTCCAAAAAAACTCAGCCTATATCCCAATCTTAGGTCTAACATCCAACAACTTGGCCTCCAGTCACTACCTAAGATCGATATTGGAGCTAAACTCTAGAAAAATTCAGCTTCTATACCAATCCCAGGACTAACATTCAACGACTTAGCCCCAGATCACTAGCTAAGGTCGATATTGGTTCTAAAGTCTAGAAAAAGTCACACTATGTCATCATTTTAGGCCTAAGATTCAACGACTTAGCTCCAAATTACTACCTAAGATTGATATTGGTTGTTGCTAAAGTCTAGATACGATGTCTAATATCACACAAATTCACCCCAAAGCTCTAAAAGGTTGAAGAAATATCCTCAGACTCGAGTTGGAAATTGAGCAACTCAAGGCAATATCCAAGAAAGTTAGTTTTTATCGCCCAGCGATTGAATTCGTTTCCTATCGCGAGCTTTTCCATCAAGATGATTCTGATATCTTGACCGCTGGCCATCATCGCCAAGATTTCTTTGCTAAATGCACTAGATTCTCGCTCTGCAGATGACTGCTTAGGTCTAACATCCAACAACTTGGCCCCCAGTTACGACCTAAGATCGATATTGGAGCTAAACTCTAGAAAGTCTCACCTTCTATGTCAATCCTAGGTCTAACATCCAACAACATGGCCCCCAATTACTACGTAAGATCGATATTGGTGCTAAAGTCCAGAAAAACTCACCTACTATGCCAATCTTAGGTCTAACATCCAACACCTAAGATCGATATTGGTGCTAACGTCCAAAAAAACTCAACTTCTATCCCAATCTTAGGCCTAACATCCAACGGCTTGGCCTCCAGTCACTACCTAAGATCGATATTGGAGCTAAACTCTAGAAAAAGTCACCTTTTATGCCAATCTTAGGACTAACATACAACGACTTAGCGCCAGATCACTAGCTAAGGTTGATATTGGTTCTAAAGTCTAGAAAGAGTCACACTATGTCATCACGTTAGGCCTAAGATTCGACGACTTAGCTCCAAATTACTACCTAAGATTGATATTGGTTGTTGCTAAAGTCTAGATACGATGTCTAATATCACACAAATTCACCTCAAAGCTCTAAAAGGTTGAAGAAATATCCTCAAATTCGAATTGGAAATTGAGCAACTCAAGGCAATATCCAAGAAAGTTAGTTTTTATCGCCCAGCGATTGAATTCGTTTCCTATCGCGAGCTTTTCCATCAAGATGATTCTGATATCTTGACCGCTGGCCATCATCGCCAAGATTTCTTTGCTAAATGCACTAGATTCTCGCTCTGCAGATGACTGCTTAGGTCTAACATCCAACAACTTGGCCCCCAGTTACGACCTAAGATCGATATTGGAGCTAAACTCTAGAAAGTCTCACCTTCTATGTCAATCCTAGGTCTAACATCCAACAACATGGCCCCCAATTACTACGTAAGATCGATATTGGTGCTAAAGTCCAGAAAAACTCACCTACTATGCCAATCTTAGGTCTAACATCCAACACCTAAGATCGATATTGGTGCTAACGTCCAAAAAAACTCAACTTCTATCCCAATCTTAGGCCTAACATCCAACGGCTTGGCCTCCAGTCACTACCTAAGATCGATATTGGAGCTAAACTCTAGAAAAAGTCACCTTTTATGCCAATCTTAGGACTAACATACAACGACTTAGCGCCAGATCACTAGCTAAGGTTGATATTGGTTCTAAAGTCTAGAAAGAGTCACACTATGTCATCACGTTAGGCCTAAGATTCGACGACTTAGCTCCAAATTACTACCTAAGATTGATATTGGTTGTTGCTAAAGTCTAGATACGATGTCTAATATCACACAAATTCACCTCAAAGCTCTAAAAGGTTGAAGAAATATCCTCAAATTCGAATTGGAAATTGAGCAACTCAAGGCAATATCCAAGAAAGTTAGTTTTTATCGCCCAGCGATTGAATTCGTTTCCTATCGCGAGCTTTTCCATCAAGATGATTCTGATATCTTGACCGCTGGCCATCATCGCCAAGATTTCTTTGCTAAATGCACTAGATTCTCGCTCTGCAGATGACTGCTTAGGTCTAACATCCAACAACTTGGCCCCCAGTTACGACCTAAGATCGATATTGGAGCTAAACTCTAGAAAGTCTCACCTTCTATGTCAATCCTAGGTCTAACATCCAACAACATGGCCCCCAATTACTACGTAAGATCGATATTGGTGCTAAAGTCCAGAAAAACTCACCTACTATGCCAATCTTAGGTCTAACATCCAACACCTAAGATCGATATTGGTGCTAACGTCCAAAAAAACTCAACTTCTATCCCAATCTTAGGCCTAACATCCAACGGCTTGGCCTCCAGTCACTACCTAAGATCGATATTGGAGCTAAACTCTAGAAAAAGTCACCTTTTATGCCAATCTTAGGACTAACATACAACGACTTAGCGCCAGATCACTAGCTAAGGTTGATATTGGTTCTAAAGTCTAGAAAGAGTCACACTATGTCATCACGTTAGGCCTAAGATTCGACGACTTAGCTCCAAATTACTACCTAAGATTGATATTGGTTGTTGCTAAAGTCTAGATACGATGTCTAATATCACACAAATTCACCTCAAAGCTCTAAAAGGTTGAAGAAATATCCTCAAATTCGAATTGGAAATTGAGCAACTCAAGGCAATATCCAAGAAAGTTAGTTTTTATCGCCCAGCGATTGAATTCGTTTCCTATCGCGAGCTTTTCCATCAAGATGATTCTGATATCTTGACCGCTGGCCATCATCGCCAAGATTTCTTTGCTAAATGCACTAGATTCTCGCTCTGCAGATGACTGCTTAGGTCTAACATCCAACAACTTGGCCCCCAGTTACGACCTAAGATCGATATTGGAGCTAAACTCTAGAAAGTCTCACCTTCTATGTCAATCCTAGGTCTAACATCCAACAACATGGCCCCCAATTACTACGTAAGATCGATATTGGTGCTAAAGTCCAGAAAAACTCACCTACTATGCCAATCTTAGGTCTAACATCCAACACCTAAGATCGATATTGGTGCTAACGTCCAAAAAAACTCAACTTCTATCCCAATCTTAGGCCTAACATCCAACGGCTTGGCCTCCAGTCACTACCTAAGATCGATATTGGAGCTAAATTCTAGAAAAAGTCACCTTTTATGCCAATCTTAGGACTAACATACAACGACTTAGCGCCAGATCACTAGCTAAGGTTGATATTGGTTCTAAAGTCTAGAAAAAGTCACACTATGTCATCACGTTAGGCCTAAGATTCGACGACTTAGCCCCAAGTCAATGCCTCAGATTGATACTGGTGCTAAAGTCTAGAAAAATGCTTACACATATTGGCACAATCTTAGACCTAACATTCAACAACTCGACCTCAAAAACACTACCTCAGATCGATTTTGGTGCTCCACTCTCAAAAAATCCAGATACTATGGCTAATATCAGACAAATTCACCTCACAGTTCTAAAAGGTTGAAAAAATATCCTCAAGCTCGAGTTTGAAATTGAGCAACTCGAGTCAAAATCCAAGAAAGTTATTTTTTATCGCCCAACAATTGAATTCGTTTCCTATCGCGAGCTTTTCCATCAAGATGATTCTGATACCTTGACCGCTGGTCGTCATCACTAAGATTCCTTGGCTAAATGCGCTAGATTCTCGCTCTGCAGATGACTACTAATCGACTAGTCTAATTGCGCTAGATTCTCATTCTGCATCTGACTACAAGCTAGCATACTGATCGCGTGTGTTCCCCTGTTGCCACTTCAACTGTACTGATGCTGATAAATCCATCTGGGACAAGGTAACTCACAACATCAAACAAAGACGAAAGTGACTATACTTATAATCCTTCCCAGCTACCGGCCCGCCGTGCAGGGAGAAGCCTTCGCTTTTTTCGCTCTGCAAAATCGCGCACGGCTGGTGGTCCATGCGGAATTGGTTTTAGAGCAAGAGAGAGAATGCCGAGAGTAAGACTCAGAGGATGCCCATCATTGCTCATCGACGAGTCGAAGCGCTACCATCTGATGATAATAGATATGGCGAATTGACGTTGTAAGAATGATCTGAATTGGCATGCCGCTAACCAAAATCTTTAGCGACGCAACATAGTGTACAACAAAAGCCACACCATAACCCTCCCCAGGCAAAGCTTCATAACATGCAACCAACTGCGGACGCGTCAAAAGCTGACGGAACGCTTTCTCTTTTAGTATCCCAGCAAGTTCGCCTCTAGAGTGTTGCGCTGCTGACTTGCGGAGTCGCCAGCATAAGCTGAGTCCTTAGCTGCGTTTTTCAGCTTGGGACCTTCTGAGGATTAGATATTGAAGGGGGTGGCGTCAGGCTCGTCAAAAAATTCATTGAGGTTTTCGTAGGACCTCTTCATAAATTATAATGTAGCCCTTCGTGTGAATAATGGACCAGTATCTACAAGAACTAGAACTAGACTTACTTTTAGACTTCTACGACTACCTCGATTAAATTTCCCCACTTTTCCTCCATAACGATGTCTGGCTTTCCCTGGCTCAAGCTTCCACACAGCTATTTATTATTCAGACTCTTCATCATCTCCTTCAGCAGCTCCGGTTCTATTGCTTGTCGTTGGATCCGTTCAAGTCAAACAGGAAGCGGCCCTCTTGACGAAACACCCGAGGCGGGCGAGAAGAGGACGAGGATGCCGCTGCCATTTTTCTACTCGCAAGACGGGTCGTTATGGAGAAGAGAGCGCTCTCGTTGTTGGTGTTACTATAATTCACCGAGGGCAAGGAAGTGCTCTTGTTAGAGTGGTAACACTTGTCGTTGTTACTAAAATTGTGCAGCTCAATGCTGTGTGCTACAACAGACACGACCACAGCAGTCGTGCCTGCATCGTCTGCTAAAATCATTATTTAGCACAACAAGTAGTGATAAATTATCTACTTATTTGTCCACCTTCCATCCACTCGCAAAGAACGACTGCGAAAAGCCAGCTTCGCTTGCGGGTCCTTCGAGACGGACACGCAGAGGACTTCGCTTAGGATTCCTAATTATATGGGGTGATGGACTTCGACTCCTTGACCTCGTTTCGGGTCTAGGTAATGATGTTGAAGTCTTCTCTCGTCCGCCAAATTTTAGTTGCGGTGATTAAGGTGCCAGAGACTCTTGTTCAATATACGGAGACGGAGACAACTCCACTGGTCCGCGTGGTCGCGCGAGACTCCTCATAAAACAAAAAAGAAAACAATGATGCTGTTTTAAATGCTGATGTGTTGTGCCTCGTCTGAATCTAATATTTTATGCTGATGTTTAAAAATATCAATGCAAACTGCAAAGCAGGTGGATTTTCCAGATTTTGCACGACCTTTTCTATGATTGAAGATGTAACGAGAGATACCTGAACCTGCATTGCTTGCTCCTCCGATCATGAAAAGGCAAGCTATGTTCTTTACTCCATCGTCCTAAATACAAGGAAGGCTTTTAGAAGGTCGTCACTAGAACTTTATATGCATTAATACCGCCTCTTTCAACAACATCTCTTCTTTTCTTGTCCTCTCACTTCGTATTTCAAAGTCAATGTTCGTCGCTTAGCTAGTACAGTCTTCCTGTCTTCTCTTGCACGTTTTACGTCATGATCTGCTTCCTAGCAGTGGTCTTGCGCATTTTATTCACCTCGTCGTCTTCGCCCTCCCGATTGATTGTTCTTGTAGTAAGTTGCCGAAAAAATCATTAACCTCTTTCCTCCAACATCACGGACATCTTGTGAAGCTTAACTCTCCGAAGCCAAGAATCTGGAACATTTGCACAAAAGCTCGACTTTGGCCTTTCTTAGAGGTAGGCTTTTGGTGTTCGTCTGCCCAGTTCGTTATGCCTTTCCCCCTTCAGGAAGGCAAAACGAACGCCATAACAGGCCCGGGGGAACACCTTTAAAAACCTGCCCTTAACTTTCCTTAGCTCCGTACAGTACAATGCTTCAGGGTGACCTAATCGCCAAGGACCGAGTTCCAGGATGTAATGTGACGTAAGACGGTCTACCCAACCATCACGGCTGATCTGCTGGGGTTAGAAATGTTGGTGGTGAAAGACAAGAATCTCTCTTGACAATTACAATCACAAAGACAATAAAAGATGTATTGAATTGAAGTACTTTTACCCCATAAAACCAACATTATATTTATAGACTTGGCTACGCTTACCTACCTAGCAATAGGAAAATAATAGCAAAAAACAAAAAGAAAAACAGATGAAATCGGTCATAACTATAGATCCCCAGCAAACGCCAGTCGTTTTCAGGGGTACCATCGCGGAGCGTGAGGTGTTTCCTCGACATGGAAGGGAAGACGTGCTCTCGGAAATACTCGTTATCCCATAGGAGCTTTTCCGGATAGTTGTGACTAAGCTCTTGCCAAATTTCTTCTTCTATTAGAAATGCAAGAAGGCTGGAGCAGGTGGATCGGTAGGTGGAGGGGTTGTACTTCGCGGTCCTACTCACAATTTGAAAAGTTGGGAGCGAAGCACGCAAAGAAGTGCTACCAAGTAAGCTAACTGGAGATGTCGTGGAGGATTCACATTCAACATCATGCACCTGCCTCAGTCCTCAGTGTCAGTACTATAAACTACGTACAATTGCAAAACTGTCCAAATTCTTAACTTCCATTCTCTTTCTTCATCAGCCTCCATCTCTGGTGTGCGTGTATCGTCTCTTCTTGGCTTGAGGACCACCGTCTCCTTTTCAACTCCTGTTTCGGTGCGGATGAGCCTTCTGCCGTTCACTGCTGGTCCGCCAACTGTGCGAAACTTGATAGCTAATTCTTAGATGATATCATTCTCATGAAGAGCTTGCACGTCCTACTACTTGCTGCAGCTAATAAAACAATATATTTAATATAAGTATAAACTAGCGGCCACGCGACGCTACATACCATAATTTTTTGGAGAGTCACCATCAAACAAATCCATTAAATCACGAATAAAAAAACCGTAAAACTCGTTCAGCAGTGCTGTTTGAACGTCTTCGTTTTCGCGGATCGCTTGCGAAGTCAGTGTCCATGCCATTTCTTTCGCGCCTCTGAGGATCATTTCCAGGACAAAACCAACGTCAGTTTGAAAACGTTCGCGCAAAGTTGAAGCTGAAGTGGTCGAACTCGAAGTTGAAGTACTTCTAGTCCTAGCTGAAGTAGTTGTACTACCTAGTATTAAATAAGGTGCAGAACAAGGTGTTTTGTCATCTCTGCGGAGATCCAATAGTTCATCCAGTGGCTGAAAATAGCGTTGCGGCTCCGCATCGATTTGCTTCTGCAAAACTGGGTCAAAGAGTCGAAGTTCAGGGCGACCACGAAGCATTGCCGCGATAATAACGGAGTCTGCCTGCAGTTCTGGAGCCGCAAATTCATAGAGCACGTTCCACAAGTAAGGAGCGGCCCCAGGAGAGGATGCCTGGGCCGCTTGTCCTTGATGTTGTTGGTAACTACTATGCCTTAGAGCAGGTAGCCGACTGGAAAAATCGACGGCCTCCAAATCGGGGACCAAATCGTTCAACAAATCAAGAACAAAGTGGAAGTCAGAAAGCGGATGTTCCGAATCGACGTGGTTCATGATTTTTCCACCAGGACCTCCATCACCAAAGGCATCAACTGCGTGAACCAGTGCCCTAACCTGCATCCGGCTGGGAGGTACCAAAGCTGTCGGGTGAGCCAAGTACTTGACCAGCCACATATCTCGCCGATTTCGTTCATGTACATCTCTCAGATCTGGACGTAGGCGATTGAAAAGTCGGCGTAAGTAAAGACCCGAATTATGCTGTTCTTGTTCGGTCGTATGAGCTGCTTCGTCGACTCCCTGTGCCTCCACTTCATTTCCGACCTCGTTCTGATGTACCCTTGTTTCGACCTCGTTCTGTGCAGGATTGGGCACGAGCTCCTGTATTCTTTGCAAGGAATGCCACAAGTTTAGATAAGTAATATGCTCCACCTCACGATCGAAGATACCTCACATCCTACTAGTAACCTCTGTGCGGATAAGAACGACCAAGAACCTGAGGACATCCCAAACACAAACAACCGGTTAGTTTATTACTTCTTGTTCATCTATTCTCCCTCTGATCTTAACCTGTCTTGAACATCTTCATGCTGTGAATCAATGCCGGGAGCTGCCTTAACAGAGTGACAAATGGCATACCTTCATCCGGTGCATCGAAGTCCACTCGTTGCGTTAGACCCCCTCTCCACAAAAAATCATCTTTCAAGATGAACTGCATCCTTGAAGAGCATTGGGGAGCTGCGTGGATCCCTGCGATGCTCGCCGATGCGTGGTTTCAAGGCTTAAAAATGAAAAATTAGTGAGAGCCTTAACTGAGGAATGTAGACTCGTGATTCCTGAAAGTCCCCGTCCCTATCGGCGACAAGGTCTAGCGACGCCGGAACAATGTTATTTGGGTCCGCACATATTAGCGAAAAAGTATGTTTTTATGTTTTTGGAGAGTGCTGTTCCTCTATTATCCCAGTCACCTTCAAGGTGAACGACATGATTGTCCTATGTGAAGATAGTTCGCACTAGACTAGAAGAAGTACACTTGGTCATTCGCACTAGACCAGAAGTACACTTGGAGGTCATCATCGAACTAGTTGTACCTTTATCCTTAACACGTTGAAAGGCATGAGGTCCCCACCATGCAGGAACCAAACGAAGTCTGGTCGTTGATCCAAATTGGAGAACCATCCCACGGCCAAGCGTCGTAGGGCGATCAGAAAAATTTTGCGGTCATGTCGCAATTTGTCACCAAGTGCAAACAATAGCGGCACTTTGACGTACCGAAAGGGTGAAGAAGTAGCGAAGGCAGATGGATGCTCTTGTTCTTGTTGTTGTTTTTGCTCACCCCAGTTTGGTAGAAGGAGGTTCTCTGGCACTCTTACGAGACAATTTTGGTAAGTGGCAACCACTTGCTCTACGAGGTCTCTTTGAAAAGCGGCTAGATTTAGCGGCCACAGTAATCAATAGTCAGGCAGAACTTGGACAAGAAAGTAAAATCGCAAGTTGACTTTGATACGTTTTCCAGTGGAGCCCCAAGGAAATCAATCTTCACAATCAACGGTAATCAAAACTTAATAGTTGATTAAGATTATACTTACTCTCAGATTTCATTTTAGGTTAGGTTATCGATGTCTGGCCAATGACTGCGGCATGGAATGACATCTACTTATACGAGAAAGTAGTAGTTGTAAGATTATCCGTGAACTTATAGTAAGTATTAGCACTCCTTGTAAAACCACTGTGCTAGCACCACTTTCATTTTCAAGATGAAGAAAAATAAGACTAACAGCAATCCAGTGTGGTGGAGATGAGTCTTAACAGATACCAGTTCCCGAGAATATCATGGCAAAATTTCAAATTTTGTTCCACGTGTGTTTCTGCCTCCGTTTGCCTTCGGGCTGGTATTAGAGCCCACGCACGGCCCAAAAAAAGAAGATGATGAAGATCTCCAATTTCGAAGTTCAGCATCCAGGAGGTGCTTATGCTTTCCCCCTATGTTTATGTAGTCTCCTCGGACAGAAGTTCCCCTACGGCACCCTTTACATACTCGGGAACAGAAAATAAAGATGCTTGATGTGCATGGTAAGCATGAGATTAAGAATAAGATGGATTACAGGGTAAGCAGGGTAAGCCTTAACTCTAGCACAGCCGAAGCAGTCGCCGCGGGATCAACGAGATCTTCGTCTTCATCTCCCCATATCGAAGGGGAGTGCCCCAATCTCGACAGTTCATCCCATACTCTTCTATGCAAATTCGTAACGTCACCAATTAGAGAAGTGGCAGTTTGCATTTCTGAAGAACCCACGACCACGAGAGTACAGAGAGATACCACTTCTGCCTCCTGGTGGTGTATGAAATAGCACTACGGAAGTAAGTGGCTTTTATTTTTTTTCTGGGAAAAGGATACCGATGAATTGATGGGGAAAGATGCCGAATTGATCGATAAATCGTTCAAAATCTACTACTGCTCATCTCCAACATAAGTCGGTGTGCGCCCATGTTTCTATCCACATCATTCTTGCCGTTTTTTGCAACGTTTCGCCAAAAAGTGGGTCTTCAGGATAGATCTGGTGCAAATCCCACGCTTCAGGTGGAGCTCCATCAGCGCAGGCCTCCATCACTAACTTCTGCTCCTCGTGGATGCTTCATAATTAGAAGAGCCCAATTCATTACAGTCGTGCTGGGGGTGGGGTTCCACCCCTAGAAATACAAGGGCGAGACATCACGACCTTTCTTCATACGGAGGTTCTTCAGGGAACAAGATCCATTTCTTACATATAGCGGTTGGGGGATCCACTCTAGTTGTTGTGATGAATGGACTGGACGGTTGATGAGGAATCCCTCCAATGTCTAGAGGAAGAAGATGGAGATGGATTTCGACTTTTAGTTTTATAATAGGAGTAACCGTAAGATAAACGATCTCTGTGGTAGTACGACCTGACGTCATCGTCGACGCTCACGCTATTCCCCAGATGCGAAGGCATGTTGTGATGCCACAGCTTGAGAGCACGATGCAGCTCTTTTTCGTTGCGAAACCTTGTCCTCGCACGAGGAGCAGCATTCGTCCCCTCTTGAAGATGTTAGCGGCGCTAGTAAAGTACAACTAGTACGCGTAGTTTTCCCGTTCCTCCGTCATTCTTTTACTAGTACACAGGGATCATAGCGAAGATAGACAAGTATGATGATTTTGAAGTAACTTTCCCAAATCCAAATCTTCAAGTAGCCCTTCATCTTGTATTACACTTCCTTGCAGACGTTGATCATGTAGACCACGAGAACATGGAGCAGGGCAATAAATTCTAGTACGGAAAAAGAGGTACGGAAGTCGATTCTTATAGCCTTAATGTTGGTCGTCTCGATCATCTGGCGGACCTGGACAGTATTTTTTACGTGTTTTTTGGATTCGTTCTTGTGGCGAAGCAACATGCTTGGTAGCCCATGGCGCGACACTTCTTATCGTTGGGAGTTCTGCATGACCGAAAAAATCCCAGAGTCGATTCTGCGAACCACCAAGGTGCTCTAAGAAACCGCGAGCAGACATTATCGTGGACGAGGTTCCAGCTTGATCATCAGCGTGTTGTTGTTTTTTACTACCTTGATGAGAGGCATCCTCTTGATCTTCTTCAACATCCGTTTTGTCATCGTCATGAGCGTCCCCATCGTCGTGCCCCTCCACATCTCTGTCCACCTCATCATGATCGTCCCCATCGTCGTGCCCCTCCACATCTCTGTCCACTTCATCATGATCGTCCCCATCGTCGTGCCCCTCCATATCTCTGTCCACCTCCTCTTCGAAAGTACCATTTTTACCAGCACACTTATTTACACCAATTTTCCGTCTCTTTCTGCTTATACAACTGAACTTCTCTTTCTCTTTGTCGTCAAGCACATCATTGTTGCTTTTTTGATGCTTTCCATGTTGATTCGGACCACGTGGTACAGTCGAACTGGAACTTGAAGAAAGACGAGGCCGTTTTTTTGGCAGTATATCTCCTGCTTCTGGCTGCTGCTCTGCTTGCTCTGGTTCTCCATCTCGAACTAGTACAGGTGTTTCATCTTGGGTGGTCGTGCTAATTTGTCTCTTGATGCTGCTCCTCTGAGGAAGTTCCTCGATGTTCATGCCGAGAACTCCGCAGGCAGAGAAAACACCAAAGAGCAACACCAGAGCCAAGCCCATCTTCGAGCGTGATTGTCCCTGAAAAGGGACGAACAGACGCTTGTCCATCTTGTTGCTCATCGTTACAGTTACAAATATTTTTACTACGATTTGGTACAATTGGTTCTGGTTGACCTTCTTCTGAAGATCGAAGTATTAGTAGAAGATATTACCAGACGTAAACGAAGTTGTACTAGAACAAAACGAACTAGCTGCTTATCTATTTTGGAATTGGAACTAGTTACTCAAAAATAAATTTTCGAGTGACTACTTAAAATGAAAAATAACCATAAATTGTCTTCAGTGTCTTCAGGACTACATTATTGATGACATCCTCGCTTGAAATTGTGCAGTATTTTCATGGGCGACTTTCGTTTTTCCTTCCTGGTCAGGTGTTGGGGGAGTGAGGCAGTGTTCCTGTTTCAGTCTCCTGTAACAAATGGTTGAACAATGGACAGAGCAAGAGCGTGAAGAAAGACGTCAGATGCAAATGCATCAATACAATACAATTAATCTCGCTTTTTTTTTGTAGTGCGAGCGAGTTCCGATAAATCAAAACCTACCTGCAGTGCAGACTGCCTTAGGGTAGTATAACTCAGATGGTGCACATGCAACAAGGAAGTCCATTGCAATGACAATTCTTTTGCGGGAGAAACTTTGCAAAAAATTATCGTCAAGCAGCTACTCAAGCACCATTGTGCAACATGTGCTTATTTTTTTCACATTTTGCAGCGTAATTCGTGGTGAGTTCTTCAGAGTTCTCAAATCCGTCACCGTCGGGAATTCTTTATGCATGATTTGCATGCCATCATTCTTGGGAGAGAAGTCGACATCAAAGTAGTCTGCGAGTCAGTGATAGATAATCATCAAAAAAATCTAATACCGACCATGATCGTATTCTTGTAGTATACAAAGCAAACAGGAGAACAATTGACGGAATGCACTTGGTCGACGTCATCTTCATCTAAGTAGGTCTAGTACTACAACAGGTATAGAAACAAGATATAACATAATTAAGCATTTCCAAAGTAGCAATTTGTGAGAACAATAAAAATTCATAATGTCGTCGAATCTCGTCTGGTGCAACTGACCAATAAGTTTCAAATCTTGTAAACTCGCCTTATAGCCTTGTTAGCTAGGAGAAACGATCGAAAAAGTTCGAAAACAATCTTTAGAAACAAACGTCATCGAGTACTAGAATAGATTCATTGTTCTAGTAAGTCTGACTACTTATATTCTCAACATTCATGATGGTTCTGCAGCTTTATGTGCTTGTTTTTCTCACATCAGCCCTGCATTGAAACAATTGTATAGCACCTGCCGCACTCGTGGCATCTCGCGGATTTGCTGGGCGACGAAGGAGTAGACGGCTGGAAAATTAGAAGAGAAAAGCTCGATAATTATAGAACAACAAGGTAGGTTAGACTGTCTTAGAGATCACAACTCCTGTTCGAAGAACAAGAAACAACCTAGTACTAGGTACTATTCAAAATGAACCCCTATTAAGTACAAGTACGATCTCAAGAAAAAGAATCTCCGCACCTTCTTGGTTGAATCTGACTCCTAATTAGTACAAATACGACCACATTAAGCATAAGAAAGAGAATCTCCGCACCTTGGTTGAACCCTAAATCGACCAAAAAAGAGGGATCGTCTAATAGAGCAGGTCTATCGTGGAAGAGCAACTCCATATCTGCGGTGCGGGGTCTAGCAAGTCGCTGGTCTGGCAACACCCGTAAAGATCCCGTCTCGGGTATCCCTAAGCGCCTCAAGGCAGTATAGAGAATCACTTTCTTCTTACGCATCTCTCCACCCAGAGCTCGAAAAGTTGGCATGAAGGTTAGAAGAGGAGCTATCTGACTCTAATGAGGATGTGGTAGTACAGTTTGTAAGCGATTAATTGAGTTCTTCTAGAAACAGATGATGGAAATACATACAGCTTGTTCTCCATCTCTTCGTGCTGGACATGCAAACTCAACAACGAAAACATCATAAGATCCCAGGTGGTTCCATCACATACGAGGCACGACCTGCTGGTCCAGACCCTCCTCCCTGAAGTACTTTATCCGATATGCACGTCTTCCACGTAGCGAGCGCACTCAATGTTAGAGCTACCCCGTTAGCAATCCTGAGTGCATCCTTGGTCCTCGCTTTTATTTCAAGTATTTCCCCAATCTACACCAACCACGATAAAGCTCACTGATCTCTCTCCTCCTTTATTTGAGCATCTGGCTAACGCCGCTTATGCTAGAAAAAAGCGAAGCAAGTTGAATAACAGGACACCGCACGCCTGTGCTAGACTAAGAGCCCCTTGCCTATAATTTGAGACTTCAAGATCTTGCCTATTTCAGATCGCACGAGAGACCAATTAACTATTAATGATTAAAAGTTGTAAAAACCCAGATGTAAATAGGAAAAGTTGTAACCCATTCAAGTAGGAAAACGGCCAAGGAGAAGGATGATGCAGAGGATGCTTGAGCGGACGCCTTAACAAAGCCAGTTGAGTGTCCGTTACTGCTAAGTACTTGTTCCCCAACACGGTGGTATAGCAGGGACGCGGCAACCCAATCAGCATCTCACTGGGTCGTCCTCGAGCATCTCCTCGGAAGCCGGTGTTTGCCATGAGGCGGTTGGTGTCTTCTGCTTCCTCGACAAGGAATGAGGAGCCTCTGGTAGAGAAATGCTGCTGTCGCACGTTGTATGAACAAGCCCAAGACGAGGGGGGGGGGAGATAGGAAAGTGCTGCTTCTCATTACATCATGTGTACATTTCCTTCATTTATTGCTTCTTCTTTTACTAGTTGATATCAGTTTGCACTACTTGAGGTAACGCTGTAAACTGCAACTCTTTATTTGCTAGTTGATAATAAACAATAAATATCTACTAAAGTATTCATAGGCTTACGCTTACAGCTATAATCCAGATCCAGATCCACCACGTGGACCACGATACCAACAAATCATAAAATCGCTTCCCTCGTTCCACCTACACGAAATAATTGGTCTCCTGCTCTTTCTGGTGCTAAAATTCGCCTTCTCCTTTCGTCCCACAATGCATTTTGTTGGGAATACGCAGTTTTCGCGCTTTGTCTAGCTTTAGACAGGTCCGGGTCGTCTGGGTACACTCGGCTGAGGTCCCAATACTCAACTTGTATTAGAAATAGATGAGGTAGCCAATACCTTTACTCAACTTGTATCAGAAGTACTTAAATGAGGCAGTTCAAGTTCTTCGAAGTTTTTTTGTTTTATTTCGTTACCTTTATCATCTAGCTTTAGACAGGTCCGGGTCGTCTGGCTTTCGACAGGTCCGGGTCGTCTAGATTTTCCCTACTAATACTCAACTTGTATTAGAAAATAGAGGACTTCTGCTTCTAAGAAGAACAAGAAGAGCAGGACAATATATAAGTGCAATCAATACCAAAAACCGCAAAAGTTTTTGTAGCCATAATTTTGCACCTTTCGCACAAGCAACTTGAATCAATTTTCGCATTTCTACTGCCCAACCGGAATCGTACTCTTCTGATGCGAGTAGCCAAAACGAGAGTGCTTCGTCTAGCTCATTTGCATCTGCAAACCGAGTGGGAAACCGACGAGCTTCTACTGCGGAAGACGAGGACGAGGAGGTTGATGAGGTTCTCTGTTGAGGTTCATCTGCTCTGTGGACGACGCTGGGACGAGATGTAGGTGGAGATGATACTACCAGTTCTTCCCTGTTTCTATTATCCATCTCTTCCTCTTCTACAACTACTTCTACAGGATTATGTGTTTCTTCTTGGTTTTCTTGCTCATCTTCTATATCCCATTCCCCAATTCCCATATCTACATCGACTTCTGGCGCATGATCCTCAGGCACATGAAGATCTTCCTCCGGCAAATCTCTTTCGTAAAACACTATGTGCGGCCCACCCGCCATCTCCCGAACATTGCCAGCGCGTGCGAAGAGGAGGTCGAAGTCTTCATCTAGTTCTTGTAGTAGACCTAAATCTAGTTGTTGACCACTAGAGTGCGAAGATTGGATCGAGGGTTCCGCAGAGCAATACTTCGCACGAATGGTCTGTATCCTAGTTTCCCTGGTCTCGACAGACATGAAGCGACCACCTGCTGTGCGAGCTCGTCCAAGGTCTTTGAGGAGTAGGTTGCTCCACAAAACAGTAGCTCTTTCATCCCCTAGATGGGAGACGATGGAAGAGAGATCAATTTTCGCTTTTGAATTTGATAGTTCGTGATCTGATGACTCACGGTGATCCGATGACTCAGATTCTATCTTCTGCGACGGTCTCTTCTCTATGCTCAGGTCGTCTACGTGTGGTGCTGCAGCTGAAGGTGGTCTTTCCTCTTCCTGATTGTCTATCTCCATGCCATCTCGTCCTGGTGCTTCGCCTTCCAGTTTGTCTGGCGCTTCGGCTTCTAGTTTGTCTGGTGCTTCGGCTTCCAGTTTGTCTGGTGCTTCGGCTTCCAGTTTGTCTGGTGCTTCGGCTTCCAGTTTGTCTACTATCTCCAAGGCCATACCATCATCCTCTAATATTGCCTTTGCTTTATCTCCACGACTATCGTAAGTTGTCCCTCCTGTTGCTCTGGTCGTGAAAGTAGAGCTCCAAGGTATCTTATTTCGAAAAGATGTACTGCTTCTGCTGGAGCTGGCATCACCCAAGCTCCACCGAGGAGCCCTTTTTGCAACCACAAAGATGCAAGCCGATTGATGTGTGTTCGAGAGCTCGAGAAACAATTCGAGAAAAACGAAAACGAAGCCGCAACTTCCCACGCGGGTGCTGGATAGAAACATTTTGCTGATATTGATGCTAGATGTTGTTGAAAAAGAGAATGAAATTGACCTGGCTTGTAGAAGATCAAGATTAGTACCCAACTAATATTATCGATGCTTGTACATGATGATAATGCTCGGTCTCGGTCGACAAGTCTGACAAGCGACTAAATAGAAGATCACCAAACACACGGATATCTACTAAGCTGTTTTCGTGAAACTACGTAAATATCAAGTCACTTTTTCCCGCCGCCAATGGATCTAGCTTAATGGAGCTATTTCTTGCTAGCTGTGACTTTTTTTCGTTCGAAGTAGATGAGAAGCAACGATCCATGATTTCCAAACGGAATGCGGTTCTGACTTTCCAGCACTTTCCATTTTATTTGTTGACAATGACAGATAGATCGCCAGACTATAAAGTTCTCGGCTATTGAACGGACGGTGGTGGTCCATTTCATCTGTCAGGAGTATTTCTTGTCAGCAACATCATGACTGGACCGAGGGCTTCCGCCTTCGTTTTCTGACAGGAAACAAACCGCTACGCATACGCTTCAACAAACAGAAGCATGTTTCTCCTTCTTGGCATCAGCGTGCCGACTTTATACTTTGATGAAGATTTGAAAAATCATTTCATACAAACAAAGTTCCCGGCAGCATGGGCGACGCCGCACGATGATTACATGGGTTCATCTCGTTTCGTCCGAAGGACCTATTTCTATATCCACCACTTCCACTGCGTCCGAAGGACCTATTTCTATATCCACCACTGTCCTTCTTTAAAAAAGATCGCTAGATTTGGATAACCACTCGAACAAACTGGGTCTGGGATCTTGATCATTTTTAGCAGGATGCCCAATCGCCTAGAGTGGTGACTAGATTAGAGATAGTTGGATTTAACTGAGAAAAAGAACGGGAAAGGATATGTAGACAAAGAGTGAAGATGAAAAACAATGAGAAAGTCCATGAACCCGAAATGGATCAAGGATGTAGTATGGATGCATTTTATGTAGAAGACAAAGAGGATACCCCATGGCAACTCAATGAACTCTGTATGATTTTGGTCATGTATCGAGGGATGATGGATGATCTGACGCCTGATTCGCAGGCGCGACCAGATAAGTGCTAAGTAGACGACTTAGATTGGTTGTAGTTCATCATGATGCAGATGAACATTGTAATTGTATCATCTTCATGATGCTAAGTTCACTTGGATAAAAAGAACACAATATGAATCAATGCACCAGTGCCAGATGGGGACGCAAACAAGAACTACAACTACAACCTTCGATAGGACAAGAACCCATCGTCCGCTTCCAAAGCATCAAGATTGAGATGACTAGCTTCCTTTTCATGCCGTTCAACCCCTGTGATTTCATCGGTCTGCCTTTCAACATCTGCCGCCTTGAAGCTCAACAAATCTTCATCGTCAATCTTGCCACGTATGTTCTCCTCCTCCTCCCCTTCCTTCTCTTTATCGCAGTCCCCTCGACCAGCACGACTGCAACACTTATTCCAGCCAAGCAATCGGAATAGCTTTGGCACAAGCGGAACGATCAGTCCGATGCCGACACCCAGAAAGAAGCCGACCAAAGACGCGATTTCACCTTCCTCCATGTACCGGGACATAATGGTGCTGTAAAGCACCACAGCTGCTATGAGACCACTCACTGGGAAGACACCGTAAACGACAGCTTTTTCAACTACGAACGGTCGATGTAACTTCTCTTGGGGAGGCTCTTCGAGGTCCTCAAGTACGTCGTTCAGAGGATGTTGTACTGCGTTTTGGTAGTCCTCGGTATGCACCTCGCGAGCTTCTACATCGCGAAGTGATATGTTTGTATGGTGCTCAACACCCTCTGGAACCTTTTCTTCTTCATCTCGCTTGTTAATCTCATCCCCAGAGCGGTAGATGTGCAGGAAAAAGAGAGAATCGCTTTCGTTGGAGGAACCAGGTGAATCTTCTTGGTGACTTTTCGGCGTTTTCGACTGTGCAAGGCTTGTTACTACTTTGGCATCGTCCGCTTTCACAGCAGTACTTGGTACTCGTGCACCTTCTTTAGATGATTGCGGAGAAGATGGGGATGCAGCTGTTATCATGTTGGACCCACGAACACCTTCAACTTGTGCTTCAGGCACTACACTATCTCCAACAACTACCCCAATTCCAAATGTCGGCGACGAACTGTAGGCATAGGATGGCAGCAGCACAGGCGTCGATTCCATCGTAGAGTCATTCGAGGACGTTGGACTTGGTCGCTCGCCTCCAACGATTTGTTGCGACAGCATCGAGCTAGTAGATTCCTCACTGAGAGAAGTCACACGTGGAGCGGCGCTCGTTCCTGAAGTGGGAATCCTGGGACCAACTGCTCTATCTTGATTCTGTTGCTGGCCCTTAGAAGTTCCGCGTTCAATGATCTTACAAGGTTGAAGAGATTCTTCTTCTTCGTCTGAATCTCCAGTAGGTAGCCGTAGAATCTTCTTTGCTCCAAGTAAAGGCTTTTTTTCGTCCGCTTCTGCTTCTGGTGTATCTTGTTTAATGCTTCTAGGCTCCTGCTCCTCGTGGTCTACACCCTCCCGCATCATTATTTCTACTCCATCCGCCTTTCCATCCCCCTTTCCATCCTCCACAGGTGACATCTGCCTCAACCGAACAAAGCTCATCAATCCAAAGATGTCCGTCAACACTGAAAACATCGACTCAAAGATCTGTAATTGATGAAAGTCGAAGAAGAAGATTAGCAATCCCACCATCAATGTGTGAAACGCGATCCCACCCCAAGGCGTTTCCAAGCTCGGATGCTTGTACCCAAGACCGGTCCATCTAGGGACAATGCCTTCTGCAACCAAGCTGGGAACTTGGTGACTGGAGGCAAGCAGTTCACTGGCGTAGCTGGCAACGTAGCCGCAAAGGAACGAGATAATGACGAGGATTTTAAGAAAGTGCCAGAGAGGGGATCTTTTTGGTGGTTGCTGTTGTCCTTGTTGCTGTAGTTGTGCCGAACCAGAAGCGGAGCTTGATGAAGATGAGTTCTCGTTGTTTGATCCACTTTCGTTCCCAGAAGTTGTAGGGCTAGTCGTGCTACCTAAAAACCCACCTGCGGCTTTTGCTGGAGGACTAGAAGCACTCCTTGGAGGACTAGCACTAGAAGCACTCCTTGGAGGAGTCGTGATCGATATTACCTGATTTTTACCATCAGGACCGGTTGTAGGAACAACTCTTCGTCCATTTTCCTCTGCAGTGCACGGTCTGGTGGTCGTGCTTCTAGAAGAGGAAAAGGTAGTTGTAGCATTTTCACTTCCACGACCTATTGCCATGGTCGTAGCGCCGGTACTACAAGAAGAAATGCTGCCTGATGCAGTAGATGACGAATTGGACTCGCCTCCCTCATCCTCCGCAACAGTCACACTTGAAAGACCAGACTGATCTCTACTATAGAAGCTCTCCTGGTCGTTCCGCCTAGGCACCTCTCCTTTAGCTAGTCCTGGGAGTACAATTCGCTGCACTAGTTCCCGCAGGCTTACCTCGACATCATCCTCTTCCTCGTCGTCTGCATTATTTGAAGTAGAAGAGGAGGTAGAAGCTCCTGAGCCACTGTCCCCAGACGCAGTGTCTTCTCCATCTGCTGCCCATCGACTCCAGTGTTCCACATTCGCTACCGCCACGGCACTAAAGACAAGCGCATACTGCAGAAAACTTGCAATACACGCTATAGAAAGTGCTTTTGGCATGGTTTTGGCAGGTTCGTGAATTTCTTCAGCGACTGAACCGACCAAGTCCCAGCCAGAGAGAGCCCAATACGCAGTCAACAGAAGATTTTGACCACTGTGAAACCAGTGAAACTTCTTCGGAGGCTTCTGGATTAAGACTGAGAAATCACGAGGCTTGCGGACCCAAGTGTAGGCGGTCGAGGTTTTCTGTTGGCTGTCAGGATGAGGAGCAGGTGCATTACTGCTCTGTGCTGCAGCTGCTGTTCCCGCGTTAACACTTTGGTCGGCAGCTGAGCTGTTGCCAGTGGTCTTTGCTGGGTTCTTTACCACTCCTGATGTTTTCGGACTTGCTTGTTTAGCTGCTGCGCAATTAGCACAATTCGCACAGCTACTTGCATTTTCATCATCTGCTTCCTCGTCGTTCGTGTTCTCTCGTGTGATTCCTGTTCCACGTCCAGCCCCTTCGTCCAGCAAGCCTCTTAAATCTACGTTGACCATTTCGCCTCTATGATCGTACACTACGCTTTTCCCAAGCAAACGAGCTTCATCAACGGGATCTATGTGCGAGCCGCCTGTATAACCGAAAAATACGTAGCCCACGAAGAGAAGACACAGTAGCAGTCCGATTCCAGCCATTACTTCTAGAATTCGGTCATAGGTCTCGTTCGAAAAGAGGGCTGGCAAGGCTAGGATGAGGATTACGCTCAGTCGGAGTAAACGCCGGCCCCACCATCCGACCCAGAAAGATGGACATGTGCTGGGACTTGTTCCACCTAGAGATGCTGACGAAGGAGACATAAAATCTCCCCCAACGGTCGCTTCTCCTCCACCCATAGTTGCACCGCTGATCATCTGCTCTTCCAAGATCGACTCGATCAATGCGTCGACCAGTAAAACCGGAAAGATCGCAGATCCTATCCAGCTGGCCAATCGTGACCAATAGATGATCTGCCAGGCCCAATAGTCGCCGTATTTCTCGCCAAACGCACGACGAACCCACACCACGGCCCCACTGTCCGAAGGCATCGCGCAACTCAATTCGGTGACCCATCTGCACTGCGCCCAGGACCAAAAGAGAACGACGAAAAGTAGTGCGGCCAGACCGAGAAGGGGACTGTGGTTGTAGATTTCCTCGACACCCCAGGGACCCCCAGAGACACTGAAAAAAGCGAGAGCGGCAACAGCGGGAGTGCGCATGCCACTACCATCACCATGTGAAGCAGATGATTCTCCCACGTCGTCATTTTTTTCGCCTTTGTTCTGGAACCTTCGTGATCGAGAACTAATCAAGCTGCTGCGATGCGAAAGGCAACTGCTGCGACGCGGAGAAGACACTAGCAAGTCTCTTTTCTTGTTTTTCATAGAGCAGCCTAACACTAGTTCGCCTCCGTCAGGACTTCCGAGTTGTGCTGGTTCATTTTGTAGTTCATCATTGTAATATGAAGCTGTCACCACGAAGTCTTGACTCGCTCTGGAACTACACTTACGAATATCACGACTTCTGGTACAAGTTCCACGAGGTGTTGTTGCTTCCTCTGTACTACCCAAAAGCAATGGACTCTTTTCTTCAATCGCATCTAGTTGTTGCGATCCTCTTGGTGGCGACGGTGATGGTGAAATCGCTCTAGAGCTACGTCCACAGGCTGAAGAAGAGCATGACCCTTCCGCGTCTCTATCCATATGGTTGCGTTCACTACCTCTGTCTGTGGACATCAAAGACGCAGATCGGTAACGATGCTTCCATCTTCGAATCAACTGCGGTGCATCATAGAGTTGCTGAAAGATGCTAGGATCCTCATGTTCTTGATGACTGTCGTGAGGTTGCTGGTGGCCATGCTGGTGGTCACCTGGTGCGGAGAATGATATGCAGGAGGAAGGAGCAGCACCTCCATGATGTAATGCATGAGTGAAATATCTCCCAGAACCAGAAGCAGAGCTACTAGAACTCTGTCGAGAAAACAAAGACGAGTGCGGCGGTCCTTCCAAACTTTCCCTTGGAGAAGGCACCGGGGAAGCTCCTCTGGAAATTCTGGTTGCAGCTTCTTGTTGTTGAGTGCAGCTCTTTGAAGGAGCAGAAGATGAAGTACGTCCCAGCATCTTCAGTCGTTATTCGTTTTTTGAGTTTTTGTTGGGGACGAGTCAGTAGAGTGGGTAGAAGTAGAAAAGGGGGGTATGCAATACCACGGCTGCTTTGTCTTTGCTGCGCTTTAATGAGCAGACAGTAAAAAAACTGCGCATGCACCCAACGTGTTCTTGAGGTTGACCGTGCAGAAAAGCGAGGTGTTGAAACTGGAGGAACGTGTTCTTCACGCTGGAGCAGGGAATGGGATCAAAACGAGGGCGTTATTTTACCAAGAAAACTGCTGGAGGCGGGCTTGCGTGGACGTACTTGGATTTGGGGAACGGGCGGGAAAAAAGTTCGACAATATTTCGTATGTTTCGACAATATTTCTTATGCTGCACCACTAGACTGGTCCTGCTATCCACCATACAGAACGGTGTCGAACAGGAACAGCATGAAGAACGTCTCAGCTGCCGACACCATTTTCACCTTACTACTTTTTAACATCTAGGACAACAATTATCTTTATTACACATCATCGGGTTTCGTATAAAAATCTTCATTTTGTTGTCCGTCTGATGTAAGTACCGGATGAGAGAGAAATGAAGTTCGATGCGGACTAAGTGCAGATGTCAAGTAATGCTGACACCTTGTTTTGAGGTCGTTCTCCGTCGAAAAGTAGACATAGACTACAGTTGTAGTACTACAATGGCTGTCACTACGAGAGTTGCAGTTCGTTTGTTTTTCTATGATGCAGATCAGAGGAAAATACACGATAATATACAATCAAGATGCAAACACTATTCTTGCAAGCCCTGCTAGCGGAGAAAAAGAGATCATGACATAAACTTTCCTGGTGAAGATATGATGGTGTTCGTTGTGAATTGTGATTGTGATCTTACGCTTTGCCACGACATCTCGATAGTTGAGATCTCACGTTCCAACTACATGAACATGTTGTCGTTGTTTTTCCTGGTCTTCGTGCTCTTGATCTTTCTCTTCGACTTGTATCCAGTGCACATGGAAAAGATTCAGTACATCGATTGGATCATCTTGCATCGGATTTATTGGATCTCGGTTTTTTGAAGGTTATTTTCTGAAGGGTATTAGAACTTGGATCTTGCATTAGATTTCTGAAGGTTATTAGAACGCCTGATCTGAGACGAGGAAGTAACTCGAACCCGATCGTGGAAGAGGACACACCGTCTGATATCAGGAGTCAAGGAGACTTGCTCAATATCCTTTCTGATTCTGAATCTTTGTTTTTAGTGCATTCCGATGTGCTAGAAAAACAAGACATAGACAAGAGCTCGGGGTTGAATGTGATCCTGATCGATATCTGAATCTATTATGTCAAGATCACTGATGTCCCTGCTTCATCACGACAGACTCTTTTCTAGACGAACGAAGGTCTACTACCTTTTCCTCTGGACTGATCCAATTTTTCTTTCATCCTACTGATTTGCTGCATCTGCAATGCTAACGCCTCATCGAAGTTCTTCTCTTGTCGCGCCTTGTTTGAGATCAATGTCTGCAGACCACTTATGCTTTCAATAGACGTAGCTTGACCTTGAGTAGACGTTTGTTTCTTGTTCGTTCCGGTGCCACTGCTTGTTCCACTATCTTGTGCTGTCTCTTTCTTCAATGGACTTCTTCGACGTGGAGACAACTCTCCAGCGAGATGCGGGACAACTGTCGTTCTTGTTCTGCTGCGGGTCTTCGACGTTGTAGCGATATCCTTCTTACCAATGTCTTTCGAAGATGACGCTCCTGTTACATCATCAGATGCAGACGTTGCGCCACTTGTTCCAGCAAGAATTCTAGTTCGAGCAAAAGTGCGACCTTGATCTAACAAATTCTCCTGCAAAGGATTCTGATCGACAAAAGGAGCCTTTCTAGCTTGCAGAGCCCAAGCTGCTGCGGACTCAGACCCCAGCACTGCTGTTGTTGCCCCAGCACTGCCACCACCTGCGCCACTAGCTGATGCATCTACTTCGTGATCGTGTTCTTGTGCTAGGAGACAACCAGAAAGAAACAATTCGATCTCCTCGGATGACCATAGAGGGCGTAAGCCGTCACGCCAGGGCTCGATGAGGGAATCCTTAGATCCGGACCACTCGTTCCCGCTTCCATTTGCTAGTTCCACTGTCCGTCTCAAATTGGGCAAAAGAGTACTGCGCACGAAGTCCCGACCGAAGTAGACAGGAGAAGAAGAAGATGTAGACCTGTGATTCTGAAGATGTTGATGTTGGCTTATGTAGTAGAGTCGCTCTGGCGATGCTAAACCTGACTCAACTCCGGCAGGTTCTTGAAACACCACTTTTACAGATCGCAGTTCTACAACTACTGCGGGTGGCCTAGGGAGGTTACTGGTGGTCATGATCTTTCTCAGCAACAAATTCGCTTCTAATGCCAACCAATCCGTGGTTACACCGAAAGCCCTCTGTAGAAACTGTCGTCTTTGCGTAGAAGACGAGGATGGTCCCGCTCCACCTCCAGCACCATGTCCATACGAGGAAGCTATTGTAGTACAACTAGTAGCCACTGCAGGAGGTAGCAAATCTCCTGCTCCACTAATTCTAGGAGGAGGTGTCTGATGTCTCATTCTCGACGGTGAGACGACATTCATATGCGTTTCATAGTAAGGATCTTTGTACGGTGTAAAGGAGGAAGACGATGAACTAGTACCTGTGGCCGCCCCTGCAGCTGCAAATGAAGTTGTAGTTGCAGCATTCACGTTGTAGTTGTTCGTACCACCACCACCTAGTCCCCCACCCCCACTCGTCATCTCAAGATACCCTTTGTGGTCGGCAACTTGGAAGCATGGTCCCACATCCCCGAAAAGCACAACGTCTCCAGGTGAAAGTTGGCAAGTCTCCAGACCCTCAGCTAACAAGGTTCCGTTGATGCGGATGAGGTGGGGTCTAGGCTTGTGGGGTCTAGGCGTCCCGCCAATGGCAGGAGTAGAAGATGTTGATATCGTACTAGTCTCCCCTTCACTGCTTGAAGAGGACCTACGTCGAACGAGAATCGGAAGTCGCTCTGTCTTGTTCTTGGTACTATTGGGTGAGTTATCTTTTGGTTTCGTATCAACAGTCTTGGCCGTGGAGGTACCTGTTGCTGGTTCAACTACGAGTCCTTGATTCACATTCACCGGATCCTCGAGACAAACAATAACACAACCAAATGTCTGCTCAAACAGCGTATCACCACAAGACCAGGAGCTTGCTTCTTTTTCAAAGATTGTATCTGATATTATCGAGGAAGATGAAGTTGTCGTGTCGGTTGTACTCCTAGGCGCCACTATTTTCGCACACCACTTGCTATCCAGTAAGGGCGATACGTGTCTGCCTATGAGGTAGAACTGCGAGGTTTCATTGGTTGCACTGCTTGTTCCTCCACTACTATTGGTAGCAGCTGTACTCTGAAATCCGCTTCCACCTCCGGTTCCGGTCGCCTTCTTCGTCAGCCTAGTATTCCTCGTACTCGGTTCCAAAGCCGCTGACTGTGGAACTATCACAGTCCGATGTTCACTTGCAAGCGCATTCAAAACTGGCACTAGATTCTGCTGCAAACCCTCCTGCAGCAAAAAGGTTGTACGAAAACGGCCTGTGTCCAAGTACAGAGGCATAAAGACGTCATTCCAAATATCGGTGGCGTGCAGCCACCAGTCGGGAGTGCCAGGCGTTGTTGTAGTACTTGATGAAGAGGAAGATGTTGAACTACCAGTGCCACCACCAGATCCTCCACAAGTTCTCGTTGTAGTAGCAATTCTTCTCAAAAAAGCGCGTTCATCGACTATGGCCAGCTGAACAGCCATGGAGACCTTACCTCCTCCGAGACTATTGTAGTTGGTGGCAGTCGAACTCGAAGGAAGGAAAGTAGAACTTCTACCGAACCCCCCATTTCCACTTCCAGTCCCACCCGTACCTCCTTCCCGCACATACCAAGTCACTACTGTATGACTGTCGCTCCGCGTGTCTTCCACCGACTGAGTGGAAAGAAACACTTTCCCTAAGGCACTCCTGACTAGCGACGATAGTTGCGGAAAGGTGTCGTAGACTACTTCTGATAGGCCAGGAGAGAAGTGTAAAAAGGAGTTCTTTGACAGGGAGAGGAGCGAGGAGTCGTCTTTTTGCTCTGCACCTCCATGCTGAGCGTGACGACCAGGACCAGGAGGACCAAGTAGATCTCTAATCTCACCTCCTTGGTGAAACTCCACACAGGATACAGCAAATTCCGCATTCGTTCCTGCTCTCTGCACAAGTTTGCGGAGCTTTAGGTGTACTGACTCCAGTAATCGGTCCAAGTCCAAGCTCTGCTCATCCAAGTTCGATTCATTGTCCACAAACACGACAATTGCGACATTCTTGCCACCTTGGGCTGCAGTGTCCAGAGAGCCAAAACGGACCACACTTTCGAGCTGATGAGCTTCGTAATCGATGAGGTCGATGTTCTTGTAGTCAGAATAATTGCTCGTTTCCCCTTTGTTGTTCCCAGATGAAGCTTTGTCCTTGCTAGGAGCACCCCCACGGCATCGAAGAATACCTACACGAGGTGGCGGCTCTTCCTTTGCGGACTTCTGGGTCGTCGACGAGGCAAGCTTTGTGTGCACATTGGGCAAGAAGCAAGACGACGACATCATTTTTTGAATGTAAACTCAACAGAGGGACAGTAGCGTTGGCGTTGGGGCCGAGAAAATATGCGCTCGAAAGATTAGTATCCTCACGATTGAATTTCTCCTCGTCAGGGCATGTTATGCTTCTTCTTCATTCTCACTCAGTGCTCGTTGCTGAGCCATCTATCCCGGGAGCGTCAGCGATCGGATAGGATAGGAGTTGGCTCGCCGTCCACAGTTTGACCTGTATCCTCACAGGCGAACGTCCGTAACCTCAGAGGGACCACCAAACAGTAACTATCGTCAGCGAAGCTGCTTCTACTTGATTTCTCAAAAATCGATGTCGATCACTTTTCATATCTGTGCAAGAATCTGTGCTGATTGACATCGAGCAGACTGCTCACCGTCGTAGGTGTCCTGTGTGTTGGTCACGAAGTTTTACAGACTTGACAAGGAATTCAAAAATTTAATTAAAATGATGTTGGGAGTACCAAGCTAAGAGCTAAGATCTTCTTCAGGTGCAAGAAGTAGATCACGAATAAGAGAAGAGACAAAATAAACTGAATTTTCAACAAGATCGATGAACATAATTCTAATTCAAATTCATGACAGGGAACATTTTTATACGAAACTGGTGCGACAAGAAAATTGACTAAACTTTGAAGATAGACGATACGATTACGGTCATAATTATGCTTCAAGAAATGCACACTAACTGGTCTGAACAAGGAGAAAAATATTGAGCTTTTGAGATGAATGAGAAAAACGAAATAAGGGTGATTAAGGAGATCGGTAAATTACCATGACATTGTTCGACGTAGGTTGACTCGCTGGCTCCAGTCGTTGATTGCTCTGATGTAACAAATATTGAAACGAGGACAATAGATCGAAAAACGTGTACGTACTAAAATGGTGGGAGTGCGGTGAATAGGCGAAATTCAAATTGCAGTTTTCAAAGTTAAGAACAAAAGGCTTTTTATATGACAACAAGCATAAGCTGGAGTTTTCGTTCGTTGTGCGTACGGAAAAATGGCTGGTATAACGGGAACAACGCAATGACAGAGAACATGAAGCAGGATGACAAGATCATGTACTAGAACTAGAAGTTAAGTGTTATACTAAGATAAGGAAACCGACCGACATGCTGGCAAACGCAAATGCGTACGGAAACAAGTAAGTAGGCACGACTACCACGACTACGTGCTGAGGTACTATTTCGACACCGACTAAAAGAAGTTCTTTTTTTACATCAACTGTGCATAAATGAGAGCAAAGGACTAGAACGAAAATAAATGGGGAGTGTCTAAATGTGTTATGTAGTCCTTCGTATGCAACACGTACCTAAGTACGTCATTCTCGGTATACCTATTTCTCAATATTTCTAGTAATACAAGAACAACATATTCATAAATTCATTCTGTACTAGTTCTTATGCAGCGAAGAACTTCTAGGAGGTACTATGCTTACGTACTTCTACTCACTTACGCAGAAAAGTTCTCTACACTTCATTAACCGCAGAAAAGTTCCCTTCTGCCAGAACTGAGAGCATCTTCGCTCTCGTGTCTTCTGCGCCGATCACTGGCGAAGCGTGGAGATTCCACGGTTGTGCATCCATCATGTTGATGGATGAGCCGTTCTCTACCTTAGAGGTAGGTTTCTGGTGTTCGTGGGTTCTCCCGCTTGTTATGGCTGTCCCCACTCGCTTAGGTGGGAGAGCCATAACAAACTACGGTAACAAAAGCACCTTTAACCTACCCTTAACTACCGTACCCGTAGTTCCTCCAACTCCAGCAGTCTCTCCTGCAACTGGACACCCAAGGTCAACGTCAAGGTCAAAGCCCGCCGCTGAGGATCCCGACATTAGCAGTTCCGCTTGATGTGTCGGGATAGGCTTCAGTGCGCCACTGAGTCGCTCTTCTGGGATTGAGGGACAAGTGTAATACTTGATCTTCGGAGCCCCTAGACCAGGTTCTTCAGGGTACATGAAACGCAACTCCTCAACAGGCCAGGAGACGAAATCTACGCCACCGGCGACCTTGCCACAGGTGCCGCCAGGATAACGGATCGGGATTCCATCGATTTGGGGGATTAGAGGTGTGCTGGAAAAAATCACGACATATTACCAGCTGAAATTGTAAATAGAAACTTTTCACCTTGTTCTCTCTTCAGCGGAGGTTAAGGATATTTCATCGAGAGAGTTCTTTTACGCTGACGTACTATCATTTGACAGAAAATGGCGATCTTCATCCACCTATGTGCAAAAATTTATCCTATAAGAAGAGTGATGAATTGTTTAGATTGTAGCCACTTTCATTAGTAAGTCATTAATTAATGTCATATTTTTCAGCCTACTTTCCATTCATAAACAAAACCTCAAGACCATGTAGATCATGAAGCTCACTCTGTTGTGCAAAGCCCAGTCCAATGCGGCTTGGTACACGAGATAGCGGTACTCGTAATCCTTCGATTCAGGGTCAAGCAGGCGCTCGCGTGAATGCAGAAACAGTTTCAGGGAGGACATCCAATACCTTTGGAATTGGAAAGGTCCGTCAAATCCAAAAAAAAGGTTCCGTCGTTTGGACGAAAAGGACAACTGATGTTCTTTCACTACAGCTTCTAGTACAACAACTCAAGAATTATATTGGAGTATGAATTAGATTGTAGGTTATTTAACTTCACTTACCTCTACATTCATATTAGTTACAAGTTGTTCTGACTATCGAAGATCAAGTGATGTATCTTCTTCACAGAAGTAAGTACCCTTTGCACCCATATCCACGAATCATGGCTGCTAAAACATGCGAATTCTTTTTTCTAGCGCCTAACGATAGAAAGATTTCCTCCAACTCTTCCACGCGAGCCGCTCTAGAGTCCTGAATAAACAGCTGCGTGAGAAGCGAGAACATTTGACTGTCGATCACCCGCTCCAAATGCTGCCTCTGCTGAGTAGACGTCGAGGAGGACGTACTAAAGGGTCCACTCCCTCTTGTGTTAGATGCTTGATATCATCATGCTAGCTTGATATCATGCTTGATATCTCTTATCAGAGAGAAGGAGTGGCGCTGTCGACGTCAAGGAGGTAGATATAATTGTTGTTCTCGAACTTTTTTTATGTTTTCTTCGGGACATCAGGGTGGCGCTGACGTGGTGGGAGAATTCATTGATTTACGGATAATTCCGAAGATGCGATGAAGGGACTACACAAAGTCAAAATTTGGACACATTTTCTCGAGACTTGTGTTACGTTCTTCTTCTTTCTTCTCATCTCATGATCTTGTTCTAAATTCGTAACACTCGGTGTCACTGCAGCTGCTGCTGACTGTCCTCTGACCGCAAGGTCATCTCCTTTAGCGAAATCTTGTTTGAGGCACATTGCTAAGAGATAGCCATGCTTCCACTCACAGTTCTGCGGTTCCTGAGACAGCAAAAAGCGCAAATAAGCGATGCAATCCTGTTTGTAGTCTGCGTAGCGCATGGTATTGCCGAAAGCACGGATCTCCAGTTCGTTGTAGCCGAGGTATCTATATCACGATTGGCTTGTTGTATGTGGGTAGTGGACGAGGGAGAAGAGATGTATTGTGGAAGCGCAGTAGATCTGGATGTTATGGTAGAGTAACCTGTAAATCTAACGCTCCTGCGAACAAGAATAGAAATTATGCATGCTAACCCTAACATTATACAACTTCGTTTTTTGTTGTACCTCCAAATGCACTGTCTCAACACCGTGAAGTCATAGTTCGTTGTAGTCGTATTCGACGTCGATGTTGTTACACCTTCTGCTTTCGTGCTAATTTTCTTCACTTTTTCCATCTGTTCGCGGTCATATTGACTCAGTGGACGCATATCGCGGTCAAATTGCAAGAGGCCTGGGACGTAGTGGCCCTCTGGGTAGTTGTAGCACCATGGTCGCTGATGTAGTTCGATTAGTTCGTCATCCTCGCGATCCTCCGCGAGACGTTTTTCACGCTCTTGAGCGGTCTCTTCTGGTCTGTTGTTGTTGTTTTGCTCAGAGTTGGCATCTTGATCTTCGAAATCACTGATACTACTTGTTTCACCTTCTTGGACTTTCCACCCACTAGGACTAGCAACATCAGCATTGGCTTGATGGAAGTCACCAGAGGAGGACGAAGGACCACCTTGTTCATCTAGTACACCAGCTAACTTGTAGTTGTAACCACTTGCGACCTGTTCCACCTCGTCGGAGCCATCTAGGCTCATGAGAGTGTTGTCGGACTTTTTTGAGTTTGGAGAAAGATCATCAGCAGCGGAGGCGACGAGTAAGGAGGATGTAGCTTCTACTGCAGGGCCCGAATGGAGCTGGTGAGTATGGGCAACAGCAGCACCAGAGGCATCTTGGTGCTTTAACGCAAGTTCGCCGCTTGCTGGCGCCGCTCCTGTCGGTAAAAATAACGTAGCATGTTGTTGAGTATGAGTACTAGGGTGCAGCTGTTGAGTACTACTAGAGACACCTCCCCCTACGACCAAGTCTTGGTGATCATTCTCAGTGGCTGACGCTGACCGACTGCCGCAAAGGCCAGGAGGTAAGCGAGGTCCGGGTAAGTGTTGTGCTCCCGCCACAGGTCCCGCAGGAGCTGACGGGTACCTCCCGCCGTTGTTGTAGACGTAACTCTGAGAAGAACCCACGCTCTCTTGAACACCCCACTGCACATTGTGGTGATCGTCTAACTCTAAAACTTCTGCACCTCTTGAGGTCGTAGACCCAACAACAACTTCGTTGTATCCGTTTAAGCCTAGTAGTCGCTGTTGAGTAGCTCCGTCACTGTAGACCTGACGCAAAGGTATATGCGCGGTATGTCGCACAACTCCCCTTGCAGGAAGCGACCAGGATGTTTCTGGATGATGTGGAGGACCGTGTTGACCTCCTTCACCACCATAGTAAGACTGTAGATGATCATGATGATGTTCCTGGTAATTTATTTGGTGCTCATTCTGGTGCTGGTCAACAACGTACGAATATCCACCACCACCAGCTGTAGCAGGTGTACTAGTTGAAGGATGCTGATATTGGTAATCTGAAGTTACGGACAAGTGATGTATTCCGGTGCTTGGATAATAGGCTGCTGCACTACTAGAAGGGGTAAAGGAGCTCGTACCAGAAGATGTTGGTGGAATCGCCGTACTACTCGCTTGACTTCTAAGTGCTGGGAGGTAGTATGTGGGATATGTCTGCGTTTTTTGAACAGCACTTGTCGCACTCGGGGTCGTAGTGGTAGGGTAGTAGAGAAGAGGGTTATGTAGATGTTGTACTTGATGAAGAGCCGGACGAACTACGGCTGGGCCTGGAGCTGCTGCTACATCATTAGAGATAGGTTTTTGGTGTTCGTTTATCCCGCTTGTTATGGCTGTCCCCACCTAAGGGAGAGAGCCATAACAAACGGTAACAAAAGCACCTTTCACCTACCCTTAACATTATGAGAAGCTACTAGTACTGCAGGAGTTGCATTATGTTTATGTGATGAACCACCAGGAGTTCCTGTCGGTGTCGTAACTTCTGGTAGCTTCCTTGAGACCTCGCTATTGTGCGTCGGTGCAGTTTCCAGAGCCAGAATTTCAGGAGAAGCTGACTCTGAGCGCAATTTCGTGGCAGGAGGACCTGCTAATGCGGAAGAAGTCTCCTGTAGTTCGAGTCCACCGCCAGCAAAAACGTTGTTCTTGGGAGACGAGACGGGTGATATTTTTGGTGCGGGTACTCCCTCCACGACATTGTCCTGCTCCTTGGCTCCTGATGGATCAGGTTTAGGATTTGCAGCTTGCGAGGCCTTCAACATTTCTTGGTCGGACATGATGTTCGTCGTTCGTTGTTGGAGGTCGTTGATGTAGAAGGGTAGAAGAGTTGTAGAAAGTCAAAGTGTACAACTAGACGAAGTGTTTATTACGCACAACTCGTCGTTACCGTTACGTAGAAAGGTATTCATACATACGTAGAAGAGTCGTGGTGGTGATTGGGTTTGCAGTTGTTCTTGTAGTTGTGCAAAAGAGATCGTTGTAGCGTATAATCATCGATCGTCGTTTAATCATTCATCATGACTCTATGACAGGAAATGACTTGGTTCTAGACCAAGAACAGCATAATTAACCAATGTAGCGAGAAGGAGCGCACCTATCATTTTCATTTTGTTTAGAGAAGAATCGTCCACGGAATTATGGTCGTGAAATACAGAGACAGACAGCGAGGCACAACTGTTACTGTTTGTAGTGTAGCGAAGGGAACTGCTTCACAATCAATCAATCAAGTGGCGATGCGCGGTAGCCCGAACTTGGCGGACGTGACCGTGTCACTGCTCGTCGTGCCTCACTGAGTATGCCCGCTCACGCGAGGTCAGTCGTCAGACAAGGGTACGACTTCACAGCACCGAAAAGAAATTTGAGAGAAGGAGCACACGACAGACGAATGTTGAGACACAAACAGAACCGATTCCAACATTTGCTCATTGACATTAGCAAGTTACCGATCTGTAATATCGAACTAGAACAGATTCTTACGCACGTTTCGTGTGCTTCTTCCGCGATGATACAAATGAGTGACAAAAGGAAGAAAAGCATTCCCGCCCAACGAAAAAATCTCAACCTAAAGAGCCAACGACGAAAGCTCATCTGGATCATACAAGTGAGAGAGCTTCTTTGTCATTTTCTTTTTCTTACACGTTATTTTCACTTTCAGTTTCACATGGTGCGAGTGAGCTGCTTCAAAAATCCAAATGAGAAGAAGATCAGCTACAGGCTACAGCGTCGTGCATTATGGGCAACAGCTGCAAACAATGATGATGAAGATATTGATGATGAGTAAAGTTGTACCTATTTCTTTGTAGTATGGCGCAAAATGTGTATTAAAAGACAACTAGTTCTTGTATCAACCTATTTTTTACCTCAAGTTCGTTTCTTATCTACTATGTACAACCAGGACGAGTCATTTTTTACGAGGTGGAAAATAAGCTTTGAAGCGGAGAGAACAGTGGTAGAAGAGAGATATAAGCCACCTAGATGTCATATACCTGAGCAGCAGCGCACGCAATTACTTATGTAATACTGGCAGAAAAAACAGGGGCGAATTAGGGTAACCTCATAAGTCAAAAAAGAGGTCGAAAATAAATTCGAACAAATTAATACTTTCAATATCGGAATGATAGATCATAGCGCCATGCAGTGAAACGGGATCTGAAGCGCTTTGAGTAATCACAGTTCATCTTAAACGTAATCGTAATGTTTTTGATACGATAAAAAATTCATTCAAAAAGTCCTTACAAACCAGAACCTTGACGTCAAAGCCCTTAAGAATAAAGCTCATCTCCAGCAGCAAGCGATGTCCCGTCAGCCTGTTCTGCAAGCCACTTGCCAGCAACCTTGATCAACTCCCTTTTCTTAGAGGGGGTGTAGTTTGTTGATCATAAGAAAGATCAAATTCTAGCATAAGAATCACTATTGTTACTATAGATACGTCTGCTAAAAGAAGCACTATTCAGTATCGTTTGAGCATACGAAAATCAATGCCGACGATCTTCACAATTCATAATTTGCAACTCCTTCGCAGCTGGCATTACCAAAGGATCCTCTGGATTGCCGTAAAGGCCTACGCAGTGACTACCGTGTGGCACTATGTGGCTGATAGGGCTAGGGCCTCGGGATAGCGTTGACCATGGGTCTAGCTCGCCGTTGATGAAGATCTGTGAACGAAAATTCAAGTCATGTGCCATCATCACAAGACAGAGTAGGCTGCGGCCCGCCATTGCAGCGATAAGCGCGTTTCATAAGGCTTCTAGCACGCAGACAAGAAATGGGTTTACTCAGTAAAGACATGAAAAAGAATAAGACAAGAGCAGCGATCGAACCACATCAACCCACCAGCACAAAAAGAAAACAAAAGACCCCAAGCAACGCAGCAAGCACCAGAAAAGCCACACGCCTGCCGGGCGATTGCTCCACCCTCTTCGCCTTTGTAAAAGCAAAGATGTCTACTTTCATGCGGAGAACGAACGAAGAAGACGCGGGCGCACTGTTTGCGCTTTCTTATTTGGTAGAGCAACGGTCTGCAGCGGTTGCAGTTCTCAGGCAAATACTTGTTAGCTTACAGGTGTGCGCATACAGCTGGCAACTGACTCAAGGCCTACAATGTTCAGCCATCATTTTGCTGCTCATCCATGTGTTGAATTGTTGGCGCGTTGTTATTTAATTCGTCACGTGTTCCCGCTCGCTTTATCTTTGTACCTACCTGCTTCAGAAACTTGCAGAGTGCAACGGCATACATCCAACAGTGTGCAACATCTTCCCAATGGAATGCCTTGGCTTGTCTTCTGTCACTGTCTTCTTCCATCATGGTGCAACTTCGACACATTCACAACAGCCGCCACCTGTTGGCGATTGCCCACCTCACACCCGATGGGCATACCAGCAGTCAAAACGCTGCACGCATTTCCAAGGCCAAAGGCCAGCCTCCTCCTCCTCACTCCTTTGCGCATGTGGATACTGCTCTGCCTTTTCCGTATGACTTCAGCCCAGATGCAAAAGCTCGCAGAGTATACGAAAGAACGAAAAGAACGAGAAGACCGGGGGCCGGGCTATTTGGCTCATATTTGTTAGCTGGCTCTACTGAGCTGCTTGGTTGAACATGCGCAGCGGCTGGCCCTTGTTGGTTGTTACTTCTTGCTTAGCCAGTTACACACAAGGGAGACACAAAAGTACTGCGCGGGCTATATCGTTAGACCCAAGGCCTACAAAGCGAAGAGCTTTCATGGTATAGGTATGGGCATGGCTTTGCCCGTCGTCTTGTGTGTTCATACTTCCCACAAACACGAAGAGCATCAGAGCGCTCGCCTCACTAGATTCCATTCTCCCACCACGATCAACCTCCCCACATCTTGACGCTTCGGAGCAACTTCCCCGCTTCTTGACTCTTTGGACCAACTTCCCTAGTTCTTGACTCTTCCAGTTTGGTCGCTATCGTTCAGCTCACAAATTCACGACACCAGACAAAAGCCGACCCGTCGCCGCCGTCCTCCCTATCGTTTGCGGCTCATCAACAAGACAGCGGACGAGGGAAGCAAGCCAGCCCACCCTCGCCCCCGCAGCCGGCTGCTGACATGCTTGGGGGCGCCTGCGTCCGCTCGCCGGCTTGAGTGCTTGGTCCCATTTTTTCAGCTGTCCCGTGCATGGTTTCAGCGACTGCGATGCGCACCGCGACGAGCGCCCAGACTCATGCCCTTTATCGAGCTGCCAAGCAAGGGCCGGCGGGGACTCCGCTCGAGCGTTGGCATACTTGAAAACGCGGCAGGCCTTCTATCGCCTCGACCAGTACGAGACTGACAGAACGCCGCAGGGCGGAGCGTGCTTAGTGTCTACCAGTCAGAAACCGCTGGCGGCTCCCCGGTAGTGGAGTAGCCCCGTCCCTTGCTGTCCGAGGTGCGTCCCTCACATACTGCGCAGCGTCTGCCCCTATTCGTGCCCCCTGTCAAATGGCTGCCCTCAGAGGAACACCCCACCAAAGCGCGGCGACCCTCCACGCGGCTCCCACTCTCTTGAGGCTGACCGCGGTCAGGCGACTTTATCGCGGGACGCGAAGCGATCGGACCGCAGGCCCCTACCAGGGCAGACCGTTGGCCGCCGCCGAGGTCCTACCGTGTGCAACCTCGACAACATCAGCGCGAAGGGCGTCCCAGCTGGGTGCTATTCCGTGAGGGGCTTGCCAGTGCTCCCGCTAAATGATACCGAGCCCGCAAGAAACTTGGCGCCACGGCTCTCCTCTCTCTTGCTCCTGGCGTCGTTCAGGTGGACCTCCGGCCGCGGCGCTTGGACATGCGTATACTCCATAGCAACGGCGGAAGCCCCCCACCGGCCTCCCCCACCAGTCAGGGGCGCGGCGCATAAGATGGCCGAAAGCAGGGGCGCAGCGCTTTCGAGGCTATGCACGCGCAGGGCCTTGCCATTTGGCAAATGACTTCTACGGCGCCAAGCCTTAGCCCCACCTGACTAGGCAAACGAATGCAAAAAGCCGCTAAAAATGTACCGTCTTCGACACTTCACTCTCGTCAATGTCGTAGTAGGTTCTTGTGTTGGCGACTCTTGCCTCGACGTTGCTGATTCCAAAAACGTTTTCGCAAATGCCATCCGGGAGTTAGAGAAGAAGCCAGACGTGTCGAATCAAAGTTGCAATCAGATCAAATGCAATTGCAAATAGTTCAAAGCTAGTCGTAAATAAAACAAGCTGAAGCGTGCTGATTTTGAGTATGGAAGAAGATTTCACTTCAATTTGCATTTCGACAATTAACCTGATCCTACTTCTAGTCCTCCGTGGTCGTTGTTGGTCCCTCCACTCCCATTGCGATTGTCGGAAATGATGGTAATTGCAAACAAATGTGAGTTTTGCAGCAACATTATGTCCATAACACAAGCTCGGATCTGATACTCCCGGAGTGTAGAGCGACTTTTTCTCCAGCGAAACCCGTGAAGTCTGGAAATAACCGAACTCGTTACATGTCTGATAAACCCAGGATCTTGCTGCTGCGGCTGCGTCAGGGACAAGAGAGCTGTACTCTTCACGCTGGCTGTAGTCGATGCAGTCAACTTCAATTGGTGTAACTGCAATCGCGGTTGACTGGTTCTTGTTCCCCTTGTTGTTATCGTCATGCTGCTGATTTCCTTTGTCAACATGCTTTCCGCGTGGCTTCAGGCCAGTGAGGGCGGCGCTGTGTCGTTGAAGATGGGTGCGTTTGTAGGGTGTGGGTGTGATGACTGATAGTTATCCTCTTGTTACCTTATCGAAGAAGAGACAAAGCGAAGCAGATTCTTGTGGTGCTGTTGGTGGACAGCCCATCACATCAACAACAACGCCTGCTACATCGATCTACATCTACTACACAAGTTCAAGTACTACATGCTAAATTTACTATAAGTAATACGCTTCTCCTTCCGCAAACTTTGAAAAAATAGCCCACGCAGCATCTTCTGGCGTCGCTGCTTCGCCTACAATCTTCGCGACATCTTCAATTTTCCTACCACTCGGCAAGGTGTTGTTATATTGCACCACTCCCGCAGAAACCCCAGTCAGCATTGAAAGAGTTAGAAGAGGAACTAAGAAAACGATACTCATATTGTTGAAAGGGCTAGATCTCTAGAGGTAAAAACTAACCGGTTGTTTTATTTAGTGCTTTGAGCGCTGCTGGACCTAAACCTTATAGGAAGGGATATTTATACTATAGAAGTCAACAAATGTATGCTTGTCTTGTCATAATTCCACATTTGCCTCATCTGCCTGAGACAAAACTGTAAACGGACACGCATTCAAATTCTGCAGCACGGACTTCCTCGCTGCAGGTGTGCCCGCATTCAAATCCGTGAGGATACTCTCATATCCACTGAGCAATTTGGCCGATACTTCTGTATTGCCACCCACCACACTGCCCAGGGCCTTAAAGACCATCTGCCCATACTCGTAGAAGTCTTTTTTCGCAAAGATCGGAGCCGAAAACGAGAAGCAGCCATCCACGACGTCAGGATACTTCTGTCTAAACCAAGCAGCCAAGTTTCCGGGATAAGAACCTCCAAGGCAGAGAAATTTCGACTTAGAATACTTCCCTTTCTTCTTCGCTGTGACGAAACCGGCAAGATCTGCCAATGCCTGCTGCGACGACAGCAAGGAGAGATCGGACAAATCGCCACCATGGGGTTGACTCTGGCCGTAAAAACGATGCTCGAGGGCTAGAACTGCACCACCGAATTGTTTCCCTGGGGATTAGAGGGATCCGGTGGAGAGAGAAGGACAAGCTAGTAGTGCAAGTCATGCCTCTTCCGCTTCAAGATCAACACCTAATAACTTCAACTACATTGTCAGTGGCTGACGCTGACCGACTGCCGCAAAGGTTGTACCTATTTCTTTGTAGTATGGCGCAAAATGTGTATTAAAAGACACAAGGTGGAAAATAAGCTTTGAAGCTTGGGGATTAGAGGGATCCGGTGGAGAGAGAAGGACAAGAGGAGGTTGTAGAATTCCTACCCTCGTCAGTCAGGAACTACATTGTGTGTGAGCACGTCAGGATCAGGAACTCCTCGTGTCGTAAAAGTAAGCAGCCAAGAACCGATCGCCAACGTAGTCGGCGCTGATCTCACCCTCCCCTCCGATCATCAGGAAAACCGGCCCACCTGCTTTGAAATGTTCGTCATTCTCGAAGAAACGTTGGGGCCAGGTTAGGGTTAGAGGAGGAGGAACAAGGTTACCTTGAAGGCGCTTCTGATCTACTTTCTGTCTCACGATTATCCACTCAGAAAAACGTGGTAGCTCAGGAGGTTAAGAATGGACACCTCAACCATTCTCATAACTTTTTCTTCTCTTCACTCGCCTTACCATCAGCACCATTCTTTTGTTCCGCAACGTGCTTCTTACCACCAAAGTGATCAAACACTTGTGGGAACCATTGCTCTGGTATTTCCTTTTCTATCTTGCGTCTCAAAATGTGGTGTTTCTTCTCCCTTTCCTTGATCTGACCCAAAATGACATTCAACGTATTGCCACGGTTCACTTTCGAAGCGGGATATGGCACAGCGATGGTAGGAGGAGAGGACCATGACGATGCAGAAGTGGCAAGAACTACATTACTAGATGAAGTTGAAAGGATAGTGGTCGTGGTCACTGCGAATGCAGCTCCTGCGAAAGGACGCAGTCTAGGCATCGTCTTGCCGCGATGCTGACGGGTCATCTTCTTGTTGACACAGTTGTTCTACGGAGTTGGAGTTCCTCTACGTAAGAGTAGACTTAAATCAGTCGATGAAGATCAAGAATTTGGACGTACTTACTTGTGTAAGACAAACCATTGAAAAATCTATTGCAGCCACCAAGAATTTAGAAGTATTTTGTTCTCTTTGGAATGTATGAAGATCAAATGCTTGTCGTATTCGGTTTCATCTCTCTTTCAGACCTTCGACGTTCAGTTCGTAAAAACCCATTCTGACGCTCACCGATCCTTGAAGAGGAAGAATACAGCGCTGCGTTTCGTTTCCGCTGCCATGAAGGAACAAAGTGAAGGCATCAACTCCGCAGGAACGAGTGAATTCACATGAGAGAAGTAGATGGCACTAAAAATTCTTGTAGTAGTCGTTGTCTTTGTTTACATCAACAGAGACAGGAGAAGGAATCATTTATATTTTCCACAACAACTAAAAGCAAAAGGAAATAGGAATCAGGTGTCTCATCTATAGTCTTTGCTTGAGTGTGCAATTCCATGACCATGCTGAGTGTTGGCTTTGTGTTTGTCGATGATATGTCGACTTATAACAATATTGGATTGAGGAGTCATTGTCTTAGTTTTTGAAACATGTCTTTGCTTTTGGGTTACCTTCAACATCACTACCAGGATGGATATTGTGTTCGTCATCCGAGATTTTTCATGACGTGCTATGGTCTAAAATTGCTTTCCGTCATCGCTAGCCAGCCGTCCCTGCATCGTCTCGCTCTCTAGAGCCAACGTGATCTGCCTCGATTTCACGATCAACAAAGTCGATCAACGCATCTGAGAGAACCACTGGTCTGTCCTTGGAGCCGCCTCCTGGACCAGCATGGATATTAGAGCCACCGCACGGCAGACCTTGGCGACTACTAACTTACTAAGTAATATTTTCATCCTTCTAATATTGTTCCCCAGCCTAGGTCAGCAAAAAGAAAAAACTCACTCCACCACAGACACTCATTTACATACGGAATAAAACAAGAAAGCTAGAAGTTGTAAAACAAGGCTACTAAACACTCTTCACTCTCACTCTGCGGCCTTAATCTTCGTGCTCACTGGCCTCTTCGGTACTAAAGTTTTCCACGTTTCATCCACACAAAGGACGTCGATCATTTGCTGAAGGATTTGATCTTTCAGCTCCGGTTTTGGTTCTGATTGCAACTGCGACGCCATTGATAAGACAAGTCGCCGATCTACGAAGTTTTCCCTCTCGAAAAAGTGTTCCTCTTTTTCTCGCAGGAGCCGTTCTAGATCCCTGTGAAGACCCTTGACCTCCTTCTGCAATTGCTCGTGATTAGCGCGATCTGCTGCAGTGGTCCCAGGAGACGCTATAGTTGCGGAAGATACCCCTCCAGCTCCTGAGAGTGCAGTTCCAGCATTACTCTTTTCTTCACCTCCTGCAGTCGCGTCCGTGGATGGCTTGATTCTAGGAATTGTTCCGCCAAAGGATACTGGACTCGAAGTTGTTCTGCTCGGCGAAGAAATCGAAGTAGATGATGATGTCGCAAAAGTTAGAAAGAGCAGAGTTTGACTTGCTTTGGATGCATAGTTTGTTTGAATCTGAAAAAAACAAAAAGCCATCTTGTTAATACTATTTTTAGTGAGAAGATATTACTTGTTCTGTTGAATGACAAACAGAAAGAAGTCTACGCCAGCAGGCGTGAGAAAAACATGATGTTCAGCTATGAGAGAGTATCTGTGTACAACACCCGTAAACCTCCTCCACCAGTTTCCCTGCGCAATGCAGCTAAACGGCGAAGCGTCTCCTCGTGCTCTACTGTCAAGTCCTCAAATGTCTGCTGCAGAACGCTAAGGGCAGAATTATGACCCTGAGAGTAGATATTTTGTTCATATTCATCTTGCGATACAACTACCATGTACAATCTACCAATCATGTTGGCCATAGGAAAAGTATGTATAGACTATCGTTATCATACTCATAGTCACGACTCATAGTACGCTTGTTGCAACATTAGAGTTATACTAGTACCTCTTCCTTATCCTTCAGCAAACGCTCCAGCTCAGTGGCTCTGATGGTCTTTGCCTCTAGCTCTTGCCTAAGCAACTCACTCTCGTGAAAGCGTCTAGCGGTTTCCTGATTCTTGCGCGTGTCAGTCGCCTCCTGCAATTGACTCTGAGCTGAGAAGGTTAGAGAACGAGAGCAGGCACAGTCTGTCACAGCAGATGAAAAAACCAAAAAAATGGTTGTAGAAGAAAGTTTTTACTATCATTTTCCGTCAAACTTTTCAACAAGGAGGATGAAAAGACACCATGACACCTAGTCCTAGGCACTAGAGACTCATCAAGTACTAGTCAGTGAAGAATAGAGTCTGGTTTTGTCATTCTTCATCAAGTGGATCAAACCCAGTCATAACAAGAGATCCGTTCCGAGTCTCTGTATATCCATCTGCATCATTTTTAGCTTTCGGTTCAGCTTCGTAATATACAGCAGTAGATACTGCACTGCTTCGCGACCGATATCCCTGGTGGAAATCAAGATTTAGCGTCTGCGCTAGAAAAAAGAGCATGAGACGCTGAAGAACATTCTCCTTAGCTGCCATAGTTAGCAAGACTAAAAAAACATCGTGCTACGGTGTATGTGTAAAAATTCACTTGAAGAAGTTGAAAAATGGATGCTACCCTATTAGGATGTATTATAAATCATTGATAAGCATAAGCTGAAGCTACACTACTAACTAAAGGCTATTAGTGATACAAAATCAGCAAAAAGTACTCTCCGCCAGGATCCGTTCTGGTCAGTTGTTCCATCAAGGTCGTTCGATGTTCTTCCGGCAGGATACGCATTGCTAGTAGAATCTGCATGTATATCTGCAGGTCCAGCGTGACAATACCACGATGGTCTGTTCGCATTAGAGAATGAAGAGGAGGAGACGAGGTTCTATTTCTAACAGACACCTACCTCTACTGTCTACACTGCGCCAGCAGCTCTTCACTCAGATTCTGGTTGAAAGTGACTCTGTAGAAGTTCTCGTTCTTAACATTGCGATTCCCGCGATGGTCGTTTCGAGTTGCTGTGTGCTACTCTGCGCATTTTGCTCGACTAGTTGCTTCTGCACCTGAGTCACGCCTTCTGATATCGCTTGCTGAGCAGCAGAGCCGATTTGTTGTAAGGAGGAGAAGATATTTGGGTTGTTTGCGCCGTGGAGAGCACTGGCTGGCATGGGACTGGAAGTGTTCGCGCCAACTGGCTGAACTACTGAGGGAGGCTTGCTAGCTGCAGTGTCTTGTTGCGGCATCGGTGGGAGTGGGGGAAGCGGCGTGCTGAAATCAATGCCACTGGGTAGAGGATCGCGATTCGGGACGAGAGGCTCACGACCGCCGCCTAATCTGGCTGCAGGGTCGAAATCGGACAAGTTTTTCCCGCCAACTCCAACGCCAGCTCCTGCACTAGAAGATGTTGTGCTCTGTGCACCTAAAGAAGATGAGGAGCCTTGTTGCGAACGAGCAGACGCTGACAAGGCACCTAAAGGATGTGCTGCAGGTGCTGAAGACGAGCTAGCAGAAGCGGTAGGCGCATCACTAATCAAGCCAGCTGATGCTTGACTCCTACTGTTGCTTGGGCCACCTCCTGCTGTGCCGCCAGCTACTGTCGTACTAGTCGTTGTGGTCGTCTTTGCTGGAGCTAGAGGTTGATCTGGAGGTGGAAAAGGCCGCTGTTGTTGTTCTTCTGTACTAGCAGTTATATCTCTCTGTATTGGAGGCGGAGCAATGTTATTCACCAAAGGCACCGCACCAGCAGATTGCACATTTGGCACTTTCGTCATATTTATCGCCGGTGAGTTAGTGCTTGATGAGCGAAGAAGATGGGCGGGAGTCGCAGACCCACCTCCAGGTGCAACTACTGGCGCAGCTTCTCTTTGAGGCGACGCATTTAGTCTGGCCAAGTTGGCCATTATCTGAGCATCACTACTTATTGCCGCATCTGTTGCCTTAGCTGGGCCGCCAAACAATGGGCCACGTTTGTTGCCTCCAGCTCCACTCCTTGGACTCGTAGAAGCTGTTGTAGGACCATTCGGCGCAGATGAAACGCCCATTGATGATCCACTAGAAGGATGACCTGCCTCTCTTTGAGCATTTCTAGCACCTCCTGAGGACACTCCACTCCCTGGCCCCATACTAGAAGCTGTCCCCAGATCTCGTGGACTCAGAATATGAGTTTGGGCTTGGGCCAGTGTACTAGCTGCCTGAGACATTATTTGCTCTGGATTGATGTCACCCGTGATGTCTTTGATGCCGCCTTGAATAGCTTCCGCCAGTTTCGAAAAACCCAACTCCACAGGTGGCATCTCTTCTTGTTTTGTCGGTGCAGCCGCACCTGCAGTAGCTGACGTTGGATGTGCCGCTAACGGTGGATGCTTGTCAGTTCTTGCTCCTGATCCGGTTCCAGGTACACCTCCAGATGACCCAGTCGTCCTTGTCCAGGCGGTGCTTGTAAGGCCGCCTTTTACATTAGAGGTGCAACCTGAAATCGAAAATATTTGAAAAAAGAAGTAGACTTCAGTCTTTCTTCAACAGCAGCGCAAACAGTTAATCTTTCTTATGTATGAATGGCTCTGGTATTTGGTATAGCCTGACTTTGATCATAAGGAAAACAAGAAGAGAATCCTTGTGATCCAATTATCAGGTTACCAAATACCAGAACCATACATCTTCAACAGCAGCGCAAACATCTAATCTTTCATATGTTGTAGATAACTACCAGGCGAATAAAAGATAGAAGCAATCGATCTAGATCTAGTGGTCACACTACTACTTTCATTCATTCATTCACGCTGCCACCAGCATTTTTTTTTTTTGGGACCTGGGTCTATATTCCTCGCAATAAGAGCATTTAATTCCCCTGCGAGAATCCTGAAGCACAACGGCCAGGCACATTACTTTCTTGTTCATAATCTCTTCCCCAACAGACCTTGTAGAGTTGCGCCCACCTCCAAACTCGGAGTCATCTTGTTCTGCTTCGCGTAAAGCCTCGTTGAACTCCTCACGCACAGCAGCAATCGACTGCTTCGCATAGTCAAACAAGTTGTCCATTTTGATGTTACATAAAAATTCTCTAAGAATAAGATGTTACTTAAACTTATTTCTCTAAGAATAAGATGTTACTTAAACTTATTTCTCTAAGAATAAGATGTTATTTAAACTTATTTCTCCAAGAACATGATAGAAGAAATCATATTGTACTTACCACTAGCACTACAACCTCCCGCTGTGGTTGTACCGAGACAAAATACGTTCCTGCTGCATGAGTGGGTCCTTACATAATTCATTATAACTCATGAAGATGAAAATGAAAAAATAGTGTTGTCCTTGTTGGACAATTGGTTAATGAAGAGTCGTACTCGTGCTGCACGTCGGTGTACCCACCTGAAGGAGACATTCTATCTTGTGATCGTGAACCCTGGTCCTGTTACTGTCCATTCCATTTCTTCGAGCAGCTCGTGAAATTTACAATTCATCCCTCTTCAACTTCATTGAAGACTTTCGACATCTTCAAGCTGGTGCACTCAAGGACGCATCTCCTACAACTCACGTAACAAGCATCACTCGGATGAGAAGTAGCGACCACTGTCTATTTGTCCTTGGTGATTATAACGGACGCAAATACCGATAGTTTTCTTGTTCATATTTTTAGTCGTGCATTTATTTTCTTTAGAAGTGCCTCCATCAGTTATGACCATGAGACTGAATAAGAGGCAGACTTTTATTCCCTTCGGCCAGAGGCCTGAAGAAAGGTTGATCATGGTGTACAACTGTCTGAAGTAGTTGTAGTATACAAAGTCAAAGATCTTCCAGAATGTTGTTTGTCATTGCTGAATACTGGGGGAAGATCGACAAGGTTTCGGTGCTAGGTCGCTATTAGTGGCTTTGTTTATTGAGGTGGTATATGAGATACAAAACATCAAGAAAGTGGGAAATGACAACATCAAAAATGTTGGAGCATCTACTTCCAGAGGCGTCGAGGGATTCTTTCTTATATTTCAGGAACAGTTTGTGTTTGCACACGCACAGATCTTTTTCGTGATAAGTACTTAGACCAGGAGAATGACATTTGCGTCTAGTGGATTCAGAAAAACAATAATAACATTCATAAGTAGTATAATCACATCCAAGCGATGTTGCATCAGTTTACAACTTCTCGTTGTATCTTGCGGAGGTTCAGTAATAAAGCCTAATGATCGTGTAATATCTGGTTATCGTTATCCATTGGGTCGATGCTACAAGGAAAAAAGTAACAAGTGGAACAACAGTTAATATTAGTGTAAGTAGTAAGAAATTCTTGTATGACATCTATCTGTATTTCAAACAACAATCTAATGACTAATGCTATCAAGGTGAAGAGAAGAACGACTCAAAATATGATTTCTATCATAGAGACTCAACAATCTTGGATGACCACTGGAATGAAGATTCTGAATTTTTCATGTGCTGAAAGTAGTTTTCGAGACCGTAACATGAAGATCTTACAGGAGATTCATCGAAAAACAGTACAGCCATTGTTCATATTCATACAGCTTTCTTCTCACATGCACATGCTTCTTACATGCTCGAGATGATTGCACTTGCTTCTTACAACATGCTCGAGTTGATTGATCTCTCCCGAAAACAAGGCGTTTGCCGCTCCCCCAGAAGGTACTCGAGTTGATTCATCTCTCCCAAGAACAAGGCATTTGCCTGATTCACGGTTCTGATTCCAGTTCCTCAAAATGAGCTTGGCCGACTTTTGAGGAATTACTCCCGCTGTCCTTGCTCATGTTGTTGGCTCTCCCACGAGCGGCGCGAGCGTTGCTGGAGGTTGTTGGTAATTAGAAGGTGGTGGAGAGTGCTAGAGCTAGACGAGCACGAGATGCACAAAAAAAAGGGATATAATTCTTAGTCGTGGTGAAGCTGGTGCTACGCATACTTCTAGTACAACTTGGAGATATAAATAAATGTTCTTGAGTTGTCACTACTTGCTTGGAGACATAAAATGTTTTTGAGTCACTACTTGTACTTCATCGCTGAATCATAAGTATTCATATTCGGTGCGTTCTGTTCTTCACCCAGCAAAGATATAGGCGACGCAGTGTGTGGAGCTAAGCCCGCGTTGCCAGATATTCGGGAATAAGCTTGCGTCAGGAGAAGGTATTAGATCATGATGCTCTTGGTCTTGAAGATTGTTATTTTCATTCTAAGCCGAAATGCCAGAACTACTAGTCGTGGGTATGCGAAAAGGTACAACCATGACAAGAACAACATCTGAATGGCTCTGGTATTCGGTAGCCTGATTTTGATCCTAAGGGAAAACAAGAAGAGAATCCTTGTGATCGAATTCAGGTTACCAAATACCGGAACCATTTAACATCAAAAGCGAGCTGCAATCACTACTAAAACTAAATCATTCACTACGTCGTGGTCGCAACCATGCCGTAATAGTAGCTATCATTCGCGGTCGCTCTTCGTCTTGGATTCGTCCTAAGGGCGTCTTGCAGGAACAGAATAAAGTGCATGTGCGAGAACTGGTCTTCGTGAAATTTGTGTCTCGCATCGTTTAGGACTTTGCTCTTTTCATGCTCCAACGCTGTCACATAGTCTTCGTAGGAGTCGAATTCCTCCCACCGCTGAACAGAAGGTCTCTTTTCGATGTACATTTCTAACATCGACAGCGCGAACATCCAGATATCCAATTTGGTGTCAAAGCGACAGCGAATCTTGGACGCCATCAAAATGTTATTTGGGGGATTCTCGATGAGTTGTTTCACGACTTCAGGCGGGAAGTAGCTGTCGTTGCCGGAAATAGAGAATTTTCCTTGGTTAGAGTCTGCTAGATTGCATCTCGGCCCCCTCATCTTGGCCCCTTTACTACCCTTGTATCATTTCATAGGAATAATACAAGGGAAAAGGGGACCAAGATGCCGAGAATGATGGACACTATAAATGTTGGCCATAACTTGGTACGTGGTCGTTTTTGTACTACTGTTCTTTTTTCCACCAGAAGATGCGCCTATTTTCCCAGAAACGGAAGAAGAACTACTACAACCAGGTCCGGAAAGCGACCTTTTTTGTACCCCTGCCATAGCGAAGCCAACATTCCTGGGCGTGACAGTGGTTGACGGACACGCACGAGAGGTGGGAGTTGTGGAGATCTTGCTTTGTTGGGAGGACGAAGTTGGACTGACTCTCCCGGTCCCGCCACTCTGGTACCGGTTTCCCCCAAATGTAGGTGTTCCAATGATGTTGTCGTCCATTATCTCTACCTGTGTCGTATCGCCATCCTCAGCCTCGGTTTCGGTGTGTTGGGGATTAGACGAGGGAGAGGTAAAAGGTCGTGGGAGGAAGATTTTGGTGTCAAATTCAAAGTTATAAGATAGTGTAAAAACAGAAGATGGAAATATTTCACTTTCATGAAACCAAAGTGTTGTTGTACTGCGGTAGTTTCGAACTTCGAAGCTCCTCAAACTGAAACAACTTCCAAATAACTGTAACAACTCCTGTAAGCAACATTTACTCTGTCACTGTGAATTATCCGAATCCGCATCTTTCATAACTTCGACATCCGCCTCCAATTCCTCTTCCAGTTCGAATTTGAAGAGTCCCAAATCCGCCAGTACCGCATCCTGAATCTTCCCACCTCTGTCCACTTTGACGAAGATGTTGTCCGGTCTAACGTCTCTATGGATGATTTTGGTTCCGTGCAAATAACGTAACCCTTGACTCACCGAGATAGCACAGTTCCTGAGCTCCCTGACTAGTTCACCAGCAAATTTGAATCCTCGTTCACCGGTTTCCGGATGCACATGATTCTGGATGTTCCAGTGCCACTTGCGGAGACAGCCGCCTAAATGCAATTCCGTGACCATGTGAATCCTTTCTAGGTCGCCTGTTGTTGAGTCCATGTCGAAACAGAAATCCAGCAGCTTCAAAATCTTCTGCCTGTCTAGATCTAAAGGTTGATCTTTTTGCAGATGTTCTGTGCCAGGTTGTGTTGCCGCAATCAAGACTTGCAATTCGGATTTGGTCTGTTCGAGTTGGGCAGAAACTGAAAGCGACGCCGCACGTGGTCTCCGAGCCGCGCCCCCGTCTTCGTCGGAGGCGTCAGACAACTCGTCTTTTTTTACGCCTATTTGCGACCAGGCGACCCTTCTGCCGGACTCAGTTTGTTCTGCAAGGTACACGACTTTGCAACTCCCGTGGCCTAGAATCTGGTTGCCCACTCTACGATATGTTCCAAACTTCATCTTCCGCTCTATCACTGCTAATGCAGAAGGTCCTGTTGATGGTGCTCCTGCAGATAATCTAGTTGTAGTAGTCCTAGATGAATCCGGAGGTCCTCCCAAAGCAGACGCAGTACTATTCGTTGTAGACCGTCCGCTAGGCAGAGGGTCCTGTGGTCCTTCGCCATCTACTTCTGTTTGACTCCGCGACCCACTCGCTGTTGAACACTCTTCAGCCTGCTGCAAATGCTCAAATAACCTCAGATCACTCACTGCCGTCGTACTCGACACCGTGCTCATTTTGGAGCTGGCTGCCGACGTTATAGGCGGCGTCGCACCGTGCCCGAATGGAAACAAGGCAGGAGACGGATACAAACTCTTCGATTTCGTGGCATTTCCAGGTGGTTTACTGCTGTTTCCTCCAGTCGATGTGAGGTCAAGAGGCACCGCGCCAGGTGCCTGAGGTGAGTGAATTGCTGCGCTCAAGGTTGACTGGATATCTTTGGAGTCTTTCCTAGTCTTCTTTGAACCCGAAAGCTCGCCTCGGAGGGGAGGTGGTGGCACAGCTTTTGACTCTGAAGGACTTGCTAGCATATGATCATGCGATTGAGAGACACGGACACCACCAGAAAGAGAAGATGACGATAAGGGATCACCTTGCGATGTTGAGCCTACTCCGGTATTTGTTTTAGTATTTGTCGGATTCATATTCGAGGATGTTGAGCCGACACCAGAAGATGTTGATGAGCTATTTCTTGTCATACCAGTACCACCAGTTAATATACCTCCTGTACTACTTGCGTTTGCAATTGTCGTGGTCGAGGTCCTACTACTAGAGGATCCCCCCTGTGAGGTTGTCCCCATCAGAGAAGCTAAAGCACTTGAACAGCAGTTCTTCGCCGATGGAGATGATGGTGAAGACTGCGCAGATTGGTCGTGGAAATGCGTCGCGATGTGCGGATTTGACAAATTCGCTTTGTACAAAGCGTCGCCGTCCATGGATATGCTTATCCGTTTTCTGTCCCCGCCATCTCTCCGGAGCCAGCCGACTGAGCCTCGTCCACCTGCGTAAAAGACTACGCCGAGTAAGAGAATGCCGGCTCCGGTGGGAAGAAACCAGAAGAATGGACTTGCTCGTGTGGCGCGTCGGAACAAGGGCTCTTCTTTTTCGTCCTGATGCTCTTCAAGATCTTCGTTTGGAACTTGTTGCTGTTCATCTATTTCCTGCTCATTCATCTCATTAAAGCTCAGCATTCAATGGTCATCATGACTCTGAAAGAAATGGGCCCCATGCCTCTCCCTTTGCTTTTCCTTCATTTTCCCCCCATCTTTCCTCAAGAGGGATCTCAGTGACCCCAATCTCAATGGTGACCATTGAAAGCTGAGCCTTAATCTCATCATCTCCGACGTTATTTTGATGTCGGACGCTCTTTTGTTCCCTGTTTTCTCCGTCTGCTGACGCTACAAGATCTACAACATCAGAATTTTTTGTCTTCTTGATCGAAGCAGCGATAGAGCTACTTTGTCGACTCGTTTTTTTGAGTGCTGTTCCTCCTGACATCGCCTTATTTTCAGAGTGATGCTCTTCATCTTCATGCATATCAGCAGGCGCATCTGCATCATGTTGTTCTTGATTGTGCGAGGAATCCTGATCATGGTCTACTGTTTCAGCCGAGGGAGACAACTTCTCGTTCTTTTCAGGCGAGGAGGAGGGCGCAGATGTAGAAGATGTCGCAGAAGCAGGCTGGGGCGTCTCCGTGCTTTTCGCAGCCTCATCTTGTTCTGCTGAAGCAACGACTGGTAGAGGCGCTGCTTCGGTAGGCAAAGGATCTTCTTCCAGTGGTTCATTCGAGAAATTGGAGTCACTAATCTCCTCGCTCTCATCACTGGTAGTTGGGGCAGCTGCTCCAAGACCTGTCGTGCTAGGAGGAAGTCTCTGTGTATAATTACCTCCGTAGTTGGCCTTTGCTGTGCTTGCTGTAGTAGAGGTGGATTCGATATTCTTGAGCAATTTCTTCAGTTCCTCATCTGGCGCAGAAGTGGCTGTCTCTTTTGACGATGAAGCGACTCCTGATCCTAGTGCTCCGGATGGGGTATTAGACGAGTCATGACGAACACTATTTTTTAACAAGAACAAGAAGAACTTCGTTATAAACCTATGCTTGAAAGAATGCAGTCATTTTAACAGGAGGAAGAACTTCGTTACAACTATGCTTGAAAGAATGCAGTTCATAACAACTTTTTTCATAGTCTCAGCCTTAACATGAATAGCCTTCCCAACTCCTGACAAATTCCGCGATTCGTCCTCTGCTCCGGACGAGGCACCACCCTCTACCCGGCCAAGAAGCTTGCCTGCTGAAGATGTGCCCTGCAGCTGCTGAGAAGTTGGTCCAGGCTTAGCATTAGCACTTCCATTACTTCCAGTTGTGCCACTTGCCTCGTCCTCTGCAGCTGTATCAGGCCTCTGCTGGTCTCCACCTGCTGCACTTGGTCCTCCACCTCCCATGAAGGAATAGGTATCTGGTGGTATTTCCTCCGAAGGCGTTCCAAAATAGCGAGTGAAAAAACTAGCTGTCGGAGCTGGCGCTGCGTCCTGCGGGGTGTTCCTCTCAGCTTCAACAATTGTCTGTACGTCCGTCTCCGTCGAAGAAAATTGCAGCACAAGCATGTAGATGAATCCCAAAGCAAGCAATCCACTAACCACAGCCGTCAATGTGCGAAGAAGTTGCTGCTTCCGCCTGCCGCCACTCTTGTTATCCAGCAATCCATCCGACCCCCCGCCTCCTGCATTTCTAGCGATAATCCGCTTACAGGAATCGAGTAAGACACTGAGACGCGCAACGCACCTTGAGAAGAGGTGGGAATGGTTATGGAGAAGAAGTATTTAGATGAGGCGTGTATCTTCAGCATATTCTCTTCGTTGAATAAGAAGTGAATGTCAACAATGTAGACAAAAAAAACGACCTATAGGTAGACTTATCATGATGCCAGATCATGCGGATAACTACAGAAGTAACTCCGAGACCAAAGAAACTACAAACATCAATCACAAACCATATCAAGTAGAAATACCTAACATCAACGCTCCTTCGGGAAAATGATTTATCCATAACAAGAAGTAGTAGAAGTAGAAATTATACCTAACAACGCTCCTTCTGCAGAAGGACTTATCTCCCTTATCGCCCGTGTCAGCTTCATCCGACGAGTAATCCCTCGATCTATGCAGCGCTCCACCTTGTCCTCTCCGCCGACCACCAAAGGATAACGGAGAGCCACCAGCACCATCTTCTAGACTTCGAACCGAACTTGAGGGAGAACTAGGTGGGCTGCGTGTAGACGTAGTACTTGTCCTGGAAGAATCTGCGTCATTCATCCTAGAAGATGATGACATTTCTAGACCGCTGTGATGCTCTTTCCCTTCTTCACGTCCAGAGATGCCATCATCGTTACAACCACGTTGAGGTCCACCACTAGAAGATATTTTGTCGGAACGACTCGTCGACCGCCTAGAAGAGGATGTCCTCGACTGATCGGGACTTCTATCACCTGAGTTTCGCCTCCTCGTAAATGGCAACACCTGAAGGTCAACTGAAGTAGTGCCAATGTTGATCGAGGGAAAGCTGAAGTTGCTGATTCGGTGGTAAACGTATTTCAGGAGTCCCTGCTTCTTGATGTTGCCGCCATCGCTGTCGTCTAGGGTGTAGTGCAGATCAGTCTGGATGCGCCTTCGGATCTGCTTATCACTCAGAAGCTGGGAGGTCATTTTGCTGAATTGTGGTTCTTCTAGGTGAACAAGGTGATGATCAAGTGTTAACTTAAAGCAGTAGTGGAGTAGGGCTGGGATAATCTATCTTCCTTCGGAACTGCAACTGTAGAAACAACATACTTACTCCTACTTCTAGTGCTGTTAACTACTTCTATTAGTTGGGGGCTAGGTTCTTCGAGATTCATAGTCCTTGTACATTTGCGTTTGCGGCGTGGATCATTAGGTCGTAAACGAGGAGAGCAGGGAAAAACTATCGAAGATAAATTTTTGGCTATAATAGAGAACAATAAAGAGAATCTTCCACTCCATCAGACAAAAAAGCAACAACGTAGTCAAAGTCTAACAAATGTTGTAGAAGCTGGCCCGGCATCTAAGTATAAACGGGGGAGGAAAAGGGGGGCGAGGGGGTGTGTAAATGCACATAGACATTCATCCTCCTGAGAAGTGAGTCAACAAAATGCGCGAGCAGTGTGTGTCTTTTCATTATCTCAAGTAAAGTTTATTCTGTTTCAAAAAAAAGACCCTCTTTGTACTCCTGATGAGTACAACTCTTACCCTCTTTTGCCTTCTTTATCTTTATAGCTTTTGCAAGAATAGGAACAAAAAATTTTCATCATCTTCTCTCTGCTGACGATCAGGAAACACTTCCTAGGATCTGGTCAGATCGCTTTCACACGACGTCGAGCATGGTGACGACTCGCTTTCGGACAGCATTCAAACGACCTGCTCAGTAAAGTATACTCAAACTCATCTTCTAAGTATTCACTGTGATGAGTTCTCTTGACTCTTGCTTTTTCTCGTTCTTAGTTACTCTATAAGTAACGTTTTGTTCTAAAAACGAATCTGTTCTTTGCTGTACGTACCAGGGTTAGCTGTCGAAGTCAGTATTTTTTTGTTCTTGCGACGTCGATTTTTTGCTTTCGTTAGTCGAAAATGTTCAAGGTCTTGGCCAACTGCTATATACAGGCTTTATTTGCTTTTCAGTCACAGCTGAGCTAGTCTATTCAAGGAATCATGAAAAATTCGTCAGAACTACGGTTTGAAAATTCGTCAAACAAACAATCGTGATCTACTTTCTTTGGAGCTGTTAAAAATGGCTAGCAACGAAATCGGCGTTCTAATTGGAGTCTATTTTTCTGTTATGACAAGAAAGTTACGATCCAATCCCTATAATTCACAGCATTTTTACCTAGCTCTTCAAGCCTTGAAATTCAAGGTCCCAACCACCTTAAGAGCTTCATCAAGAAGCCCTGTTTGTTGGTTGCTGGGGTAAAGAGGTACGGTGGCAAATCGATGATTAATTTGGCTATTACACCAAGTACAAGTTGAAACAGCCACACTGACCAGATGACACCAGTAGTCAGCCACATATCCGGGAATTTGCAGTCTGCTTGCCACTCAATGCCCATCGCCCCATAAGGAAGAAAAGCCTGTATCCCGAGAAGAGTAATCTGCACAAACATCCCGACAGTCAGGATGCGGAAGGAGTTAGAGTCAGTGTCAGGAGAGTGTCGTCCCCTAAAGCTAAATAATGATCTGGTCTAAGTACTAGTAGGTCGTGGTGCTGTCGAAATGACTGTGAGAAGTATTTTTCTCAACAATAGGAATAGGAATAGCTGCCTCAAGAGAAATAGTATTACTCTTAGTTTCCCGCTGGACCTGAAGACTTTTAATTCTGTCTGACAAAGCTCAACCTCCTGTCGATAAAACTTCATCTTCCATAACCAAAAGCGGCATCTTCTTGCAGAGAATCGCTAAAAACTTCTGCCAAATTCGCAGACCGACAAGCTCATCCTGCGTCTTTCCACTCCAGTAGACGAAGCCAAGCCAAACTATGAACGCACAGCCGCCCTGACGGAGGAGTTGAAGAGAACGAAGTAGGAGGTGAAGAAGATTATTCTGCAATTTTAATGTTGAGAAAAAATCTGACGAACAACGAACTGCAATAACGAAAAAATCAACATTCGTAGTCGATACATCACACTACAAAACTAGTCGGTTGTGTCTACGTCCACCTAATATCTTAGCAACTACTGCAGTTCGAACTAGTAGTAGTACCTGGACAAAATAGAAAATCGCAATGATAAGCAGGTTGAGCAACACTTGACAATCGGCACAGTGGGTGCATTCGCAGGACTGTTTAGTCGCTGGCTTTGGTAGCATGCAAGCGGCAGCGAAACACTTTTTTTAGAATGGGAATATTCGGGTTAGGGACGCGGCCACTCTAGCGATAATTTCATGCTGCTTCTTGATGCTGATGACAGCACTTGATTACAGTAGTCGTGAAGAGCTGCGATGATCCAAAGGTCCTCACGGTTCTTAATCTACTTTCCTTGTCTGCAAGCCAGGCATGCACATGGTATAGCAACCACATAAAGACCAATCACCCTCCTCAAATTCAGGTAAGTCGTCATTGGCTTGCAAAATGCGACTGATGGCTATTGAAGTGCTACCAGAATTTGGGCTTGGTGGAGGATTTGTTCCTCTCGTCCTCGTATCTCTACTCTGCTCTTCGTCTCCTAGTCCTGTGTCTCTACTCTGGTCGCCAGTGCTATGCCGAAATCCGTCTGCCATCTGTCCTCTAGCGCTTTTCCTCTTCCTATAATAGGGCTCCCTACCTGCTGCAGTACCGAAAATTGGATCCCGAGGCATCATCCACGCATACAAGTTGGGTATCATGCGGATGAGCGCCAGAAGGAAGTCCCCGTCTCTAGTGACGGAGGACGCTGAAGTAGGTAGAGAAGATGCAGGTGCTGGGTGAAGCTGGTGTTGAAGATGTCCTCTTGTAGGTATTGAGGACGTCGTTCTTGGTTGGAGATGCGCATCGAGAAGTTCTTGCGCAGGTGTTAATGTCATGTCTGATGTCTTGGTGTCTACTCCACCCACCACTGGCGCTTCGACTCCTGGCACTCCTACAGCTGATACTCCTACTCCTGGCACTCCTTCAGCTGATACTCCTACTCCATGACCATGATCTCCAACTATACTTCTACTAGTATGATCTACTTCTGCATCTGCACTTCTACTTCTCGTCGACGTCGAGTCCTCTACCTCGTCACGCTGGGCTAATATCATTGGAGGACTAGTAAACAACCAATCTAGAGGTCGCCTCCACAGATTGTAGACCAATGCATTTGCAACTCGTTCCGCAGAGACTGTGTCATCGAGCGTGTGGATCTCGTCTACACCCAGTGCTACACCTATCATGGGAATAGAGCTGCCGCTGGTAGTCCTGAGATGAAAATAATGGTTCTGTCCTGCTGCGGTGCCGCTAGCTTCACGTTCATGACGATGATCATGACCCCTACTTCTAGTGCCACTGCTTGGACTAAAGTCCTCTAGTTCGTCTTCACCTGATTTTGCTTTTGCGTAACCTACATCATGATCATGATCGTATATTTCCAAAACAGGATGATCTACTATGGTATTCTTTCCACTCCTACCCATCTTCGTTCCGCACATTTCTTGTCCTGGTCGCCACATAGGTGGCCGTTCCCGATGCATCTCTTTCGCTAAGGATAGCAACTCGTCTGCAGATCCAGAGGTTGTACTAGGTGTTATGATGTCTTCCACGAGGACTATTTTGTCGGTTTTCGCATCAAATTTGTCGATATCGGAGAATGCCGTTAAAGTTTGTCCGGCTGCTGCGATGCCGGAAAGGAGAGAAGCCAACTTCTTGTTGTTTTTACGCCATTCGTCTTCACCCAAAATCCCTACTGGTCCTGCTGTAGCAGAAGTAATCGCGGCACCGCCTGATGTTTCTATCTCCTTCCCATCTTTATCCTGATTCTCATCCTCCCTGCCCTCCAACTCTCTCCTCCGTCTGGGTGCATTCGTTGTATACGCTGTCTGGTACGCATTCATCAAGTCTGAGAACGGAGTTACCAGCAGTGAACCGCCAGTAGCCGTGTTGCAGTAGGTTGGCAAGTCTGCGATCAAAGTAGCAGATATATCCTGAAAAGCGTCTGGCGAAGTGTTAGAAGGTCCTCCATGAGATGAACAATGGGTATGGGAGAGTAGAGAGAATATCAATATGATCCTTAGCAGAGTGTTGAAGTCCAGAAATTTTTCCAAGTACAAACGCCAAGATTACCAAACTATTCTACTTCACGAGAAGGCCTTCTACGTTGCTACAGAGAGAACAACTGTGTCTGAGCATCACCATCACGCTTCCCTCTATCGACAAAAAGAAATAAAATATGAATAAGCCAGAGGAAGGAGTAGACGGATTAGAGTCGACGCTTAACATTTGGAAGTAATCTTTGTATAATCGAGTCACTTATTTATTCCAAAATCCAACTCGTTCCCACACAAGTTTTGCTTCATAATATCAGTTCCGTTGTAAACACAAGCTGGAACCACAGTTGACGTGGCTCCTGTTTGGCCGGGGTAGACGCCAGAATTGAAAAAAGCGCGACAGAAAAAGTTGCCACACGCGTTATCTGAATCGCCGCCACCATCCTGAGTGAAATCATAATTGAAGATGCGCCGCTTCATTCTGAATGAGCACGATGCGACAACGAGCCGCGCGATACATACGCGATACGTGCGACAGAGCCGGCCACCCCGGTGGCGCGCGAAGATGCGCCTGCGCTCTCTCGAACGCTTCAGCGCGTTCTCGGTGGCGGGCTCCCTGACTGACAAGCGGGCGCAGGCCCTATCAATCTATCACCCCGACCATCGCCGTGGCGTGCACGGCAGGCCGATTTTGGGGCGCAGAAGGCGGAAGAGGTGCGCGCGCGCGAGAGAACAGCCCGCCCCCGCGCCTCTCTACCGTGCCGCCGAGTGCATGCCCCAGCGCGTAGACTTTGGCCCTGGCTAGCACCTCAGCAGCCTTCCCCATCAATCTCATACATCACGCCAAGCGTCGCCAGGTAGCCCTTTGCTTGACGTTCCTGCCCCGCCAGCTCTATCACACACGTGCCTATGCCTGTGAAGATGGGGGCGCGCCCGGCTGTGCGTAGCCACCGCGCAGCCCGTCAAACCAGCCGCCACAGAAGTACGCCAGCGAGTGCCAGACCAGTGGGGAGCGAGGTCGAATCTGCTACGAGATCGGCGCGGGCTTCATAGGCGTAGAGCCGGCTTCGTTACCACGGTGAAGGCTGTCACCGTTAACCGAGAAAATGACGATAGTGCTTCCATGGAGCTCGCGGGGCTTGTCCGTGGGTTTCGTTTGGCTGCGTCCAGCCATGCCGGCACTTCCTCAAGAACGGCCGGCCGGATGGTCCTCATTGGCGCGCTTGTTTCGTTTTGTTCTGCAGACGGGGCACCTCGAGCGAGCACGGTCCGAAATCAGCCCCGCAACGGGAATTCCCAAGCACAGCCCTGGCTTGACACAGAGGCCGGCGACATAATCCCACGGCTCAGAAATCCACGCGAACCGCAGAAGAATGCCCATCCGGAGTCTCGCTCTGCATTAAACACACGGCCGCCACGCAGGGCCCTACATCGTAAAGCCCTGCACGGTCATCCGTGAGGACCTTGCTCGAGTGGGTGCCAAATGCCGAATGCCTCTGGCTCTTGCCTAAAAAAGGGGGGAAGCCTGAGGCCGCGCGCGGGCGCTTTGCTGGTGTGGGAACGGGCAGCGTGATCGTCAGCCCCTGCGTCCTTGCTCAGCTCGACGCAATGCCGGACGTTTTTCATAAATAAAAAGCCCTTCTCTCGTCGTCGTCGTCTCTCTCAAGATTCTGAACCTAGTCAAAACCGTCCGAAAGAAATAGCCACCCCTTAACGCCATGAGCATTCTCAGCCTCGACGATAGCGCCACCCTCCTGCAACGAGCGCCGCCACTTGTTTCACCGGTGTCCACCCATGCAGAACCCTGCCAAGAGTTGGGGCCGGCTCTCTTTCGTTTCCTTGCTTACATACCTTCTGGGCCTTTGCGCTTCCCTTGTAGAGCGCGACTCTCGGAAAGGCAGGGCGTCCAAGATAGAGGTAGGCGCTTGCAGCCTCATCTTTCCACGCTCGCCATTGCCCAGCCCCTATAATTCTGCACGCAGAGGCAGCAAAGCCACCAGGGATCTACTCGGCTCAGATCGCTGCGCAAGCCCGTGCGCTACTCCCTTAACCAATGCGCAACGCCAGCCCACGCGCTTCGTTACTCTTCCACGCCGCTGCCTCATGCTTAGGGCTCGCATGAAAACGGGAGAAGGAGCCCGCCCCTGTGCAAGTTTTTCGCCGCCCAGCAAGGCCATCAGCGAGCGCCCCTCGTTTGCCCAGCAGTCGACTCCTGCAAGCGTTCTCCCCTACGGGCCGACACCAAAGAGACGCGCAGACAGATACGCGCCACCACCAACGGCGAAGGCCCTCCCCGGTCTGCCTCCGGCTCGAAGTTTGTCGCGCCAAGACTGGCCCACAAAGTCAATGCCTACAAGTTTTCACGAAGGAAGCAGGCGAAGTGGCTCCGTTTTTCCAAAAGATCAACAGATTACGCGCTTCGAGCTTTCTTGGCCTGTTGAGCCAAATAAGGCGTCGCATATATCCTCATACCCATTTTTCGAAAAATTGCAACGAGCTAGTACCTTCGCAGCCTTGACGTTTTTCAGTAGTGTGATCAGATCGTTGCTGGTCGTTAGTAGGCTAAAGCACTGGGCTCGATCAACAAAGGGAGTCGCCGTTGCAGCGCCTCTGATATCCAACAAGGGCTCGAACAATGACGCAAAGTCGTTGATTCCATTTGTTATCGCTGGTTTCATGCACGTGTTTTTTCCAGCAATGATACGGTCGTAGGCATGTCTTGGCAACACTTTGTGGAAGTCTCGGCATTAGAAGATTCATCATCGGTGAAGAAAAATTGAGGGTACGAGCATTTCTTGCTGGTGAAGCAACTACGACCAGAATCAGATAAGTAGGCGATGTAGACTCTTATTCTGTTGAAGCAGCTGCAACAATCACAGAGCACTTGTCAGAGTCGTGTGTGACCGAGCTCTGTTATTATAGTGAAAACTCGTTGAACTCGAAGTCATTACTTGCTATACGTACAGTGGTGCTGCCTTAAGAAAACTGTTCGCAGTTATCGAAGAATGTTTTCGCCTGGCTAAAGGACCAGATCGCTTCACTAGCACATTCTGGAATCGCTGTCGCGGTCGGTTCTACAACTGCCGCTGGACCTGGAGCTGCCGCGCCAGCAGCACCCGTTGTCGTTGTCGTCACTGATGTATCTAGTGCGAGTCCGCCAACAGGGATCAAGGTAGAGAAAAGGAGAGGTTAGAAGAACCTACTAGAGAGATTTTTCAAGTAGCTCTGCATCACCAAGAGCGAGTGAAGATGACTATTACACGCTATACCTATCATAATTTTGACATTGCACTTTGACACAAGCCGCTGTGAGACCGTCGTCGTCACTGGCTGCGACCGCCGCTGCCCGCTTCGTTATGACATCCAAAACTAAACCCTGATTAGAGCTACCGCATGGGCATCCTTGGGAGCACCCTTGGCTTCTTCTTGTAGTGGTTGTAAACGAGGACAAGGACGATGTGGAGGATACCCCTGCGCAAGCCTTAACCTGAATGGTATTAGCTCCTTTGATCGCCTCATTACAGTTCGGATCGCTAATCGCGTCTACCACACTCAGTTCGAGTTTGTCAGTGACAAGAGTTTCGCCTATGTCGTTCACCAGTGTCGAGCTTGTGTTCAACGGAGCAGCGGCACCGTAGATCAGTAAATTAGAGGAGCACCGTAGATCAGAAAGCTTCAATATGCAACTTCTAGACGAGATGTAGCGGGAAGCCTTAAGATAAGACCGCCCGAAAGCTGCTTGAAAACACGCACTTTTGCCACAGGTGAGAATATCGTCAGTACAGTTGGCACATCCTAGACCGGCTCTTGTCGCCTTGGGAAGATACGTCGTATGGAATTTTGCGTGAGGATTAGAGATCCTTAGACTTGCAACAACCTTTTAACTACCTTAACCTTTGCATGATTGAAGATGATAAGGAAGACGAACAACATGACGTCCGAAGGATGAGTGTCATTTTGCGAAAATAGTTATAAGGAAGACCAACAACATCATAACTTCCGAAGGATGAATGCCTATCATGCCGCGCTACAGATATTTCAATTAAGTACTCATTTCATCATTCCCAACATCATAGCTTCCGGAGGAATGCCGCACAGGTAGGCCTTCAACGTGGGTAGAGAGATCATGCACCAGGTACCAGCGAAAATGTAGAACAGCGATGACCAGAAGAAGAAGGTTGGCAAGGACGCAGAAAAGAAGGTCTGCTGGAAACCCCTTAGTGGGCCCAGAACTGCAGCTGCGTATCCCTTTAGTTTCTCCATGATCGAACACAACAAACATGGACATTAAGGCAACAAGGTCCCATCTTCTTGCGAAGCAGCCAAACTGCGGCACATAGTGCACTGCTCTACGTTTTCCGACTTCATTTTTACCGCAAAGTGGTGCAAAGGAGTCAGTGTACGCATCAGGCGACAAGAGAAACAAGAGTCGTCATCCTTGATGGTGCGAACGTTCTTACTTACTTCATGATCGTACTATTGGTCACCATGATTCTCACAACATCTTTTCAATCATAATCGAACACTATGTTCCGAACTAGGAGAACAAGTGTCTACTTTCGTACACGAGCACGACTCTCGTTACAAATAAAAGATCAAAAACTCTCCATCCATTCGCAGTCCGCCGCTCTCGATCGCTTCGCTTTGATGGTGCGGCACGCAATCCCAGCTAGTCCTTTCTTTCCGAACTGCCTGTAAGTATGGAACACAGGAGCTGTCGTGGCGACACCTTCATGTCTGACATACTGCTGCTCTAATTTCAATATTTCTTCAATCGATCAATTTCAAAAAATGAAGAGGAGATCAACAATTTCCCCGATGCCTGACTATTCTCCGAGTCATCGGGCTAGCGAGATGGTTTTTGGTCTTTTGGCCTCATCTTCAGCTTGAGGCAGCATATGACGTTCTTACTCTTGCGCCTGCATACGCGTAATAGAAGACTGTCGTACCTACTAAGCTCGTTAAGAATCGATGATCATGATATATTTTCCAAGGATAAATTGTGAGTTACATTGTGCACATAGACATACGTGTTCGATTATTAGGTGGAGAAGATACAAGTAGAACCAAGATTAATTATTGCAGAACAAGGATAGACAAAGACAAGGTGAACGATGTTGTTTTTTTCATCTGTAGGTACATGTGGTATTTTCTTAGAAAGTCATCAAAGACGAGATACTCAAAGACGTAGTTTTCCAATGTTTAGTTTGATAGCATTTTTCTAGTATGCCGTAGTTGATTGTTCGTCATATTTGCTGCTCCGCCAGTGGCATGCTATTGTTCTGACAATGTTTTATACAGGTATAGATAATGTTTGTCTTACACGACTTTAACATAGATGAAGATGGAGTTGTAGGGCGGACGCGGTCTTAACAGTTTCACTTTTTGTTAATCTTAATAGAACACTTCTACGAAGGCGGAGAAGATAAACATTCATAAGAGTACGTAAAACTAGAATTTAAGATCGATCCAACTATTTATTATGAAGATGCCCAATGATGATATGTCAATAAACATACAGATGTAGTTGTTCTTGTACAAGGAAATCGAAAATCCAAATTTGTTTCGTAGTTGTTTATTCTAGGAATTCACATCAAATTGAAGATTGGGTTCTTTTCATACTACTAAACCAGACATTTGATTGATGAAAAAATCATACCTCAGTTCTTACGTGTTGTCGCACATAATTCTTCATCTTACCAGTAGATGTTGCAATACGAGCAGGGTAAAGCGACGTCTTCTTCCACGACTGTTCTTACAGCTTCATCATCTTAATTAGGAGAAGAATAGTCCGTTCGAAATGAACAGATCTCCTTCAGCGGTCACTTCAGCAATATGATCCGCACCCGCAGAAATACCACCACGGTATTCGTACACACTGCCGCTGAAGGTTGTGAAGGTAGATGTCGTCGTCGTGTAGTTGAGATCGTGCTTGAAGTTATGATACAGGGGCACTGTGATTAGAAGTGGAAGTCGTGGAAAAGAATATTCATCATTCTTAAGTGGAAAAGAATATTGATAATCATGTTTCTTCAGAAGGTAAAAAAAGTTCTTCAGTCCAACTGCAGCCACTACTTTCTTGAAAGGCTACATCTTGTTGTTGTTGGATTTCTTGGATGAAGAGTCAGATATTATCTATTATAACTCGTCACGACCAGACCAATTTTTAGCATAGTTCCATCCTAGTGGGCGGTTGTAACCAAGAAAAATGTAGCCCGCTTTCACATTCACTCAAGAACTAGTAAGTAGTTAATTACAACAGAGTCTCCTGAGTTGTAGTTGAAGCCATAAAATCATTTCAGTATCTTCTTGATCGGAGTAGACCATGATTTGAGCAAAGTGCAAAACTGTAGCAAGGAGGCAACCTAGCAGTAGCGCCACGATCACCGGTGCGAACTCGCGGAAGATCAGGAAGCAGGAAACCACACCTCGCATCATCATCATGTCGACCCAAGTCACCGACAAAGGTGTACATTTAGGAGGCGGGGTGCGAGGCGTCATGCCTCTTGCATCTTCACTATCGATCGAAGACGTAGGAGAAGCAGGTGGAAGATGATCGTTGTCTCGTCGTGTGGAGGTTCTTCTATCATGTTCATTATGATTAGAAGGAGTGTCTCCACGAATCTTGTCCTCGTCCATATGCGGATTCTTCACATGCTCATCTTCAGGGGATGTGGACTCTTCTTTAGTGCTGTCTTCGTCAGAACCAGAGGATGAGCCTTCATTCCTCGAAGAACAAGAGCTATCGATAGCTGAAGTCGAACTAGCACTGCCCCCAGCACATGTCGTGCTGGTCCTCGTGGAAAATGACGAAGATCTTCCGGCTTGTGCTTCTGCTTGTACTACTTGTCCTCCACATGTGGGTGTGAAGACCTTTGAATCAAGAGAAATGGGATCCTGATCCTCTTCGTCAGCAACGTCAATGATGTAGGTTCCCTCATACGGAGGTTCTTCTTGGTCTTCTACTTGCGCCACTCCTTGTTGATGAAGATGATCAACATCACTTTGATGTTGCTCTTGTGCTAATGCTTCTTTGTCAATAATTGGAGGTCCTCTTTCATCATGTCGTCGTAGTAATCCAATGTGCTGCATGAAATTCTTGATCATGCTCCTACTTCTGGAGTTTTGAGCGTGTTGCTCTGCTGCTAAAGTAACACCAGCATGTTGTGAAGATCCAAGAACACCAGATGAAGCTGTGGCACCATCACCTTCATCACGACAATCAGCAGGCGACTTCTGAAAGAGACCCGCTCGCACCTCGCGCCCACTGTGCCGCAGATCACGCAACACAGCGTGCAGATTCGCAAGTGCGACTTCACTCGCTTCAGCGTTTTTGCGACACTGTCGATTGTTCCTTTCGTAGCGTAACACTTCTGCAACCTCCGCAAAGAGGTTCGTCCTTGGATCCGAGTCTCTGGCCGCGATCACCGATGATATTTTTTGCCCAGGATGATCCTTTGGTTGGACTATCTGACTGATCGCAAACCCAGCACATGACTCTTGGCTGCTGTAGTCATTGTCATCCTCCCCGTCAACTTCACTCGAGGTGTCTTCACTTCTGCTTTCATCACTGGTAGAAGACGCTCCAGATGAATTGGAGTCCTCTTCGGATTTTGAGTCGCTTGAAGCGGCAGACGATTGTGACTGTGAGTCTTCATCTTCCGAAGCAGACGAGTCTTGTACTGAGCAATCCCAATCTCCTTGTTCAAAAGGAGGAAAAACATCTGCATGAAGAGCTCCAGTAGCCAAACTAGAAGATGAGTCGCAGCTGTCGACGTTGTGTTCTGCTGTAGTATTCATATTTTTGCTGAGGAGCACTACACCTTCTACTTTTTGATAGTCCCCCTCGGCAGAAGAGGACTCGCTTTCGCGGCGTGCTGTTACAGTTACAACCTCTTCGCAGCTGCACTCCCGAGCAGACTTGTCACAATGACGGTCCTCAGCGCTGTTCGTAGAAGAAGTAGAAGACTTGCTACTCGTGGAAGCCTTGCTGGACACTTTTCTTACATCGGAGGTAGAACTAGTACCGGTGGAAGAAGTAGAGGCTATAGTAGACGCGGAGACTGACCTCGAAGAAACACCTAGAACGGGGACGCTAGTACTCGCTGTCATATTATGATCGTTCCCAGAAGTTCCGTCCGTCATCTTATCTGCTTGGTCCTTGTTGGCATCAGGTGGAGCGATGTTCTTGGGATCAGAAACAGAAGCTCCTTTGGAAACAACGGGTTGGACGAGGGCCATCTTTTTAGTATGATGATGTAGGTAGGCGTAGAGGAACTGGAAGTACTTAGTCGTGGTCTATAGAGGACAACTCTATATGTATAAATGCAAGAAGTTCTAGTATTCTTCTGCGGTACTATAACTGGAGATGTAGATACGTCTAAGTTCTTGTATGAAGAAATCTATATTCAATCCTGGTCATGTAGTTCTGAAACAATCAGAAATGTCAACCCTAATGTTGATGTTTCCTTCTCTTGAATTTGTTGGAGCCCTATTTTTTTCTTTGGTGGGTGGATTTTTCGAAGATTGTGATTGTCAAAAAGATGATCATCAACTACAATGTTGCTTGCGTATGATGTGTATCAAAGTCAAACATTACAAAAATGGCTACGAGGACACACTTTGTTTTAGTAGTACCTGAGATTTCTGTATCTATCAATCCAATCCTACTTCTTAATCTTATCGATCCTAAGGAGGTAGAGGTCTGGTACGTAGTTCTACTTCTAAGTAAGAACAAAAGCATTGATTATATATACAACAGGTAAAAATTATCAAGAGCATAAGTTGTCAAAATTATCAAAAGCATCAATTATACAGATATGAATTCTAAATCATGCAAGAGGGGGCATGCAAACGCAAGACAAGGTCTGATGCATTGGAGGTTGGGGAAAGGTGGTGAGTCAGGAGAAGCGGACATCGATGATGTTGACAGATAATGATAAAAAGCGTAAGACCAATTCGTCTTGGTCACTCGACACCGAAGTAGACCGATTTTGCAAGTCCTTCTTGTGGTACCTTTACTCGTGCTCGTCTCTCACGACTCGTCAAGACGAGTACAGATGCTCCACGATAGAGATTTAACAGATGATAAGTACTCAAAGTGGTGGTCACGGTAAGGTCGATGAATGTGAACCTCGTCATACAGATCTTAGTTTCTCTCTGTCAGTTTCATGATCTTTGTGCGGAGATAGAGATCATCAGAACTTGAAGATCAATCTTCGTGACCACTCAAAATCGTGTCGCACGCAGGACGAGATGAAGGAGAACAACAGCCAATCTCAGAAATCAAGCGAGATGAAGAAGCACAAACAGCCACGACCTTGTGTCCAACACGCGTCAGCAAAAGCCATGGTGGAGGATGTCTGAATCGACCACGACATGTACTTGTACGGTGGATACAAGTTAGACAATGAATGAATGTTTACTTTGCATATCAACGGGTAAGTACTATCATGCTCATGACAGGGCTCCTGCGGTTCGTGTTATTGGTGTTGGTGTTGGGTATAAGTAAGTGTTGGGCATGAGTAAGAGATACAAGTTGACCAAATTGTAGGGCGAATCGCTAGGTGTAGGTGTTAGTCTTAGTGTACGTATGTGTTTGTACAGAAGCGTAGTTATTTTTGTAGAGACGTAGTTATTGTAGAGACGTAGTTATATTGTAGAGACGAACAAATTTTTACTAGAGAAGTAGATAATATGATGATCATTGTGTCTAGGGTTTACAAAGCATATTAGGTGAGTAACAGCACGCCAAGAGAAAATGAAAATGAACTTACCACAGGCAAGAAACTACTGAAAATAGTCGCGCGAGCAAGTAGATTCTTCGACGTTCCCTATTCCCTAACGATCTTCCTCCTACTCGTTCTAGGATTCTGGAGGGCTTCTGGCTGTACATGATGATGATCCTCTGCTTCAGGAGCATGATCAGGAGCCCCGTGGTCCTGAAGAGTACAGATGTCTTGGTCTTCCTCCACATCATCCTGAGGATCAGCATCGCGGATGTCTTGGTCTGCGTCCACATCATCCTGGTCCTCCTGAGGATCAGCATCACAGATGTCTTGGTCTGCGTCCACATCATCCTGGGAATCAGCATCACGGATGTCTTGGTCTTCCTCCACATCATCCTGGGGATCAGCATCACGGATGTCTTGGTCTGCGTCCACATCATCCTGGGAATCAGCATCACAGATGTCTTGGTCTGCGTCCACATCATCCTGAGGATCAGCATCACAGATGTCTTGGTCTTCCTCCACATCATCCTGGGAATCAGCGTCACGGATGTAGTCTTGGTCTGCGTCCACATCATCCTGGGAATCAGCGTCACGGATGTCTTGGTCTTCCTCCACATCATCCTGGGGATCAGCATCACAGATGTCTTGGTCTGCGTCCACATCATCCTGAGGATCAGCGTCACAGATGTCTTGGTCTTCCTCCACATCATCCTGGGGATCAGCATCACAGATGTCTTGGTCTGCGTCCACATCATCCTGAGGATCAGCGTCACCGATGTCTTGGTCTTCCTCCACATCCATGCACTCCTCCTCCACATCCACATCAACATCATTCTCCACAAACGGGTCCTCAATCATCTCCGGGATGAAGTGTTCCTCTTCCTCGATCTCCATATAGTACTTCTCATCATTGTCCTCTATAATATTGTCGTGTTCACCCGCCTGTGGATCATCTTCATCACCCTGTTGATCATTTCCGCCCTGTACAACAAGAACTTCATCGTCGTCATCGACGTCTTCTTCTTGTCCATCATGATCCACAACATCTTCAACATGATGTTCGTGAGGAAGATCCTCATCGCCTTTTCTATCATCTTGACCTCTATCTTCTTCTTCTTGTTGTTGATGACCTCCAATACTAACATGGTCCTGCTGGTGCCCAACATTTATTTGCTCTGCTTCTCCAATATCAACATCCCCAGCATCGTCATCCTGATCTTCCTGATCCGGTAAGCCGACAAAATTCTCATCCGGAAGATACTCCCCCTCTAGCAACTCCGAACAGCACTCGTCGTCCGAACTAGAGGTCACGACATATACAGCGTTCTTTCGCCTCCTACAGTAGTCGATATTACTGAGCTCCCTTGAGGCATCCTCGCTGTCCACTGTGTAGGCATCTTCTTCAGAGTCGTCCGGTAAGTGCCGTCTCACGCCTTCACGCTTCAATTTCGCTAAGGCAGGCGAAATCCAGGATTGTGCATTAGAGGAGGTAGAGGTGAGAATATAAATGGTGGTCACTTTGGTGAAAGGGAAAGAAGTACTTAGATGATGATGAATGAAGACCGATAGAAGATGCCTATCTTGTCTTCCTCGTCTGTAAAAATATTATGTCTATATGACGCCGTGAACGACCATCAAGGTTGTCGACTCCTGACTTATTCATGTCCATTTTGGGCTCGGAAGCAAGAAATTGCACAGTCATAGTTTCAGTAGTCTATTGATATCATGGTCGGCCAAGTATCTATAAGATACAAGGACAACGGACTTCTATGTTTCTTGATAATCTCTTGGATTGATATGGAACATGAATACAAAAGCAGACGGTGTTGGGTAGATCTCCACTCTAGCGCACTAGGAGCCAGAATTCTTTAGTCTAAAGAAAACTAGTACTCATAGCTTGTTGAAGCTAGTATACTTATAGATACGGACTAACAAGTAAGGCTTGAGCAAGAAAATCTCCCTCATACTGATAGTGCAACTGGTTGTAGAAAGCAACCGGTTAGTTTTACCTCTAGAGACTTAGCCCTTCCAACAAAACAAACTAGTTGTAGAAAACAACACCAAGCTCTACGCACCATAGTGAACCCTTCCTTCCATGGTCCTGCACAAGGATTAATGTTTAAGCTTTGATGCTTGAACCGAACCCTTTCTCGCAAGACGTAGGTGGCTTTCTCCAAATTCGTCATCAGGAGACAAGACTGGTTCTCAGCCGAAGAGTATGGTGGAGGACGGGGCTCGAGCTGGAGAGGCAATTGATCATGTTGACGCTGCGCATGTGCTGATGAAGAAGACGACGATGAAGAGCCACCTTGTTGCTCCTGCATTCGACGCGGCTGATGATCCTCTCCACCTTCTCGAAGTACTTCTAGTTCAACATCAAGAACTTGTTCTGCATTTATTCTCCTCTTTTTACGGGGTTTGACATTCATCATGTGGTCTCTACTTCTATCAGCAGCATCATCCGCCTCCAGTAGTGGTCCAGTTCTAATACTAGGATCTTTACAGTTGACGACTGGAAAAACCTTATGGCCTTGTCGCATCGAGGGAAGCTTGGAGTAAGGAATTTTCTTGGACGGATCAAAGACACGACTTGTGGTGCTATGCGCATCTTTTGCAACACATGGTTCTGCTTCATCTTGGTCTTCTGACATCTCCATGCAACCACTACGATTTATGCGCCGCTTTCTTTTTGATGTCCCAGTACTGCTTTCGCAATCTTTCCTATTTCTCATTTGTAGGTCATCGTCAGGTAGTGAAGAACTACCCAAAGAAGACCTAGACCTAGACCGAGACCGCCTCTCTAGAAGATCGTTTTCATTTGCTTCTGCCATTTCTAAGTAGTCCTCACCTGGTACAAAGTCCAATGGCGACAACAACCGCACGGGACAAGCTTTGAATGGTGGCGGATAAGAAGGCAGTGCTTCTTCCCAATAGCCTATGGCGCGCTCTCTGGCTAACCAAAAAGGCTCCAGATGGGACCAATTCTTTGGTCCTGGTACCTCCTCTATTCTTTGATGGCATAGTTGGTAAGATGGTCCCACTTCTGGTTGATGGCAGGTTCTTAATATAGAAGTATCGTCATTGCTATAGAAGTATGGTGCTGGTGCAGGCGCTCCTGACGCAGTTCGAGGTGGAGGTCGAGGCGTTGAGGCAGCTGGACGGTTGTTGGTGTCCTTCATTGGGATGTGGTCCTGAAGATGATGAACCATTTTGACGAAAGGCAAAGCAGTAGGCAGATAAGAAGAAGAAGATCCTACTTCTCGTGTTCTTCCGTCGAGCCCTTGCCCTTGTCGTCGATCAGGAGCAATATCTTCGATCGCCTCGACCTCGTTTCTCTTAATACCGGCACTATTGCCCTGGTGTCCTCTCTTCCTCTTGTCACGACTACCTACACCGCAAAAAACAACATCGCCAGTCCATTTTGCGACGCTACCCTGAAAGTACACCTCTCCCACGCGTTGTGCTGCGCGTGCAAACGCTTCTTGATGTGCTAGAGAGTTCATCGCTTCTATGTGCAGTCTCAGTGGAGTAGAGGCGAACGAGGAGGTAGTGGTAGGAAAATTCATGAGCTGATGCTGTGGAGGCAGATGCAGATGGGGCGTCAAAACTGTATGTGATGTATCGTTATGTTTGGCGTCGACCACTACTTGAGGACCATTGCTATTTTTATTTTGTTCGTGTTGCATTTCAGCGCACATTCTCCAGTAGTGTCTTGCCCATACAGTAGGTTGTACGCGAAAAATAGACGAAAACATAGTAGAAGCAATGGCAGGTTTGATCGCAGCCTCCCTACCTTTGTCGAGGGCCCGCCGCTTCTCTATTATGCCGACGCAGGTGTCTCTAGAGTGTGTTGAAGAAGAAGTAGAGGAGGACGGTGTAGCAGGAGAGGGATGATCAACCACAACTCTGCGTGGATCCTCCTCAAGAGATGTTCTTGACCCTGGTGGATGGCTAGTTGTGGACAGTGAAGTAGTCGTCCCACAGGTTTTTGTTGAGCTTGAAGAAGTTCCTGCTGCTCTTGTAGCAGTAGTTTCACTCCGTCCATCACCTTCTTCGCCTCCTTCATGGTCATGATGATGAATTCCCTCTCTGCTCCCATCTTGATCTTCAATCCCACCATTCGTTAGCATTCTTTGTTTCCTTTCTGGCCAATCTACTGGTTTAGCGATTCGGAAACCAAATATCCTCCTAACTGCTGGCCTAGGTCGCTGGACACATATCAGGTCCGGAAACCTCAGGAAGAACAAACCCGGCATTGAGCGGCCGAATGCTGCGCCGAGTTGGTCAAGGAGGTCGTCGGAAAGCTGTGTCGTTTTTGGCGGTAGATCCTTGAATTAGTAGCGCTATATGGAGTTTGTTACAAACTGTAATTTGAGGGATGCAATCCAATTACAAACTCCATATATGAATGGTTCTGGTATTTTTGGTATAGCCTGAATTTGATCCTAAGGGTTCTCTTCTTGTTTTCCCTTAGGATCAAATTCAGGTTATACCAAAAATACCAGAACCATTCATATATGGAGTTTGTAATTGGATTGCACCCCTCAGATGAAAAATATCCTTTCTTGATCTTGTCCCTTTTTCAATATCAAGTAGTAAGTAAGCAAGGACCTTCTACAAAAAAAAATCTTGGTTGCCTTAACTGAAGTTAGATCGGGAGGAAGTCGACGAACAGGATGAGGCATTGTCATGTCGGTTCCACTCGTCTATCTCCTCCGCGGTCAACATTCGCGCACAGGAAGAGCCATCGTAGAGCTCACCACAGAGCTGGCAGTATACCTGTTCAAGTGGTCGTGTAGTGTCCAACAAGATTATAGAGTAGTGATGCATGAACAAGATCGAAAATGGTAATGAAATGATGTACAGCTCATGCTCATGGTTGGACATATAAAAATAAAAACGAAGCAGGTGCAGGTCCATATTATCGACACTATTTCTCGCTCTCGGTGTACTTCAACTTCCAACAAAAGTGCTATGTATAAAATTTCCTTACCGCCAGTCTCTTGCTTGTCTGTGCTTGAGTTGGAAGGAGGTGGTAAGAGCGACACCTGAATCTGGGACAGTGACCCCAGCAGGCCTTCTTGAAACGCTTCTTTACAAGTCGAAGCCCGTCATCGCTCTCGATGTAGCGTCGATGGAGATCTTTTTTTTTCAGTGTTGAGGATGATGTTGAGGAGGAGATTGAGGTTGAGGATGTTGCTCTCAGATGAAGAGAACTCTGGGAGGTTCTCGTACTGGTAATTTCACACTCGAAAAACTGAAATAAGCAAGTAACTGACCAGAATAACCGAGATACTGACGAGAAGGAAGAGTAGCCTTGGTACTAAGCTACCTCCCATATTTCAGTCAGTAACTCGGTTATTTTGAGTTTTCGACTACTTTGATTGTGTTATTTATTAGGGCTTGACTCAGTCGTCCGCTTATCATGCTTCATTCAATTTTTTCTCGTTGTTATTTCAACAAGCACCGCATAATTGATTCTTCGAGGAACGTCAACTACTACAAGAGCAGTTCATCTAGAACTAGATGAAAGCTTTAAGTGAACAAGATTATAATACCACAAATAGCTTCCATCGCTTGGGACCTCGTAGGTGGATCTTCCAAGAAAGTCTTCTCAACATCTTCTCCAACGATCTCCGGACACTCCGCCTCTACCATCTCCTGCAGCGGTCGTGGCAACTCTAGAAAGGAAATGTCGAGAAAAGTATTACAAAACCAAGACATCCATGTACTGGCTTGATTTTGATGAGCAGGAGGGTTCTTCTTGCACAAAAAAGGGTCGAACCGATCGGACTCGTGACCGCTCTCAGGAGAAGAGCCAGATGATGAGAAGGACGACCTGGCAGTGGAGTATTTTTGGTGATGAAGTATATATACCTAGTAAACACCAGGTCCACAACATCAACATCAAGTTACAAGAAGTAGACGACTAGACGACAGAAGCAAAGAGGAAAAATGCTTATAGCAAGATAGATGTGAAGAGGTTAATATCATGAACAAACAACGGCTAATGTGCAGAGATAAGTACGTTTCGATTGAGCCCTCCTCAGCACTCAATGTTCCGTCAACGCTATCTTCTACCCTCGTTGATCCTTCTAGACTCCCCTGTTCAAGAACTTCACTAGATTGAGGATTGCTAGCATTAGCCTCGTCTGCTTCATCCACAACTACTTGCTTATCTGGTTGTGAATGCGCTTCTGGTTCTGCTCTTCGTATTCTTCTACCACCTTGGCGGTTAGGAGAGATGGAGCTGTTGGGCTTCTGTCTTTGTTCTTGGTCGTGTGACGAGGAAAATGACTGCACAGACGCGGCTTGACTATCTTGACATGATGGAGAAGAGAGGTGAACGCTCGAACTTCGACGTCTCGACAAGTAGGAGTGCACGTCAACGTCATCTTCTTGTTCGACAACGCCGTCAGGATCATCGTCTCCTCCATCTTGTGCATTTCTTCTGTCTAGGCCTACCGCGTAGGCTCCATTTCTTCTGTCTAGGCCTACCGCGTAGGCTTCGCCTCCCTGTTCGTCCTGCAATCGACTGCCATCCTGTTCTACTTGTCCTCCTCCTGTTCGTCTCTGTCCTCGTGTACCTCTTATACTTATTTCACTTTGTTCTCTACTGTCCCTAGTAATGTGTCTTCTTCTCTTGTTGCCTTCTGGTTGATCAACATGTTTCACTATCCGCGAAAGCTCTTCGTCTGCGGACGAAGATGAACACGAAACTACCTCTCGAGGAGGAGGCCCTCTACTCGGAGGATCTCCACGTGGTCTACTAGAGTCTCGCTGCCTACTAATTCGAGGCGCTCTACAACTAGAACCTCCTCTACCGGAGTATAATCGACCTTGTCGTTGTCGCGGACCTCTTCTACTCGGATCTCTACTCTGGCTCCTATGTTGACCACGTTGTCGTTGTCGCACACGTAGAGGAGGTCTCCGACTCTGTTCTTCTAGTTGTCTTCGAGTTCTAGAGTTACTGGAACATGGGGCAACTCCTTCTCGTCCGTGCTCCAATAACCCTCGAGCAGAACTAGGTGTGTTGTTAGATGTGTGGTAACTACCTCTACTGCTTCTATCAATACGTGCTCTACTACTACTTCTTCTGTAGTTGTAATTGTCATACGCATACCCCTGTTCTTGCCGGGACGATGCAAAACTCTTGCCGGGTTTCGGATATCTGGTGCGAGGATGTTCACCCTGCTCCTCTTCCTCGGGTAATTCTAGTTTGTCGCTTTTATTCTTGGGGAGTACTTGTTGTCCTGATGAAGAATATTTGCGGGTAATCGAGCGCATTTTTGTGGACGAGTGTGTTCATGGCTACAACTTGGTGTACTTGTAGTTTCCTTTTTTGATGAAGTTTTTTTAGAAATTAATTTCACTAAAGTTCATCTTCTTGCTGTTGATGCGTCATTTTCCTTGATAGCGATTGGCAGGTCGTTTATTCTTCCCACGAGCACGCGCAACGAGGATGGCATATCCAGAAATTCTACCTTCATCTTTGTTCTTCATTTGAGGGCGTGTGCTGCTACAAGAAACAGAGACGCAGAGGGTGTCGATATCTTCATCGTATTTTTCTTGTGTTAGTTGTTCTTGTCGTCATTTATGCGAATAGAAGAAGTTCTTGTTTGTGAAGAAGTCCTTGATTTTCAGGAGACATTTTTTTTCATTTTTTGCCGAGCTAGAGGAAGCATTGAAGTTGACTATATTGCGATTTTGATATTGTTTGTTACTGTTTGATGTCTATTACGATTATCGTCTGTTTAGTTGATCTTGTTGATGATCACATTCTTGTAGTTCGTTGTGTTGATGTAAAAATCATGCGTTTCTTCATGATCATCCTTTTCGCATGAGGTCTCCAAGCGTGAGGTCTACTGCATCCCGATTGTGACCACCCGATTAATATCGTACTCGTACCGATTCTTCTTGTTGATCTAGTTTAGATCCTCTTGTCCAGAATGAAGAACACCCCGTTTCGTCCGCCCGAAACGTAGTTACGAAACTGTAGTATATATTGTTCAATAGCAGTGGTAATGGATTGGAAGACACGTTTCACTTTCATACATTTCCTCATCGATGATTATATTATGAGGTAATAGAGGGTCGTGGTTTTTAGTGAAGAGTTTTGTTCGAATCTCAAACATTTGCTTCGAACAATCTTCATTGTGATCAGCTGCGAGGTTGAGGTTGTATGACAGCGATCTGAAAAAACTCGATGTCCTCGATTTACTCGCTTCAGGTTCAGAGCAAGAGCTGCTCCGTATTAAGACTGCAGGAGAAACAGACACATGATGATTAGGGATTTTTATGGGGTATATTTCATCATTTTCATCACATATAAATTGAAATGCATTTTTACAATTGGGTAGATTACCAACTATGTGAAGATGAACAGCCTGTATAAAAATAGTATCGTCGTCAGAAATCACGTACCAATCGTGGTCGAAGTAACGAAGTCCGAAAATAATGGGCTGTCTGCAACCCGCCACTGACCTCTCCAGCTGCATGAGAAACTCGGACAGAGTCCGCGAGGTCGTACAGGGATGATATATTTCATATGTGCTTGACGTGCTGGGGTAGTTATTCATGCTTTGAAGAAACAATAACAGGATGTGATGTAAATTTCGTTTGTTTTTTTGCGGCACTCGAATTCGATCATTATCTCCTTTTCTAGTCGGAGCTGCAAGTTGTACTGCTAAACTTTCATCTCCTCCATTTTATTCCACCTCCTTTCTTTATCTCTATTTTCTAAATTTTCTTGATCCTTTCGAGTTTGTCGAGGTTTCATTCGCGTCGTGCGCGAGACGAAGCACCACCTCCACCACCATTGTTGTTTTGGCCAGCACCTCCTCCTCGAACTTGTTGTTGTGGCTGACCTCGGCTCCGGCTATCCAATTGAGCTCTACTGTTTACCTGCCTGCGTTGTGGAGGGCCACGTTCGCTATCTTCTTCATCGCCTTGCCTTCTTCGCTGAGCCACTGGAGCACTCGGACTTGCTTCCTCATCGGACTCTTCCTCCTCTTGATGTTGTCCCATCCCGCGGCCACCAACAATCTTAGAAAAGACAGTTGTACTGCGATAGTACCCATACCGCGTTCTTCGCATCTTCCCTAGTACGTCGAGCACCATCCTTGGCGTTGGCTAGTACTTCTTTTTCAGTTAATATTTAATAAAGAGAAAGAGATGTTGAACCAACACGAAGGATGATCAACATAGATACAACGAACTACTACGGACATGCAATAGCGGTAGCCTTAACACTCTTGCGCTTGTTCATCTTGTTATGTTGAGGTGATCTTTGGTTCTGATCTTCGCTACCAGATTGTTCATCAGCTGCATGATTCACCTTCCTTTGTTGAACCACTGGTTTATTCATCGCCTTCCCAGCACGACCACGCGAGTCATTGGCACGACGACTGCGACCACCACGAGCTTCAACATGTTCCTCTTCTTCTTCCTCTGTGGCAGCAGAGTTATACACCCGTCCAGCTGTTTGGGCTGGACGACCACGCGGTTTGGGCTCATCATTCGTGTCTTCGTCGTGTTGACGTTCACCACGACGAGGAGCACGCGGTTTGGGCTCATCTTCATTCTTGCTGTCGTCGTCGTGTTGACGTTCACCACGACGAGGAGCACGCGGTTTGGGCTCATCTTCATTCTTGCTGTCTTCGTCGTGTTGACGTTCACCACGACGAGGAGCACTGTTGTTTCGACGACGAGCGCGGGGCGCCTCTTGTTCCTCAGATTCAGAGGCTGCGCCTCCACCACGGCCACTTTGTCGACCACGGCCATTCACATGGATCATGCGTTTGTTGGAAGATGTGTCTCGTCCTTGTCCTCCCCGACAGATGTTATTACGACCCGTGCGACTGTCATTACGACCCCTTTGCTTGTTCTTAGTTGCCGGAGGAGCAGGTGCTGCTTGCTCACCATCTCCTTCAGAGTGGTCGTCTTGTTTCCTACTTCTATCGATGATGCGACGACGCTTGTTGTTGCTTACGGGAGAATTATCGTTGGTCATCTGGTCATCTTGATCAACCTCGCGTTCGCGACCTCTGGAATTGCGACGGTTATTCTTGACGTTAGTTTCTCTGACAGCAGGTGGTTGTTGCGGACGAGCACGGGAAGACTTATTCTTGTTGATTTTGTTGTTTAATGCAGCGGCTCTCGACGGTTTTCTATCATCTTCCTCTTCACTTTGATCCTGATCATCTTCCTGCTCCTGCTGTCGGCCACGGCCTCCACGCTTGTTGTAACCGGCTTTGCTATTGTTAGCGCCTCCACGACCATCTTGTTCTCTGTTACGGACAGAGCGACCTCCCTGATCTTCTTCTTAGAGCTTATACCCAATTCCATCCTGAGACTCATCTTGGACCAGTTTCCTCCTTACACGTCGAGCGGTCCAAGATGCTTTTCAAAATGGGAGATGTCCGAAAGTCTTAATCTTCTTCTTCGTCCTCGTCGTCGTCATGACCGCGAGGACCTCCACGTCCACTTCGAGGAGCATGGCTCTGATTCACAGCCCGCTTGTTTGTTGTAGAGGAGTCAACATCATTTCGACCTCTAGTGCGGCTCGTTCTCGCGGGAGAACCTCCACGTCCTCTTACTCCAGCTCCACCTCGAAGATTCTTATTTCTGGGAGGCTTAACTACGTCTTCTTCATCGTCCTCTTCCTCTTCATCCTGTCTTCCCTTATTCGCTAGCTTCATCATACCGGGATTGATCGGGATGTTGTTCGGGTTATCCGCTCTTCCATGGCGCACAGGCGCAGCACGGCCGCGTCCACAAGAATTAGACGAGGCACGACTTGGTTCTAGAAGATGTTTTGGAAGTCTCGTCATCTAGTGCACATATAGCTCCTGCCCACACGGGAAAGAAGTGAAAAACTACCTGTTTCTCGCGACTCGCCAGTCCAACAGTTGCGCAATCTTCAAAAAATGTCAACGTAAGTGAGAAAAATGGTGCACAGAAAAAACGTTATTCTAGTGAGGACCACAGAAGTAGTACAACAATCATTTACTGCTCGTTCGAAGATCAATCATTATGATGCGGCTCTGCCTGAAAGAGACAACGAGAGTAGAGTGCGCAAGAAGTGGAGGTAGAGCTACTACTAAAACGCGAAGATAAAGAAGAACTGCCAACTAGTACTAGTTAAACTACTAGTAACTGCCAACTACTAGTAGAACTACAACTTTTTAACTACATTTAGGTGACAGCACTTCCATTTACATTTCCAAGAACCAGCGTAACTCTTGCACCACTCCGAGGACGTCCAGCTGACTGATCACGTTCCCGAGACCCTCCGCGACCACGGCGTCTCATGTTAGAAGAAGCTTCATCCATGCCACCTGTTTGTTCTGCTCTTCTCGCAGATGTAGCAGTAGAGGCCGTGGTCTTACTCTTTCCACCTCGATCATCTGCCTTAACTTCATCGTCAGAGGAGGCGTTATTATTTTCCTCAGCACGTCCTCCACGCTGTCCACCTCGTGCTCCTCGTCCTTCTTGCTTGGGGGAAGTAGACTGCTCATCATCTTGGTCTTTGTTACGGCGATCACGGAGGTTGTCTTCACGGGCTCCACGGCGATCGCGGTCTCCTCGAGTAGAAGTTGTACCATCTTCCTCACCACGGCGATCACCGCGGCCTTCTCGCGTAGTGCCATCGTCACGACGATCACGGCGGGCTGCAGGGCTGCGGTTGTTAGCGTCAGCACGGCGATCACGACCTCCGTCGCGGCGATCGCGGTCTCCACCGTCTCTGCCACGATCATCCCCACCTCGTGCTCGGTCACCGCGCTCGTTGTCACGTCTGTCACGATCACCATCACGCCTCTCGCGGTCCCGGTCTCCATCACGTACTCGTTCCCGGTCTCCATCACGTACTCGTTCCCGGTCACCACGTTCAACACTGGTACGCTTGCTGTCCTTGGTGTCTCCACGACGATCGGCACTGCGTCTCGCAGTGCGACGATCGACACTGCGATCGCGAGAACGGTCTCTAGTTGTACGACCATCACGACGGTCACGAGAATGTTAGAGCTTTTACCTATGTACATTATAATGATCTTGGAATCAAACATCTTTGTCTTTGATCGTTTGACGCGTCTTCGTCTTTTTCAAAATGAGGTCTTCAAAATAAGATGCTTCTGAGAAGATGAAGATGAATTACACGGTAACTAAGCCTTAAGAATGGCTTCTACGGCGTCCGCGAGACGTATCACGACCATGTCGCTCGCGCGAACTACCTCTGTTATCAACGACAGCGTCACCCTGGACTTCTTCGTCTTTTTCGTCTTCCTCCTTGGCACCTTGGGGGTTAGAGCAGATATAGGTGGCGGACGTGGATGTTCTAGTTTTACTTGAATGAGCCGAAAGTTAAAGTAGTTGGAGTACTAGGTTGAAATAGATTGATTTTGATATAGATACGTACTTTTCTGTATATAATACAACTAGGGTCAACATAAAGATTAAGATTGTGTCGTGGGTGTTGCATGACCTTGGAACATCTTCTTCAAGATTAAACAACAACGAACTGATACTAACACTAACTAAGGGTGTCAGTTTGGAAGCAATGAAGAATAAGAAACCACCGATCTAGAAGCCGTAACTTTCTTTTCACCTCCATCTTCTTCTTCTTCGGACTTGTTTTCGGCCACTGCTTGGGCAGCTCTAGCGGCAATCTGCATATGCAGAGAATTAACGGCGCGGGGCTTGGCTGCTTCAGCTGCTTGTTTTAGAGAGCAGGAAAGGTGAGACTGAGAACAAATCAAGATCAACCTTGTGACCACCAGATCTAGATCAGGACAAAAAACATATCCAAATGACAAAAAACGTATCCAAATGACAAAAAACATATCCAAATGACAAAAGACATATCCAAATGAAGATATCCGTAACTGTTGTTTCTGCTTTTCCAGAAGCATCTGGATCATATCCATGGAAAGGTTAGGCCCAGCTTGTTGTAGCAGGTTTTCCATGTTCTCGCGAGAGGTACTACCGGGAGGCCCAGCGTTGTTCACCAATTGCATCAACAAATCCTGTTTGCCACCGCCTGGGATTAGATGAGGTTGCTCACCAAGAATTGCATCACCATCATCGTTTCCTCTCACTGACTCCAGTACAACTACTTACTTGTTTCTGTTCTTGACCCTATCTACTTATCATGATTCTCTTGTTCTCAAGCTCAACATAAACTTATCATGTTTCTCTTGTATCTGTACTCTGTTCTCAACATAAACTTCTCTTGTATCTACTTATCATGATTCTCTTGTTCTCAACATAACTTCATCCCGCCCATCATTCCTGGTTGCGTTCCTGGAAATTGCATAGGTCCTCCCATGCCCATATCGCCGCCCATGAAGTCCTTTCCTTTACCGTAGTTGTTCCAGCCTTTATTGAAGCCACCACCGCCTCCGAAATCGCTGCCACCTTTGCCAAAGTTGTTCTGCGGAAAGAAATCTTTCCCACCTTTGCCAAAATTCATCATCTTGCCTTTGTCGTTCATCATATTGCTTAGACCTCGAAGCAATGAAGTCATTCCTTGCGACGTGCATTTCTTGCAATCCTGAGAAGGAAACAGCAAGAAATTTGACTTGTAGAAATGAAATGTAAAGACTTATCGAGCCTTAAATTGCCACCGAAGTTGTCGAAGGGCATGTTACCTCCTTTCATGTTGTTAAATCCGCCTTTGTTGAATCCGCCACCTCCCATCTTGTTGAAACCACCTTTGTTATTAAATCCACCACCTTTGTTGTTGAAGCCGCCGCCTTTATTAGAACTTGACCTACTCAAACTCACTCTAAATATAAATTCAACTTCTATTTGTTGTTCAATCATTTATCTCCTTTCTTCGGCGTGTTTCATTCACCTTATCTATCGATACAGTTGATATATAGATAGATGGACGACCACAGGAGCAGCTCCAAGAGTTTGATGCCAGCTCCAAGATTCATGATAGATGCAGCCTTAACTTTATTCATGTTCATCATGCCTTTCATGTTATCCATCATCATCGGGGGTCCACCCATCATCGGTGGTCCTCCAGGCATGCCGCCGGGCATGCCGCCAGGCATGAAATTCTTAGAAATCTAGTATCTTGGAATCCATCTCCTTGAAAGCGATTTTCCTGAGCCTAGTAGTACTTAGTTTACTTTTAGACGACGAGAAAGACGTGATACCCAACCTAGTCCCGTCTCCCATGGAGAATGCAGAGAGGTACCAGGCTCGTGATGCTTTCGAAGATGGATTCCCAGTAGCTCAAGTCTTAAAATTCTGCATAGGTCCTCCAGGCATAGGGCCTCCTGGCATGGGGCCTCCTGGCATGGGGCCTCCTGGCATGGGGCCTCCTGGCATGCCACCTCCTGGAGGGCCCATCATCGGGTTGCCCATCATCGGAGGAGGAACTGGAAGGGGAGGCATGTCCATCATGGGACGGAGGTTAGAAGACAAACGTTTTTGAGTCAGTGAAATACTGAGACAGACGCATGGTTGTGGGAGTTGCTCTTCTTTCCCTTCCAAATTTAAACTACTTATCTTGCAGGTAAGCCGCGCAAGAAACTATAATACGGTTCTTGTTCTGTCTGTCAACGTCAAATGAACACAGGTGGTGCACAAGCAGGATGATATCAGGAATAGATTTACGTAATCTTCGATCACCATCGCATAACTACGTTGTTCTAGACAATAATTTTCAAATTATGACTTCTAATATCTCTACTAGTGCGCAACCCAAGTGAATCAGAATCTATCTCTACTAGTGCTCAACCCAAGTGAATCTGCTATCTCTACTAGGGCTAGTCAACCCAAGTGAAAGTAAATCTGTGATCTCAAGAGTCATAACTCCTGGCATTCCCTTTGGCGGTGCTCCACCTGGCGGACCTCCTGGTAACCCCCCACCTGGTGGCACCATCATGTTGTTGTGCATCATCGGGTTTTCGCCCATATTGGGAGGCAAAGGCGGCGGCGGCCCACCATCTAACTGCGCATCAGGATGGCCACCGGGAGAGGAGATGAAAGTAGAGGGGAGAGGGGAAGAGAAAGAGGAGAATGTTCCACAAGTTGTAGAGGTATATCTGTAAGCGTAGATCTAGATTATTTAAGCATAGAGGAACAGGCGCAGGACAGGAAGTGGTGCAGCATCATGAGGGTGTGAGAATCTTCAACAATAAAAACTTTCTCGTGGTCCAAGAGCCAATGACATGATCGAGTAGGTATAGATTGTACAAGATTTTTTCATGCTACAACATGATCAACTGTAGCTGTACAAAATCTAAGGTAACTTCTACCAACAAAAAGGATTACAAGCATCAAAACCATAAACATCCCATCCTGAAGATGTTGCCCTTGTGGCGCAGAAAACGACGAATAATTAGTACTGCCTTGATCGGGTTTCATAGTCATCTCGTCGTTCATATCCATGCCCATGTCAGCACCCATGCCCATACCAGGATCCATCATGTCTTCTGGTGGTGCATCCATTTCGATCTCCATCTTTTTGATGATGACAAATGTCCTCTTGTTGTGGTCTTGTTGTATGCTGTTTTTGTACAACTTGTTTATTATAGTTGTTCAGAAGGAGAAGTATAAACGACGTAGTTCTCGTTGTTGTTCTTGTAATACAAGAAAGGTGGTCGTGATGTTTACAATTCTTTAGCAGAAAAGGGGTCCGTCGTGGGGAAGAAAGACAAAGAGAAACTATAAACTTTGTACAACAATATGCGCGTGACAGTCTAGAAGTAGAGTTAGAAAGGAATTGCAGCAATTGTGAGAATAGAACCTAACTCTACCTATGACGTTGAGGTATGGAAAAGATTGGGTAGATGATTTTTGCCCGAGGATAGTCGCAGCATCGTTTACTTTGATCTTCACATGCCTACTCAATTCAATTTCAACATCATGTCATCTATACAGAGGGTGGTAACTATAATGAAGAGCTCCAGAAGTTAGTCGTACACATACTTTGCGCAGGCACTCCACGCCCTGAATGTCAATTTGTAGAAAAAAGATGCATTCAAATTGAGTGTCATCATAAGCAGCAACATTGACACATTTTGACATTACATTTTTGATCGCGGCAAGTGGTCATCGAGAAGAATGCGTTCTTGACCGTTGCAGTGGAACGATCAAAACGGGCAATCGCGATTTACGTTGAGTTTGACCAGCAGAACGCAACACCTGATCAATTTTTACTTATAAAGAACATGCATGGACACATTGGAGGTAGTGCATTCACCTAACCCTGAGGTCATCTGAATCTGCTGCAGCACACCATTTCATTCTTGGGCTGCAGTTGCAGCTGTGCACATCAAAGGACTATTTTCATTGCAGATGACATTGGGATTTCGTCTTGGACAGCTGGCACACCAGTAGGTATTTTTTTCTGGCTTTGCATGAATCGTGAACCGAGAAGATGATGCAGACGATGAACCAATAGGCTTTCTGATACTTCTAATATCGCAATCGCAGACGAGAATGACCAAAGTAAACTACATTGAACTTGAACTTGCACCAATTATTGTGACAGAATGACGATCAAAACGACCACCTTGCAGAGTTTTTGACCACTTGTACTACAACAGAAACTTGCTCTCGATTTCGAATACCAAAACCAGCATGCTGCTGCTGATTGTCACTAGAAAATTATCATCGTTATCACTATCAACTTCTAGTCGTCATGCTGCAGCAGCAGCTCAAGCGACGTGTTGTACTACAACACATGATAAAAACATTTAATTCATGATCGTCTTTGTCATCATTATGTTGATCATCTGCTGGATTTCAGACAGTCTTGAAATGATGTTATTCAATATTCAATATCAATCTGCTTACTTACTCTTAGACCTAAGAATGAACCTTGGCCGCTCTGGTTGCCGATTTTTCTCACCTAAGGAACCTTGGCTCTGGTGACGACGGCAGCTCCTCCACTTCGGTCTCATCTTCGAGGAGAGAAGCGGCGGAAGGCCGCGCTCTGGCTATTATCGAAATTGTATTTCCTCGCAAATGCTGAGGAAGGGGATCATGGTGGTGCTCTTGATGTGTCGGAACAAAAGGAACAGCTGTATGTTGTTCTTCCTTTTCATCTTCTTGAGGAGAACCAGAACCAGTAAAACCGGTTGTGCTCTTTCTGAAATCAGGAGACTCGATATCATCCAAGGATTTAAAAATGGTAGACTTTTTCGCAGGAATTGGTGGACTATTAGATTCTAACTCGCTGATACGGATAATATTGTTGTAGACTTCTTGACGTTGATGTCCCTCCGCCTCACCTTCCTCTTCCTTCAACAATGTACTTGTAGCTACTTCTGCTGTCCTCGTCCCGCCCACTGTTGATGTTGTATTCCTTGTCACAGATACTAACTTTGCCAGTACTTTCTGGTTTGTAACTGTTGTAGTTCGCGGAAAATGGGGGTCTCGTTGTCTCTCTCTTTCTGCCCCAGGGGAAAAGAAGATCCCTGTCATGCTTTTTGGAGGTAGTACAGACGTCCTCGTTTTTACAACGTCGCTTTCCGGTACAGCCCTAGGCCTACTCGAGGAGGTGGTCGTGGTAGTGCGTGACCCTGTGAAAGATGAAGATAGTTGTGGACTCACTCTAAATCTAATACTGTTCGACGAAGCAGGAGTAGTCGGATTACTTGTCGTACTCATTCTCCGTGTCGTTCTCTCACTGCCAGTTGTGCCAGCATCTGCCTTCACTAGCGGTGCAGCAAAGACTTGGTCATCTTTGCCAACTCCTTGTCCTTGCTTTATTCCAGCATTTGTTCCGACATTGGCATCCTGTTCTATGCCTAGTATGTTGCTTCTTTCTATTTCATTCCTAATACCGGAACCAGCACCTCCGGTCGCTGAATTTTTCTGTCCAAAACTAACGACTTTCGTAATTGCTCGAACTTTGTTCCACTTACTGGATACGGGAGAGCCACCAGTAGCGGATGTTGTTGGGCCTACTGGTGTTCCTACTCCTGGTGTTCCTCCTCCGAGTCCGATGCCTCCAACTATGCCCTGTCCACCCCTTGATCGAGTCTCTGCCCTCTCCTCTGCGCGTTCCTGCTTTTGTGTTGCGGCGTCCAGCTGCAAACTCCAATTGGTCTGTTGTGCCACGGACACATAGACCCTCTTCTTGCCAAACCGCAAGATGTCGGATTCACACGTAACTCCTACTGACTTCCTCGTCCGAAAACGTTCATGGAAGACATCCAGCTGTTTGCTGAGGTTTAGATTCCTAGCAACGTTGAGGGAGCTGTGTTCTTGTGCTTGGGCAAGGGAATCTTCAAACGACATCCGGGAGCGCTCGTAAAAGAGAGGAATATGACTCGAGTTGCGAGGTGATGGAGGAACGAGTGCTAGAGTGCTGGAAGAGGGCACGCTATTATTTCCAGATACGACGAGAAGAGCTGATGAAGCTGGTCGTAGGAGAGTTGTTGAATCTACTGTAGAAGCTGCGGTAGCAGTATTCACATTCTTCACTTGTTCCATATCGTCGTTCACCAAATACCATTTTTCCCATTCCCAGATCCATTTTTGCAAACTATCCTTCGCCACCAACAACTCGTTTTCCCTCTTCTCCGCTTGCACCAATTTTTCTCGAAGTTCTGGAACCACTGGAGATTTTTCTAGTTCTGCTATCGTGGCTTCTAGGTCTTCAACAGTGGCTTCCAAATCACCGGTTCGCTCCACCAGGTCTGCATGTTCATCCTCTAACTGTCTCAAGTAGTCGATGCGGTAGGAGTAGAGGCAATCGGAGCGCAGATCTTCAAGCGTCATCTGATAGCGTTCGCGTTCATGCTGGAAAGCTAGGTAGATTTCTTCTTTTTCAGTTTCAAAGAGATTAGAAGATGAGAAACTACTGATGATTGAACAGAGTCTGGTGTCAATTTTTGGATGATAGTTCTTGAGGTCACCCCTTGTTTAGACAAAATCAAAACAAGAGATGGGTAAAAGGCTACTTCAACTCCGACATGAATGCTTCCAATTATAGAAGATACCAGAGAATAAGAAGTCTTCACTCTTCCTAAAACCAGCCAAGAAAGCTATGCGTTCCTCTTTCTCCAGCTGCAGAAGAAAATGCGTCTTTTGCAATGCATTTTCCTTATCCAAGACGATGCGACGACCATGCTCGAGTTGGTCCTTGGTTCGATTGAACTCCTCTGCTTGCACTGCGCACGTAGCCCTCAGGCTCTGGCAAACAGCCTCTGACTCGTCCAACTTCAATTGGACTGCAGCTAAAGCGCGCTCGAGTTGTAGTTGTCGCTGAGGGAAAGTGGTACTTATGGCCGTGGCGGTGGGGCCTCCTGCAGTTCCTATTGTGCTAGAGGAAGCGGCAGCGCCGGTAGTCGTAGTACTAGATCCTTTATGTCTATTTGATGTCGTAGTAACTACACTACCGCTTGTTCTTGCTCCAACACCATCATCAACAAATAACAGTTGCTTTCTCATTCCGTGCAATTCCAATTCCAAACTATCAATTTGCTTCTCTTTTTCCCTCTCCACAGCTAACAAATGTCGGTGTTCGTCGATCAATTTACGGTGTTCATGCGTCTGTCTCGTTTCGGCGTCCGCTAGTCGGACGCGCAAGGCGCTCAGCTCTCGCGTACTTTCTAGGACCGTCTGATCCAGATGCGCACATCGTTCATGAACATGAGACAAATCCGATTGCAACGCATCGTTTTGACCCTTGAGAGTCTGCATTTCACTTTCTGCAGATGATTTGGCTGACCGTAGGTCGACTAGAGAAGCAGCTTGCTCAGTGGCTTTTTTCTCGCTAGCTGCTAGTGTAGAGGCGAGGCGGTCTCGGAGGGATTAGAGGTGTAGAGGTGACAGGAGACACTGACAACTGAAGAGTAAAAATACTAGGCGTAAGCGTACTTATCCAGTAAAGACTCTATCATGCACTAGAGGTAAGACGCTGTAGCTAAGTAGTCAAATATATTCTGCTTCAGCTCAGCATGAGTATGATCTACCAACATCCTTAATCTGAAATGACCACACCAAGTTCCGTTTTTTTGGCATCCAATTGCTTTTGCAAGTCTGCTACCCTTTCTGTCAGCGTCTCGCATTCTTTCTTTCTGGTGTCGTACTGTGCATTCAACGTTCTCAGTTGTACCTGCAACTCGTTACGCGATAGAATGATGTCACTGGTGGAAGTTATGTTAGACCTACCGCGGTCGCATCCCTGGGCGCATCCTTGGCTCCATTTTCAAGTAAGTAGAAAAAGAGCCAGGGATGATGCTGAGGATGCTCCAGTCCTGCGGAGGCCTTAGTTATAGAGGTCTGCATAGATGATCCTGATCCGCCACTTCCTCCCGTTTGCTCCACAGTGCTGTCCCCAATGATTTCGGCCAGATCGATACGGAGTTTTTTGGTTTCGCTCTCTAAAGATTCCACCTTCAACAGCACCTCATCGCGTTGCAGCGTCAATTCGCCGTTACGCTTTGCCAAATCCTGTACGTCTGCGCGAGTCTGGGGTAAAAGGTCGTTCTCAAACATATTGGCGGATTTCTCGAAGAAAGCCGCGGGAATTAGAATAGGACAAGGCCTACTACAACAACGCAAATCATATTGATCATGGGATTTTTCTGGAGTCACTACAAGTACAACAACGACTTTAGAGTCTGCTAGATTGCATCTCGGCCCCCTCATCTTGGCCCCTTTTACCTTGTATTGCACGAGAATACACGGGAAAAGGGGACCAAGATGCCGAGAGTGATGGACACTAAATGTTGACCATAACGACTCCTAACTTATCAGACGCAACTTTCAGGCGATCCGCAGTTTGCTCCAAGTCTCGCTCCAGGGCTGCCAGACGACGTTGGAAAAAGCGACGCTGTTGTAGCCAGGCCAGCTCTTGGTCAATCTTTTCACGATTGAGGGCAGCAATCTCGGCTTTCAGATCGTCCACGTGGTGCAAATCATCGTCCTCGTCGAAGTCCTCTACTTCGTGTTCTTCTTCGTGCTCGTGTTCGAAATCTGGAATTGCGTCGTTGTTTGTAATTGTATAGTACTCCTTATCGTGGCTACTCGTATCGTGTTCGCCAGTGGTCTCTGTGTCTGTTATTCTGACCCGCCTAGGTGTACTCTCTCTGGTAACGCCCACAACGGTCGTGTCTCTGGAAGTGCAAGTGGTATCTCTAGAAGCTGTAGGCACTGTAATTCCCACCTTGGTCGAAGATGTTGTAGTCGTGTCTGTTTTTCTTGCTCTCGAAACCACACCTCTAACAACCCTTGAGAAACCTCCTGTAGCTGTACCTCCGCCAGTTGTTGATGCTGTTGTACAACCTCCAGTGGTACTCCTGCTAGTATAATTACTGATATTTTTCGACTTCTCCAAACCATTGATTTTCCGTACATCAAGCAAGTCCGCTACTAAGGCACGTTCTTGGCATAGATCCGCACTAAGACCTGCAATTTCTTCCGAGAGACGGTCTACTTCCTTAGCATTCGCATCAGCCCGGTTTTGATCGAGAAGACGCAGAGCTTCCAAATCCGATACTCGTTGGCTTAAGGTAAGGTTGTCTTTTTGAGCTTAGAGGTACTTACACTAGAGAAAAGATCATGGAGTATCTTCAAAATCAAAAAGAACTATTCTTGAGCAAAAGGATCATACAAGACAAGAGTCACATGTTGATCAGGCGAAGCTAGTACAGCACTGTCATCCTCAAGGAAAGGCGGCTCCTCAATAAGAACAACGTCTCTTTTTCTAAGTACTCCAAAAAAAGTGGCTTGTTTAGAGCCTGGTCCTAATTCAGTTTCTCCAATTCCAAAGCCCATTCTGTGGCTTCCAACTTTGCAATCCTCGCTTTCTGCTCGTCCACAGTACCTTGTAGAGAAGCTACGGAGTCAGCTGTTTCTCGGACAAGCGCTGCCATCCTCCGCTTTTGATCCAAAGCGAAAAACTGAGAAAGGGACAAAGTTGTACAACATCTTTCCCTTTCCGGTTCCGGTCTTTCCATCTCCGCCGCCCTCAACAACGCTTGATTCCGCTCACTACGGTTCTTCGAATTCAAAACAGAGCTCACCAAGTCCTCAAAGTTTTCATCAAACTGGGTAATGTCAAGTCCTAAGTCGAATTTCCCGACTGTGTCCAATGCAGCACAATAGAGACGCCAAAACAACCCCAAAAGAGCGGGCTTGTGATTGTTGTGGTTGTTGTAGAGGTTGCTGTGGTTGTCGTTGTGGAGGTTGCTGTGGTTGTCGTTTTCGGTTGTCTTGGATGACTCACAACCTCTCGAAGTGCCAGCAACACGAATGCCAACAACCTGATCAGCCAGTTCTTCCAAAGCACTATGTAATCCATGCGTATACACGAAAAGAATGCGACTTAATCTTTCCAGGACTTTTTCCTTGTTCTCAGTGCTGTCGCCAGATGTAGTCGACGAAAAGACTTCCTGTAATCGTATTTGCAACAATCTCCGAGGATCACTGATCAAAGCGCGAGCAGCAGGCGACAAAGCTTGTTCACGGCGCTCATCAGGAGGCTCTTCTTGCTTGTCCATATCCTCTTTTTCTTGCTTGTCCATTTTCGCTGCTTTCATCTGCTGCTGCATACTTCTTGTTGGACGACTACGTTCTTCTTGACCAGGCCCTTCATCCAGTGGTCCTTGAGGACGCTCACAACCATCGGAAATTGACGAAGCTTTTAATTTTTCCTTAGCTGCTTTGGCTATTTGACGTATACGCGCAATACGTTCGCGAGTTGCTTGATCCAGCTTGATTTTGGTCTTTTTCTTGCTGACCAGGCCGTCAACGAGAAGTTCGCCTCCCTCAACTCCTGCAGGCGCCGAAGAAGCGCTGTCTTCGTCTGATGATGAAGATGCTTCTGAAGAGCATGAGCTAGAAGCACCACTGCTGTCTGCAGAGTTCATCGAGATAGAATCCTCGTCTCCCCCATCATTATCATCCTCTTTGTTGTTTCTCTCCTGCATGTCCTGACCATCTTCATCACCCGCACTGATCGGATTTTTACCATTAGGATTAGCCTCTATTAAAGGTAGTTTTTCACTATCCCGAGTTGAGGGGGTTGCCCTTTTCGCCCCTTAGTTCCCCCTCTAAATCGGAGAGGACTCCACTCAGCATAGTCCTCTACATGGGATAGTGATAGACTACCCTGCCTTAACTCTAACCTCAGCAACCATTTCCGCATGTTGCTTGGACTGTAGAGTTTGCGCATCTCCTGTGGAGGAATCACAAAATTCGCTACACGTTCGACAGTGCTGCCTGCCTTTCCCTCGATTGGAACCTCGTATCTTCCCGGTGATAAGGAGCGTGTTTGAAGACGGCGCCTAGAACTTCGTGGAAAGCGACGACTTTTCCTGAATGTTGAAGCTGCTTTACTAGGAGATGGAGATCGTCCACTAAACTTTTCAGCACTGGAGCTAGCCGACGGAGACACACTGCCACTCCTAGGATGACCATGACTTTTAGAAGTTCCTCTTCCTCCTCCAGTTGTTCTAGGATGATCGTCGACGACCAACAGATCCTTTAATTCTCGCATTTTCCGTAGTAAACGACGCTCAGAGGGAGTCCGCAGTTTCTTGGTGCCACTCGAATCCCAATGCCAGCAAAGGCCGCCATCGACATTAAGAGGGTTCTTTTCGTTCTTCCTCTTCTTGGCAAGATCATTCTTGAGATCTTGAGGTGCGGTGGAGGGGCGCTGCAGTTTTCTTCCAAGAAGTTGTTCTTGATCATCTCCCATGTTATGTTGGTCTTGTTCTGCAACTCCATAACCTTCATCCACCTGTGTTGTAGCTAATGTTGTAGCTAAGTTTCGGATGGAGGAGTCTTCTGATCGGATGTAGTTGCTTTTCCTCCCAACCGAAGAAGTAGAACTAGAAGATGCCGCAAATAATGTCTCGAATTGAGAAACAGAAATATTCGCAATTCTTTCAGTACTTCTTTGTTGAGTTGTACTTGTACTAATTGTCGTGGTCCCAGCAGGTCGTTCTCGTGGCGCAGTGCCTCTAGTACCTCGATTAACCTTGTTATCTTTACTATTGTTTTGGTTGTCAATGCCATCAAATCTTTTCGAAGGAGCTACTGTCGTAGTGCGGCGTTTATGTGGAAAGTATCCGGCTGTGGTCTGAGGCCTACGAGGAGCTGGAGCGATAGGAGATGTTGTGATTTTGCTTGTGGAAGTGGAAGGCGTAGACGCAACTGCTTGCCTGGCGGCTGCTCGTTCTTCACGCAGTAGCAAATCCCCGATTTTCCTGCTCCTGTTGATGCTACTTCCTCCAGTACCTTTCTGATGAAAGAGAAACGATAGTCCGCGCTTGCGATGTGGTAAGACAGAGGTTGCACCCACATCTGATAAGGGCTCTGGGTTTGGCACATCATGATTACCAGGCCCACCAAGAAGAATCTCTTCCCACCTCTTTGCAAGAAGAGCATGCTTCTTCTCATTTCTATCGTCAACAGCTTCCTTGGTGTAGTAGCGTTTCTTCTGCTCCCTGAAGGTATCTGGACGACCACTTCTATCATCATTGTGAGCAGAAGGTGCGCCGTCATTCTTTGTAGTTTTGCTGCTCCCAGTTGTAAGCAACATGATGACGTTGAAGATGTTGATATCACTAGTGTTGACTACATCACAGTCAGCCCTGTTGACAAAAATTAGAACTATAGTACTACGAACCTAGTATTAGCTGGTGTAGGCGGAGGGACCCAGAGGATTTTTTAGGGTTTCACCATCTCTGGAAAGCGAGAGTCACTCCTTCGCAAATCCTCAATGGGAACTTCATTCTCTCTGAAGATAGCCACTCCTTGCTCACACAGACATGGCTGAGACTGACACGAATACCGAACGAATAAATTCCGCAATGTTGAAGCTCCTCTCTCTCTTCCTCTGTCGTTCTTTTTAGCTTCTCTCTCGTGCTCAGGCTGACGCGCCAGAAATGAATCAGTACTCACGTCACAGATCCCCACTGACGATCATAATGTTCCTGCAAAGCTGCAACAGTCCTACGCATTACCGACTAGCAAGCATTTTCAAGTTATGTTTAATACGACTAGCAACTCCTTCAATAGCATTCTTCTGTAAACATCTGCTCCTTCAGCTTCAATAGAAGATAGAAGAATGAAGCCTACTGATGTTCATTTCGTCCTCACTATTTTTCAGTGGTTTTTCGCTTTTCTCAGTTACATCTTCAAACAGTATGGAAGGTTTTTGGAGAGACGGTCATCATGTTATGATGTCGTTCAGTCACATGTCTCTCTTGTAAGAAAGTTGCTCCGAGTACTAAGTCATGTATTTACTTCATCTACATCCGAGATACAATAATGTACTTACTTATCAATCTTCATTCAAGCTGCTGCTGTAGTAAAAAGGGTGACATACAGTAACACGTTTCTATCAACACAAGGGGCCTGTCACTGTCTCGACCGCCTCCGCCTCTTGTTCTCTATAACATGCTACAACAACAACAAACGAAGACGACTCCTTATACTAAGTACGATGTTAAAACTCCATGTGCATCTGATGTGAGCCGTACCCTTACAGTTACAAGATTCGAGATTGATTTTGAAGATTAAGATTATGTCTGCAGTAAAAGATCTAGCTTGCTTCATTCATCTTGCTTTGCCTTTGCTGCCGCTATGAGTGCTAGTTCTTGTTGTTTCGCTTTTTCGAGATCGATCTCGGGACTCGACAAGTGGCCTTCTTTGCTGTACAGGTAAACTTCTTCTGGGCCAATCTGAACTCGAAAAAAGTTTTCAGTATCTTCACTGCCATTATATGCCTCTGAAGATGATGAGCCTGCTCCTACTTGTCCTGCTACCCCTACCCCTACGATCCTTGCCCAGGAATGTTCATCGTGTGTGCCCAAACGGGAAGTCATACTTCCATCAATCACGAAGAGCTCACGACCATCGTTTCTGGGGATGGGAATGTCCACAGTTCTGTTGGCTGGCAAAGCCATCACCTTCACCGTCTCATTCGTAGATTTGAAAACGATCAGCTCACGCCCTCCTTCGTCTTGAAGACGTTGTAGTTCCGTAATTTCCTCTTCTGATCCGATTTTTTCAGCTTCTGTTCTATTGCCATTGCCGTTGCTGCGCTCCTTGATGTTCTCCACCCCCCAGTTAACATTAGAACTAAGCGGCTTTCCATTCTTCTTGACATTTTCTGGCGACAGTAGATCTGTCGTCCACGCTCTATGCTCCGGCTCTGGCTCATCCAAATGTTCGTCCTCGCACATCTGGCAGAGCTTTACTAAGATCACGACCCCCTCTTCGCCAATCAGAGGCGCGTGCTCACTGCCGATGTAGTTCCGAATGTACGAATACTTAGGAAAGACCCCGTAGCGATCGCGCCACGCACCAGACAACACAATAAATTCTTCTCCGCCAGTGTGCGTGTGTGACGGAAAGGTCTGATTAGGCTCGAATTTCACCACCGTGGTCGCCCTGGCGATGTCGCCGCCAGTACGCTCGATGAGACGACGCGAGACACCATATGAAAGGGAAGTTGTGATCCAGTCCTGGCCTGAAGTGCGAACCAAAACGGTTTTCGTTTTATCCGTGTTCAACTGCAAAGCATCACTCAAAGGTGGAACTTCCTTGTTCGCAGGAGGCGAATCCTGCTTATAATCTTGTTGCTGCTGTTTTTCTTCCTCTCCAGGAGCTTCTTGTTCCACCTGTCGTCTTTCATCTTGTTTTCCGTCATAAGGAAGAGCTTCTTGTGCTGCAACATCAACATGTGCTAGTTCTCCTTTTTCTGCGTCCTTCATCATCGTCCTCACAATCTTCTCGTCCGAAGAGAACATGATATTGTTGTCATGAACTACCATTATCTAGTATGCTGTAAGGGCGACAGGCTTTCCAGAATTAACAAAATAATGTCTCTGCTATCACTTGCACTTCTTCCTCTTCGGATCTTTACTTCCTGTACTTAATCATAAAGTTACCCGTAAGCTTGAAGATAGTCACAGTGATAGTTTTGCAATAACGCTTCAGCAGCTCAGTGGAATAGTGATGCAGATTCTTTCTTGGGTCAAAAGTGAACAAGCATGCATCAAGCTACTACCGTGAATGTGGTTACAACGCTACAACTATATGACTTGTTCTAGGTGGGGAGAGCGACGAGGCTTAACAAGGTGTATGAGTTTGGGTGCCGAGTACGGCGGGACAAAAGTAAGTAGTTTCGAATTCACCTGTTCAAGATTATTTTGGGATACTTATAGACAAAGACTAAGACAAATAACGTATTCATAAGCGTGAGACAAAAAATGCCAGAAAGGATATAAGCGGAGGGACAAGGACGAAAGTGGTCTTACAGAATGAATGAGAAGGACAAATAATCTCTATCGCACTTGATTCACAATTTTGCTTTGTTCTTGTCTCTAAAGTAAAGAAATAGCTGATCAAAAAGAACATAATTTCCATTTCTCGATTGATACATTTCCTTGTGGACTGATCCATTTCCTTTCTAACTGATCCACTTTGTTCTTCATTGACCCTTTCCTCGTTCTTGTTGCTTGATCCGCTTCACTTTTTTTCCTTGATCAGTATCTGATCCTTGATCATCCAGTTAAACAAAAATGCGACACGAGTACCATAACTACGACAAACGGGAACACGCCGATGACAACTCGTTTTCTTCTATCGCGGCTTTCACTTCAGAAAGTCATTTCATATTTCATTCATGACAAGCTAGACGCGCATACCTCCCACATTGTTTGCACGTGGCCAAGTTGATTGGGGAGCTATTTATCACTGTGCATTGAAAAGGGGTCGTGGGAGACTTGCTAGTTTCATTGATGTAGTCAGTTGTTGTGATGTAGTGGTGTTCTATTCATATCGTGTCTAGTTCTTGCATGTTGGCTCTGGCGCCACGGCAATAATGTACTACGGGGATAAGAAGCGTGTCATTACTTTTCAAAGTTGATTCTTCAAATTTTGTTGCTAGGAAGTCGAAAAAGTTGCGGGCGCATACACTCCGCCTCCGCCAATGAACAGTACTTGCTAATGGTGGTCTTGTTGTTCATCCAAAATCTTACAGCTTCTAAGTACTATCTTTTCCATACTAGTACATCTCCATATAGTTGTTCGGTAGATCTGCTGGCTCTCTACTAATTTTCGAAGACTTGTCGTGTATTCGTCCTATCATCGAGAAGGGATACAACGACTGTCATTCCAAATTGGTGCTCTTTTTGGAGGGACCTAAATCTATAGTATAATCATCATACAAGAAAGAATGCGAAAACGAAGTACGAAGTAAGGGTAGTTGATTGTGATTCTTGAACGTTTTGCAGGTTGCTAATATTATGTTCGCGCGTGACCCTACCGCCTCACGCATGACGCGCTCGCGAGCGCCCTTACCATCTGTCGCTAAGGACGTTGATGTAAGGGCTCCAGGGACCCTCCTGAAGATCCAGTGGCTGTAGTGGGTTTAATGGGAAGAATGCGTGTTACTACACGCTACTTTTTAATATCTACTCTATCTCTATCTCTTCCGCCGCAGAACGCCTCCCTTCCCGCTGCTCTCCTCCACGAACGCACATTACGCACCGCTGGTTCCATTCCGGACTCACCTGCTCAACACGACAATGCGAGAAGACGGGCAGCATTAGACCGCCCGACAACTCTCGAGCCCCCGCGGGTCCGCCGACCCTCGCACCCCGCCAGCCTCCCGATGTTCCCGTCGGCCCAGCTAGAGATGCGCAAGCGATATCACGCTGCGGCCGCGGGCGCAAGCTACCGAAAGCGCAGATAGCATAAGCACAAGCGAGGACCTCTTCCTTTTTATCTACGTGTCTTCTCTGCCTAACTGCTACAGCCTCCTTTTCCCCGCAAAATCTTTCCAGTCCCCCAAAAGTCCCACGCGGAGCTCCCTGCTCGGTTCACCGTTGTGTCACGGCGGTGACGAAGCGCGCGACAGCGGGCGCTTCAGATGCTACGCTCAGAAAAGAGCTGCCTCAATAATGGTAGCCTTCGTGGCCTGGTTTATATCTCTAAAAATTATGACGAGAGGTCTACACTTGACTTTCGCGATTACGCTACAACTGAAGGAAGTAGGTCGACCATCAGGATTGAGTTAAGTTAAAAAATCTAAGCGAAACGCAGCAGCTTGATCTTGATGACCGAACTGGGTCTCGGTGGTTTGCTTCTAAAAAAAATCATCGCGGTGTCTCGTCTTCGATCATCATAATTAATTGAGCTAAGTTAAAAAATCTAGGAAACATAACAGCTGGATCTTAATGACCGAACTGGATCTCGGTGGTTAGTTTTTTTCTAAAAAATTTCGTCAAGACGAAACGCAACAGCTCGATCTTTATGACCGAACTGGGTCTCGGTGGTTTGTTTCTAAAAAAAAATTCGTCACGCTGTCTCAGAAGTGGCAGGATGCAGGATACGAGAATATCTGTGAGCGTAATAATGAGGCACTATCCGTAGAAGTGTTATACATGGCCACGCTGTCTCTGTCAGCAAGCAGATGCTTGCAGCTGAAAGCGTCGCTTTCATGTTTTCATTTGCAGGTCGTGGCGCTTGTCTTAAGTTGGTCGCTGTGCAAGGACTTTTCTGACGATGCAGCAGAATGGGAGGCCCGTCTTCGTGTGCTCCTCACTATATTCTAGTGGAGAATGTCTGTCGTGCTTTGTATAAAAATGCTACTCACTCCTGTTCGCTGCAACAAAAATCCTACTGGTTGGCATCCGTGCATTCTAATGGAGAAACAAGGAGGCCGAAGGGTTGATCGATAGTCTTCACGTCTTGTAATACAAAAGATACCAGGATCCCGCCCAAATCTTGCGGAGGCTACTTGACTGGATAACTTTCAGACTCACTTCAGCTGTAATAAAAATGATTGATAGCTGTATTAATGAAAAGCGCGCGCTTATATTCGCGGAGCAACTCGCCCGACGATTTATTAGGAACAAACACGATTGAAAGTAGCACACAGGGGCCATCAATCCGAGGTAAGTAGATTTTTTTGTACCATCAGAGTAGATAGGACATAACTTTCATTATCTTAGTACTCGAGAAAAATCTGGCTCCTTGCGGACCTGCTGGTGATCCCTGAAGTCGCTCTTCGTCAGGTGAATTCAGTGTCGATACCAATGCACGATGATGCATAAAACAGCCCAATATCAAAGGATCCAAGCAACGCGGTAAGGAAAGCGAGTCGCGTCAAAGGATACAGCATGGGTCTTTTGTAGTCTAGGTTGGGTATGACTGTCTTTATTGGAGGTTACGCACTGGGAGTCGCAAATCAAATAATAAGCAAAGCATTAGCAGAGGAATATACTCCAAAGCTCATCCACTGAAGCTCCAGCATAGATGTAACCGTAGAGCTATCGAGCTCGAATTTGTTTGATATCAATACCATGATAATGATTTTTACGCAACTGTTGAAATAAGGGAGAAGGGAAACGCACGATGTACAGATGGCGTCTAGGTCTACTTTTCTCTATTCTTGATCAAATAGAAACTGAAGTAGTAAGCTCTGGCTTCTCGTTCTTAATACTGGTCGTGTGCGTCAGTTGCAAGTAGGATGCTGGGTCGATTGTGCAAGTATATGATGGAGGAAATCTAGAAACGTCATCACTCTTTTGCTATTCAATTTTTACGCAAGGAGGATCAAACAAACTCGATTATTTCATATCAATAAGTCTGGACGAATGGTGACTGAAGCGCCTAACTAGATAGATGATTTTGCGGACGAGCAGATAAGCAGTAAACCTTTGATCATGACGAGGCTTACGCTTCGTAAGTTGACAAAGACACTTTCTTGGAGAATGATCTTGAAAACGATACGTCTTTTCTCAAGTACTACTTCTAATTAATAAGTGTGTACGACTAAGCCGCACTTCTTGACAGGTCGCACGCGAGAGTCTAAGTTCGCAGTTCTGCGTCAGCAATTGTCTGTAGTCTTCTAGTGTGTTACTTCACTTTTTGCTGTGATGTGTTGCTGTAAGAGATCTGTGCACATTGATGGCGCGTTTGACTGGTGTCATAATGGTTCACTTGTTCTGTCCATCTTCAGCTATACATACCTTGATACGTCTTCACTTGTACACTTTTCAACCTAGTACTTCAACATGTTGTTTTGTTTGTCCTCGTTCAATTTCATCTATAATATCTAATTCCGTCTCTCAACTGTAACAACAGGTGACTCCATTCCTCAATGTCATCCCCTCGCCCTACCTCTCCTGTGACTGCATCAGCATCGTAATATTAGAGGAAGTTGCTGTGCACTTTCATCATTCTTCGTCTTGACTCTACTACTGAGTCCGCCCTTAGGGATCTGCATGTAAAGGCGGTTCCTGACTCCTCGATAGGGTCTTTCAACAAAGAGGAAAAAGTTCTTGTAAGTTTAAATACGTTTGCCCTTAAAAGTAGTCACACACCTCCCAGCCGCTCTTCCAGGTATGCGAATTCGTGCGAAGTCAATGGGTACTTCCTGGAAGAGCGATCTTTTTCCTGAATTGGGTGTTTGGAGAAGAGGACTATTAGACCTCCTAAATCGAAGACCACATCATGACAAACTTGAGATTTGTTCAGAGAAAAAAGGGTCAAAATAGCTGGTAAATAAATCCTGAACAATCAACATAATAGAAGGATCTGCAAGGGAAGTGTCCGCGTGTGTATATAGTACCACTTTCTTCGTTGGAGATAATCGACTCAAACACGGTGACCACCATGTTGGAGCCCGCCAGCTGCAGTGACATCCGAATCCTCTGCGACAGCAGTAGACTCCTCTGCGACAGCAGTAGAGGACTCCTCTGTGACGGCACCAGACTCCTCTGCCTCTGGGCAGCTCGTAGACGTCGAACCGTAGTGCTTGAACTTGTAGTCGACTTCTCCATCGAAAAGATATAGGTTGTTCTCGATAGCTGAGTTGTTCAGGTTGTTCTGGTGGTAATATCAAGTCACATCAAAATGAAGACTCATCCTAGAAAAAACCACAAAAAAAGCGACATCTTCAACGCGAATCTTTCACCTTTCAAAGTCGTTAAATTTAAGCTACCTGTGTCATCAGACACGTCCGGAGCTACGGGAGCAACCCTGCGAGCGAAGTAGCCGCGGAGGCGGATGCACGTCTTGTAAAGAATAAAGGCAACAATCGCGGTCGTGACGGTCGTGACCGCGGGGGCTGCGGTCGCCTTGATCGGACGGTAAAAGTTGCGATGCCTTTAATTAGAGGCGGCCCCCGTGCACTTCTACTACTTGCCTTCGACTTCGAAATCCGCAAAATCCGAACAAATGGCGCACCTACTCAGAAAACTTCGTTTACTACCTCAGCAAAACACAAGCATACTCATGACATACAGTTACAGTAGGACAGTACCATATTAAAGGATAAGACGATCCGTCCATAAAGTAATCCGTGTAAGAGTCTTCTTCTGTATCCTCTTCTGCGTTTCCGCCTTCATCTCCCTCGGCTCCGAGAAAGGTAGAGTTAGAGAAGTGTCTTCATCAAATTCTTTGCAATCTACACGATAAAATGCGCCTTTTCTTGTATTCGGTACTCTGAAATAAGCAAGTAACTGATCACCAGAATAACAAAGATACTGAACAAGGACGAGTTGCCCTGTCAAAGCTACCTCCCTTAGATTTTAGTCAGCAACTCGGTTATTTCAAGAGCAAGACTTCGATTAGATGAGTTGTACTTAGAACAGTCAAGAGAGTAAAGAAACTAGTTTCATGTAGAAGAGATGGGCATGGCATGCAGGTATAATTTTCACCTACAAGAGTCATAACATTAGGGACAGAGAAGCGGCCTTGTTCGGTGTCGTGTTCGTTTGTTGCCGCATCGTCGATGTTGTCCGTATCTCCGCGCGCGAGACCTAGAGCAGTAGGATATTTTTGGGAGTTAACGTATATACTTTTTTTTCTGTTGGTCAATGGTCATTACTGGCCCAAGATCCAATGGATGAACCTGATTTCAATGCCAAATGACTGCTCTCACTCGTCAGCTTGATCATGATCAACGCCGTTCCTTGTCTTGAACTCATGTTAGTTCCTCGCATGGTCATCATTTGAACTCAATGAGCTCCAACATGAACTAGCAGCAAGATCTCCCAGATCTTTAGCTGCACTATGACCCTCCATGATATCCCAATGACATTGAACCCATTTTGATACCATTCCAGGGCCTTAAACAGTCAGTGATCATTCGGCACGTCCGTTCTGATCGTCTTTCTGTTACATTGCAACGATAATCATTCCATTTACTCTCAAGAGCCTCATAGTGCGCTTGGACGTGTTCGGGTGTTCCAACACTGTTTCAAGCCCTTGGGCCTTACCTTATTAAAGAAATAGTTAGTCAATTCATTGCAGAAGTAGAGAAAACAAAGCCGCACTACTTGCGCCACAAAATGCCCGATATGAGTCTCGGAGAGATTTCGCCCAAACTGGGGCAGAAATCTGACTGGCGTGACTGGCTTCGAGCGGTAACGCAAGAAGCAAACCGCCTGGACCTAGTCCAATACCTCAGCAACGTGCTGAACGGCAATGCGGCAGGGGTTCCGAACCAACCCAACAACAACGACCGCAAGCTCCAGCAGAATTGGCGAGATTTGAAGAGTGTGGCCATCAAGTCGCTCAAAGGTGCAGCCGAAGCACATAAATATGAAGGACCAGGATACCACTGTAATGAATGCTGGCGAAGTGGTAACGAACCTCCGTGACGCTGGTTTCAGTCAAAATGACCGCACAGAGCAGCGAATCTCTGCTAAAGCGTTGGAAGGGATGCACTTCACGAACCGTGATTCTCCTCCAGACGTTCCAACATTCCTGGCGAAGGTCAGAGATGTCATGAACCAATCTCCGACCGTATACCCGCCGGAAGTTGGTGTGGCTATTGCTGATCAACAAAACGGAGCAATCCTCGACATTCTGCCAAAAATGTTTTCCAAAGCATTTCGACAGACAATCGAGAGGATGCAAGAAGAAGAACATCTAACGTTCGTCCAAATCGGTGAAAGACTCACGAAACGACTTCAAAGCTTGATTGACTCTGGTGAGTACAAGATCGAGAGTCCATCTTTCGGCAAAGCTTTTCCAGCTGTCGAAGATTCTGATGATGAAAACCAGAACAACACCAAAACCAAGAAGCGTAAGCGTCAAGATGAGAGCGATGACGATGGTAACGCGTTTGCCGCTCTCAAGAAAACAACGATCAAACGACTTCGCAAGAAGATTCGCAAAGAAATCAAGAACGAGGTTTACGCAACAAAAGGAAGTGGAAAGAGTAGTAGTAGTAGCAGTAGTTCTAGTAGTAAGAAAAACAAAGGAAATGGCAAAGGTAAAGGTGCTAAGAACTCTAATCCTAATGAGGGCACCCAGTGCAACTATTGGCACAAGTATGGACATAAGGCGCACAAATGCTGGCTAAACCCGATGAGTCAAAGCTACCAACCTAAAAAAGCCATGGGCAGCAACTTCTTCAACAATTCATACAACTGCTGGCCGCAAGGTAACGCTATCCCTCCGTGGCACCAGAACAGCTATCCACCGCAACAAAGTGGAGGAAAAGGATTCGACAACAGTAACCCACAACAGCAATGGGGTGGACAACAACCACAACGCTGAGTCGAAACCAATCTGGAATGGAATGGATATGAGAAACGAGATGGACAGTCCCAAGATGAAGAAGAATTTGAAGAAGACTTCGAAGATGAAAATGGAAGACGTTCGCTGAACCTTGAAGAAAACTGCGAGAATAAAGAGTATAGAAGTGAACTGCTTAAGGGTGAAAGCTATATGATTGATAATCACTCAGGTTGCTATCTAAGTGCAAATAACAAGGAAAATAGCAAAACAGTTCCACTTGTTGACAGTTGTGCAAATAAGTATTTGTCTAGCCATCGCTCCGATTTCAAGAAGATTAGCCACCGGCTTTGTCATATTTTATTAGTGGCACCGCTGGAAAGCGAAGTGGGAACTTAAGTAGACTAAAAGAAAACAAATTAGGAGTAAGATATCGCGCACACTTTGAACACTTACCAAAAGCCATAGACCGCATTATACCGTGGTTAGGTGAAGGAAACTGTCATGAGAAGGGTTGGCAAATGAATTTCACAGAAAGTGGCGGAACGTTGTACAATACCCGCTCCGGCCGCTCTCTACCCATAACAAATTGCCCCCAGATGCAGTTGCCTATTCTAGGTTGTGACATGTTTAGCAAAGAAGAAAATGAAACTGAGGAGGATATAGTAAGCACTAGTATAGAAGAAGCTAGACTTCATTCACCAGCTTCAAGATTAGACATACATCGTAGACTTGGCCGCTTTCACGTCGATGGTCTTAGTGTATCTTGTCCAGAATGTGATCGAACCAAAGGCCAAAGACGCCCTCACGCAAAAGTGAGGCCTGCTGGGCATATACCTTCTCCATTGAAAGCACTTGCAATTGATTTCGCAGTTGGTATTAGACCAGTATCCTATCTATAAGAAGCAAAAGACGTGCTTTAGTCATTATTTGTGATTCGATTAAAATGTGTTTCGTTCGTCCTCTTTGCCTCAAGTCGGACGGCGTAGAGGTGATTGGAGAAGTAATAAAAGGCATTCGCCAGGACTACTCATTGTCACTCGACGACAAGGCGGCATGGTTCATCGTCCGTAGAGATAGCGAACCCGTCCTAAGTAGTGACCATATGACCAAAGTCATGCACTCGCTACTGGTTTCGGAAATTCCTGGAGTTCCTTACAGCCCAGAAATGAACGGAACTTGCGAACGTTTCACGCGGACCATTTTCGGTGCTGTGCGTACCATGTTGGTCAAAGTCAGCCGACGTCTTTGGTGTTACTGCCTACAGTATGCCGGAGATTGTTGGAATCGCTTACCGCATCGCTATGCAAAAACTGCCAGAACATGACGGAACGAGTCCTGTCGAGATACTAGAAAAGAGGATAGGAAAGAAGTCCTCGAAAAGTGGTCTAGGTATGCTAAGAAGATCTGGCTGTTTGGTGTACTTTCGTGAACAGGTCGTAGACACCACCAACAAGAAAGAAGCAAAGCTTGCGCCACCTTATCGGCGTGGTGTGTTTCTCGGTCTGTGTCCAGTTTCGTCTGGTTGGCTAGTAGGTACATATCACAACGATGGGAGACCGAGAGCTGGCTTCAAGTGGAGTGAGTATTCCACACTAGATGTGAAATTTCGAGAGTCGATATTAGTCAAGAACATTGATTGGCTATTGCCTACGTCGAAGGGCGTTGATGTTGATTATGACCCGCTGGAAAACCTGCAGTCTGGCACGCCGTCGCTGGGTCCCGTCCTGCACAGACATGCGCTGCAACGTATGGCCTGTCAGCCGCGCTTCTCTGGCACGGAGTACAGCTCAGGCGATCCAACCGGCATGGAAATGATATTAGATAACAATGACGCTGATGAGTTTTTCTGTGAATCTTTGGACAAAGAGGAAGCTCCAAAGACCGGCGATGATTCCAACTCTGACGCGCAACGCGTTGAGGAGGGGAATAGCTCATCGGAGCGTGTGTCACCTGACTCTAATCCTGAAGCAAGGGATCCGAGGCCCTTACCCATTCCACCATCTCAGCCAGGCAAAGTTGAGGAGGGGAAGAAAGGCCGAGGAAGACCTAAAGGGAG